GCTGGCGCAAAGAAAGACTTATACATTAAAACCACGTATTTGTACGAAATATTCATTTTTGTGAATAACAAGGGCCATGCCAAGGCAATGCATGATATACATGCATGGAAAGCTAGCCCAATTAAATGTTTGAGGGTAGATGTCAATCATGTCATCATGTCACTTATATGATATATGACCCAAAACTTAATTTCCGAACCGTTGTGTTATTGTTCCATCAACTGCATGTCACTCTAATACATTTTCTTTTTACTCTTGTTTAACTTAACTTTTTAAATCATCAACAAAAAGAAAATAGAATTCAGATTACCAACGTAGGTATCGTACTGCATGAGATAATTGTGATCATTCACGCATGTGGCACTCTAACCGTTTGGTAGTTTTTTTGATTCTTTACAGTAACAGCACAGTATTGTATAACAAGAGTGAGTATGTACGTTGTTGAATCTGCTAAAAGTAGACATATACAATTAAAACTAAATATCCATTTTTGTGAATAACAAGAGCCATATTAAGGCCATGATACACAAACATAGAAAGGTTGCCCAATTAAATGTTTGGGGTGCATGTCATAATGTCACATATATGATATATGATATATGACACAAAAATTAAATATTCTAACCGAATGTGTGTTATTGTTCCATGAACTGCATGTTACTCTAACACCTTTTACTAAGATATTTTTTCTTTTATTTATAAATTTCCAGATACATACATAAGGCCCTAAAAGTGAGTTAATTGATGACATCATATCAATGCATAGAAGACCATCATATATCACTCCATCACAAAAGATAGTGATATTCTTCATGTGGGGGCAATACACACATGAGCCTTAGAAATTGAATAAATCTCATTCATGTGATAATTAAACAACTAAAACTTGATCAACAACTTCGTGGCTTTGAATTTGGGGACGTTATGGTCCCACCGAGAGTTGGATTTTTGTGGTGTGAAAGATTAAAAAAAGAAACAAAATGCAATGAAAAGGTATGGGTGGTCTTACAAAGAAGAAAGATTGGAATTCTATTCAAATGTGAACTCCTTAAATTATTGAGAAAGACAAAACACTGTTATGGCATTCAAGTGGGTCTCTTGAATAGGAGTGTGGTCATTTTCATCCTCCGTACCTCTCATTTCAATCGTACCACCTATCAATTTATAAAGTAATCAAACATGTGGACGTTATTGTGTTCTTTTTCTAACACCCATTTTTTTTTTTTTAAATTTCCTCCTTCTCCTAAGGTTGTTTTAGGTATTTTTGGAAAATTGTAGACTTTCTTCTTAAAAATAATACGTAACAAAAGTTTACGATATTTTAAGGCACCGTAACCATATTTTGAGATTTTTCCTCATTTAAATGTGTTTGTGCGACCCAACTAACGATTAAGAGCTACTCTTGATGTGATGTAAATTTTTTTCTCATTTTTCTTTGCGGATCTTAGATTCTTTTAAAGCTATATATTTTGTAGTCCAGTATATTAATTAAGACATTTAGAATTTTAACTGAGATATGAGATAATATTGAAAACTAGCGGGAGAGTGTTAAGATTTCGAGTTAAAATTTGTAATATCTTAATTTTCATTTAGTGAAATTTTTTATTAAATCTTCACAGTGAACTTAAACTTTACGCGACACAACTCTTTGTATTCTTTGTGTAACTTGGCTTGATTCTTGATTCTGTTCTTAATCCGTGATGATGTTTGTAACATACACATATATATATATATATAATTAAAAAAAGACGTATTAAAAGAGCATTATGGAAAACTCAATTTATATAATTTATTTTAAAATCCCATGTTAATTATACACAACTATAATTAAACAATAAACTATCTATTATGAGAGTAGCTATCACCATGAATTAAAATTCAAAGGGTTGGAATATGCGAATTTATAATTTTACACTAAGAATGTTGTCATGATAATCTCTTCAATAATTTAAATTACATGTAGATTGTTATGTGTGTTGTTGTGAGGTCTATTACGTGTGATTAAGAAATTGAGGATTTGAGGAACATAATTCCAAATTCATTAAGATTGCTAATACCCCACCATCATATAAAGTGTGTGATTTAGGCCAAACCATTTCAATAATTTGTTTTTGGACAATGACTTGTACCTTCTTGTCATAATTTTGGAACGTACAAGTCGAGTAGACCACTTCATTACGTAAGATATTTGTACTTTTCATTGTAATTTTTGTATTATTTGTTTGGCTCAAAATGTAAAGTTTTCAAACTTATTAATACTTTTAATATATTTATGAAGTAAACGACGAATTGTCTTAGCTTTAGTTAAGAGCGTAATTACAAGTTGCATTCGAGAGTTTCAATTTGTATGGTATCTTGACTCAATAGTCACAAATTGTGTTGCTGAAAGAATTATTATTATTTTTTAAAAAATAGTATATAAATAGTAAATGTAAACAGTAATATTTATGGGAAATGTTTAGATTACTTTATAATTTAATTATCAAAAAAAAAAAAATTTTGTTTGAATTATTTATTTTTTAATCTAATGAGGTGGACTACATGGCATGCCAAACACTGAAGAAACACTCTTCCCATGTTGCTTTTAAAAATAAAAATAAAAAATTAAAAGGATGAGGACTCACACTCGCTCGGAGAGCTGGACTACTAGATAATGCCATTCCTATCCAGCAATGATAAATTAATCCAATTCTATGTCCCTCTATTAGAATTTAAATTATCTTTGTTTTGATTACATGTAATTGGAATTGAAATTAAAAAAATATATATTAAAATATGAATTTTTTTTTTTTCAAATTCAATTTCATAAACTCAAACATAGTAAAAACTCGATAAAAGGTCGGGATCTATCGTCCAATCTTAACTCAGACTAGCCCAGCGGGTTTTAGCTCTTCTTGTTCCCATTGTCAAGTCGGCCCAATCTGAACCATGAATGGGGCAGACCAGGCTTGGTCATTGATTTTAGGCCCATGTCCGAAATGAAGTTGGGCGCACTAAGTGCTAATCGTAGACCCGTGAGACAAGAAGTTATGGCGAAATATTTTTCAGTAATTTGAGGAAAGTATCACTAAGCTATTGTCATTTGTGATAAATTAATTTTATATCTATCATCATTATCATGGTCTTCGTCATCATTTTTATTTTAATCCGATATGAAGCCAAATTTTTTTTTTTTAATTTAGATATGATAATCTCTCATTCTCAAAGAAGTGCCGAAGAGTTCGAGGCCCAATAAAGAGCATATTGTGGACATGAGAGTGTATATTTGAATGGTCAAGTAACAACCTACTAATTTGTTTCATGTTAAAACAAACACCACAATAATAAAGAATTAACAAAAAATGAAAAATTACACACCACATGAAAAAAAGATTTAACGAGGTATAGTCCACATCCACAATAAAGATCGACAAAGAGTTTTACAAGTTTCTCAAGCATCCATTGCAACTAGGGCCCAATAATGCCCTTTTATGTGTTACTTATACCAAATGCTAAAATTAGATTTGAATTGTATCAAAATATCATCACGCGCAGTTTGGTTGGATAAAAATTTATGATAGAAAAAGAGAGTGAAGTAAAGGAAAAGAAAATAAGTTTTAAGAAAATATTACTTTGTTAGTTTGGATAGGATGAAAATGAAAAGAAAATAATTTTATTACCAAAACTACCCTTAGGAATTTAAATATTTTAAAATAAAATAAATTTGTATTTGATGAACCACTCTATATCTAATTGTTTACATTCATTTTTAACAAAAAAAATTAATATTAATAATAAAATAAAAAGAAAGTAAAAATAATAATATAATTATTTTTATTAATATCTAAATTGTATCCATAAGGGACACAACAATTGTAAAACCCAAATCTGGAGATTGTAAGTTTCTAATCAATCTAAGAATCCCAATCACCTACAACACCAGCAGTAAAAAACACATGTATGTATACCACTCGATCTCAATCATTATTAATTATAGAACCCAAAATAATAATAATAATAAATTAATTTTATATGCATATATAAAAATATAAATAATTAAATTTGAATTATGTCAATTTACATGAAGAAATCTACATCTGTGTGAAGTTTGTGACAAACTGAAGAGTGGAGAGAATCAAAGAGAAAAACATAGAGAAACCGAGGAAGTGAAGAAGAATGAGGGGGAGAAATAACTAACAAGGGCACAAGAGAAAATTAAGATATAAAGTGGTTAAGTTTTGGGAGAAAGTAAATTTTCGCCTGTTTTATACTTGAAAATTTTGAGGGATTCTTATAATTCCTTCATTTTAGGATACCACCAAAATATACTACCATGATACAAGTAAGAATAATAATAGGGAGACGGATGAATTAATCCTGAATAAGTATTGAATCTGGCGTGTTTTTGTCCACCTCATCTACTTAAATAGTTTTAAAAAATAATTGTTTAACACGTGATAAGAATGGCCAACCACGTCAAATTTGATACTAATTCGGTGATTTCTTCTAAATTTTCCTATCATTACTCTACAATTAAACATAATGCATGGAGCAACCATATGAATTTGATCTCATTGATATAATTAACAAATAAAATAATTATTAACTTAATCATAAAGAACCTAAAGGATAGTCTAATCGGTAAAGACTCTCTTTCATATTTTGGTGGTCGAAAATTTTATCGGTAATTATTGATACGGGAGAATCGTATGTGCTTAATAATAAATTATAAATCGTTCAAATTGACCTAAGTCACACAAAATAAGAACGAGAACGAAAGCAACTGTGCAAAATCGAAAGCATAATTTAACCCACATATGTAATGTAGCGGGAATATGACTTAAGGTTTGGCACTGTCAAAAGTTAATCAAAACGACATCGTACTTGTATTTTAGCCCTTAAAGTGTTCAGATTAAACAAAACAAGAGTGTGAACGAGTACGAAAGCAACGGCGCAACAGCACAAAAGCGAAACCACAATTTAAACCACATATGTATTGTAGTGGGAGCTACAAGTCGCAGCGTACCGATTTGCCAAAATTGAACAAAACGACGCTGCACTTGTATTTTAGCCCTTTTGAATGGGTCTTCCATGATGTTCGAGTAGTTACGAATAAATGCAAAAGAAACAGTTTGTTTGAGCGTTTTTGAGTGAGAGAGAGAATGTAGAAGGGTTTGTTCCTTTTTCCAGAGCGACTCTTCTCTGTCATAAAGAAACCTCTGAAGTCGACGCGAGCAATCGGTAAATATGGCTTCTCGATTCTCTTAAATTTGTTCTTCAATTTTATAATTTTGATGAATGTTAGTGCTATTCAGTTATAGGGTTTCGCGGGAAGCTCATGTGCTTCTTTGTGTATATAATTTATACAGTTTACCTCTCAATTTACAATTATTCTCTCATTTTGTGACAATTTAATGTGGGTCATTTGTTCTGGGCTTTGAATTTTTAGGGTTGGTTGTTGTAGGCAACAATGTTGTGTTGATAATAGTGTGTTGTGAATTAGAATTCGAAAGCTTAGAATGAGAGAGCCTTTGTATAAGTTGAGTTTGGTAATGACTGGATACCTTTCAAAATGAAACTGAATGTTTTCTCTTATGTGTCTGTTTTGGAGAGAGACGATTTGGGTGTAGAATTAGGAGGCCTAGAATTAGAGAGGCCTTTGTATAAATTGAGTTTGGTAATGACTGGATACCTTTCAAAATGAACCTAAATGTTCTTTCTTATGTGTTTGTTCTCGAGAGAGACGATTTGGGTGTAGAATTAGGAAGCTTAGAATGAGAGAGGCCTTTGTATAAATTGAGTTTGGTAATGACTAGATAACTTTCAAAATGAACCTGAACATTCTCTTTTACGTGTTTGTTTTCGAGAGAGACAATTTGGATGTAGAATTAAAAAGCTTAGAATGAGAGAGGCCTTTGTATAAATTGAGTTTGGTAAATGACTGGATAACTTTCAAAATGAACCTGAACGTTCTCTTTTACTTGTTTGTTTTTCAAAAAACAATTTGGGTGTAGAATTTGGGGGTAGAATGTGGATCTCGACATTATTTATTGCTCGTGGTTAAGTAGAGTTAAATGTGCCTTCTTTTCTTTCTTTTTTTGGCTTCATCCATGCTAGCTGGTAACTTGTCCCGTCTTTTTTTGGTCCATATATTTCTTTTAAGGAATGCAGGTGTGCGATGTATTCTGAAAATTAAAGAGCATTTTTTTTCCCGAGTTTGGATGGTTGTTTGTAGGTTGGTGGGAATTACTACATAACTTGGACAAATTGCAAAGGCTCGACCTCACTTTCCTTTATTGAGCTTGCTCAGGTTCACTTGCTTTTATTCAGCTTGCCCTACATAACCTAAGCACTCTCTCTTATGTGTTTGTTTTCGAAAGACATTTTTGGTGTAGAATTTGGGGTAGAAGGTGGATCTTGATATTATTTATTGTTTGTAGTTAAGTAGAGTTAAATATGTCTTTTGCTTCATTCATGCTAGCTGATAGATTGCCACTTCTTTTTTTGGTCCATGCATTTCTTTCAAGGAATGGAGGCATGGGATGTTTTCCAGAAATTAAGGGAATTTTTTTTTTCCCAAGTTTGGATGGGTTGTTTGTAGGTCGGTGGGAATTACTACATAAATTTTACAAATTGCAAAGGCTTGAGATTACTTGCCTTTTGAGCTTGCTCGAGCTCGCTTTTATTGAGGAGCTTGCTCTACATAACCTAAACATTCTCTATGTGTTTGTTTTCAAGAGACACTTTGGGTGTAGAATTTGGGGTAGAAGGTGGATCTCAATATTATTTATTGTTTCTTTATTCATGCTAGCTGGTAACTTGCCCCTTCTTTTTTTGGTCCATATATTTCTTTCAAGGAATGGAGGCATGGGATGTTTTCTGGTAATTTGAGGGAATTTTTTTCTGAGTTTGGATGGGTTATTTGTAGGTTGGGGGGAATTACTACATAACTTTGACAAATTGTAAAGACTCTAGCTCACTTGCCTTTATTGAGCTTGCTCTAGCTCACTTTCTTAAATACGCTAAGCTCAAGCTTCCTTAAGCTTGCTTTCGGAACTAGTTGATTATAAGGAATGTAAATCATTCAAAATTTGTACGAAACTGATTTTCATGAGACATAAACTCGTTCGATCAACTTGGTTTTTTCCTATTCTTCCTATACTAAGTGGCATCCATTAGAAGATGTACCATAATTGTTTCTTGGCATTGATATGGCATTTACTTAGTGGGTAATGGTTGTTTTTTATGTTTTATTTCCCTGGAATGTAAGGTAATAGTTTTTGATACCAAAGCTAAGGTCAGGTGCATTTTATTTTTCAGCACCTAATGGGCTTCTTTTGTTTTTTTGGCTAAATACATAAGGGTTTCTTCATCTTAATATATTGACTGTTTGGGGTAAGTTTCATATAACAGCTGTCTACTTTGATACTCAAATTGATCTGAATCCTGGTATTATAACAATCCATATGATGAGGTGCAGTAACTTACTCTGCTCGATTCACATTGACAATGCTGTAGTCACATGCTTTCAAAACTGCATTTGAACATAGTAAGTTGTCAAATTAGTTTCTTATGTGCATATGATTCTTTTGTCTGTTTGCTTTTCAAGACTTACTCTAGATGTTATAAACATTATGATCACATAGAGGAAGTATGCTTCATCAAGAACGCCCCCCAACACACACAATATTCTCCTGGCTACAAGTTCATGAGATGTAAATTAAGATAATTGTAAACCAAACAACAAAATAAGCTGGTTTTTTGGCTAAAAGCCTAAAGCTAATCTGTCCGGGCTTGATTGTGGTTAAAATATGTCATGCTAATACAGTGCCCCTCTCGCTTTGGCTTTGCTGGAGATTTTAGTTTACTCCATTTTGCAGCAACTGGCCTTTCTGGGAGAAAACTACAAAGCAAAAGGGCTCCAATTTTGTCTGGCTAAAATTTTGGTCACTTTTGGCCATGTTGCCTGGGCCATTTTTGTCTATTTTGGTCACTCCAATGTATTTGATTTTACTATTTTATTTCCTACCTCTTTGTAGCCTTGGCACTTGGATAGTGATCCACATTTTCAGCTACTATTTAAATTTGGAGAAAATATAACGTGCCAATGCTGACTGTTGGCATAAATATTTTGGTACCCAACATTGATTTATCAATTCATCACTTCAATGTTTTGATTTTCATGGAAAAGAAAAATATTCTGTTAAAGAGTGACAAATTTGATTTTGGGGATAGGGATGATCATCATCATTGCCTTGGTCCATACCAAATGGATTGGTAAATAAATTCTCTTCTCCATTCTGGGGACAGTAGATTCTTTATTATTATTATTAAAGCCTTAACACCCATTTCTTTACAGACAAGTGAGTTCACATTCAGACTTGGGAAGAAGCTTGTGTTGATGGCCAGTAGCAGACCAGCTGCCCTTTGAGTGGCCAATTCTTCAACATTCAAAGTGATGTTCTCTCCATAATCATTCGCTTTATGCTATCACAATGTGGAACTTTGCATCAAACTGCATAGCTGGAAGCATTGGACTTAAGAAAGACTTGGTAAAGTCAACTGAAGCTGCTTTAGAATGCTCAGATGATGAAGTTTCTTCAACCAGCAGCAGGGAGGAGGGACTAGAATGTCCGATTTGCTGGGAATCTTTCAACATAGTTGAAAATGTGCCCTATGTTTTATGGTGTGGCCATACCCTTTGTAAAAATTGCATTCTAGGGCTGCAGTGGGCTGTTGTCAAATTTCCCACTCTACCGATTCAGCTTCCACTTTTTATTTCCTGCCCATGGTGCAATCTCTTATCCTTGCGTTTGGTTTATAGAGGAAATCTCAAGTTCCCTCGCAAGAACTTCTTCCTGCTCTGGATGGTTGAGAGCATGAATGGTGATAGAGTGAAGTCTCATTCCACATTCTGTGCCGATCATCATTCAATCTGTCCATCAAACAGCAAATTATCACTGGGAAGTCAAGTCAGCCACCCTATCTCCAGGAGGGGTCAGTATATTCGCTATTCAGATCCTTCTGGCACGAACCATGATAGTAATCGTGTCAACAGTTACCACACCGTGGAGACCTTACATTCTTCCATTAGAAAATCGCTGGCTTTCTTTGTTCGTTTGACAGCAAAGTTCCCACTGGTTCTCGTATTCCTTCTGATTGTCATATATGCCATACCTGCCTGTGCAGCCGTCTTAGCTTTGTATGTTCTCGTCACTTTTCTGTTTGCTCTCCCGTCATTTCTGATTCTGTACTTTGCATATCCTAGTTTGGATTGGCTGGTGAGGGAAATTATCACGACATAATACGCCATATTACTCACAGCCTGTAAGCCCTGTGAATAGCAGTTTTCACTACAAAACGGTACTTCTCTACCGAATCCCATCAATTTTATAATTTGTCGACTAGCCGACTACTGTTTCGTTTACTGTTAAAGCGAGTAATCCTTTGAATCTTCCCATGTCAAAAATGGTACTTCTCTACGGATTCCTGTCAATATTGGAATTTGCCAACTACAATTCCATTTTCTCCCCAGTGATTGCTTCCTTTGCTTAATTTGTTGGGAACCCGCATTATCCAACAAACAAATAACGTCATCTGCAGACAGATAGTTGAGTTGTGCATAAGATGCAGCTGAAAAGTGAATTGTAGTACTACAAGTTGATTTCGGAGTGTAGCTTGTGTTCCTGTTTCTTGTAGATTGATGTTTATAAACTGTGTTGTGTGAGTGCAGTTTGTTTATTTGTTAACGTGGATGCCATGTGCTAATATTTCTGTTTCTTGGTAATTGTCAAAAATGAAAGCTAAAGCACAAGCTGATGTTTCTATTCATGGGTGTAAGGTTAGTAGCATCAACCGCGAATCCAGATTAGGTCATGTGGCTTTGGGTGAAGGACCTTTCTGAAGTTGGGCTCACTGTGCACTGGGCTCATTCGAGCCACACGTGTTGTGCACATATAGCTCGGATGAGCTGGTGGACTGTGTGTTGATGTGTTACTGAATGTACACCCGTTACTTTAATTATGGTTTGTTAGATTTTATTTCGAAGTTGTTACCTGTCACATTGAAACCTACTAGTTTAATTGCACATCTGGTTTAAATATAAATGGAGATATTTATTGAGATATTTATTGTTATGGGAATCAACACTTTCAAGAGTAGTTGTTTTTCAGTGACAAATTTGGTACATGGGTATAAATTTTTTGGGACCATGATATTTAGCCAGAAATGGCGGGTCGAAATGGCTGGCTGATTAACATGCATCAGTTGTATGCGATACTTTGGGATCCACATGCATCCCATTGCCTTTCATCCCACGGATGGCCAGCCCGTTCGGCTGGCCAATTCACTTTTTCTATCATTCGATTTTATTTTTAAATTTTTTTATAGGTTTGTGCAAGCCAGGCTTCTAACTTGTGAAATCATAATTCCCAAAATGTAATATAAGAACAGTAATCTTTCAATCATGTTATTGATGATTTATTCTCAAGTTCTATAATTCTGGTTGGTTTTTGATGTGCATGGTGGTCATGAAAATATGTTTTATTAAATAGTCAGAATTTTTTAAAAAAAAAGAGGGAAAAAGTTAATAATTTGTACTACATTGGGCCTGAATCACATACGAGAGCGAATTCGAAAAAAGCACACTTAGAATGTAGGAGTGACACATGGTAAAAAAAGATAAAGATTGTGTGACTTAAAATCGACCACCTATCATGCACGTGGTCTTGTTCGTCGCGACCACGGGTCCATGGTTGAGCTATTTGTATTACATGCCTTCTAATGTCGAGATTGAATCTAATTGCCTCAACTCAAAATTAATTTTCGAAGGAAATGATGCAAGGATTGAAGACAAACTCTTGCAACAAGCAATCAATCATTAGCTTTCTAATTCCTTGTGAGGAAGAAAAGGAAAAAATATAAAAGAAAAAAACATACCATCCGCAACAAGAAAATTACAATTTGGTTAGAAAAATCACTGGAAGGATGTCAGTTTCTGGAAACTTCTTTTCTTGCCCTTTTTACGTTTGTTTTTTTCTTCTTCTTATCTACTCCATTATTTTCGCCACCCACAATAAATCCTCAAAATCCAAGTAGGACAATTCAACTTAGATCCTCCACGTGTCACAAACACAACCTGGAATTCACAAAACAATTGAATTCTCGGTAAAGATTCTACAAATTATACCCACTAAATCATTTTCCCTCTTTCTGGTTGATTGTGTGACCATAAAGTTGAAGTCTTCGAGCCAAGAATGGTGACAACCATTGCTGTGCACTCACCCAAATCCACTATTTTGCAGAACCCAATTTCGCTCAAAGAACCAAACTCTGCCTTCCTTAGAGGGTACCCCTTAAAAGGTCTTTGTTTGCAATTGAAACCTAGAAAAAGTAGAGGTAGAGATGTCATCAGTTTGGTGGTTGCTTCTGCAAACACCACCACCTCCTCCACCGGCAGTGGTGGTGGAAGATTCTATCTCAATTTCACTGGGTTCCCTTTCCCTCTTGGTCCTTTTCTCAATAGGTGCACCATCAGGACTGAGGTTAGCTTGTCTATCTTCATCTTCTCTTCACAAATATATATATATATATATATATATATATATATGTATGAAAATGAAATGATCTTGGGCTATTGTAGACTTGTAGTATGTTTACAATTGTCTGTGATTTAAAGCTTTATGGGTTATTTACATGTTAATCAGAATTTTTCTTCATTTTGGATAACAATGTCTGCTATTTAAAGATTCAACTACCTTAGTTGGTAAGATATAATGTATTAAATTATCTTGGGCTATTTTTTAGTCTGTTTAGAATTCGTCTGTGATTGAAAATTTTAAGGGTTATTACATGTTTATTAGAAATTTTCTTTATTTTTTATAACAGTGTCTGCTATTTATATATTCAAACACCTTATTAGCTCATATATATTTATATGAGCTAATTTGTCTTAGTTTTTTCTTGAAAATTCCAGAGTTTAATTGGGCACCGGGGCTTTTTAACTTTCTAGAACAGTCATTTATTGTCTTCAATTATTTGTGTGAAGCAACTTAAAAATATTGTCTCCTCTAGTTCTCCATTCTCTTCACCAACATTTGGAGATCAAATCAGATAAAATGAAAAGAGGGATTTGCTTAGCCTTAATTTAAAGTTGCTGTTAACTAATTCCTTAACAAAGTTCCATAATTAGCGTCGACGTTCCACTATTTGTTAAACGCGTCAATGAACTTCCATGAAAGTAAAAGCAAAATCTGCTATCAGTTTCAGGGTAGAAATTTTTCTACATGGCAACCTGATTTCTGCCATATATTATGTTATTTGCAATTTGTGCAGCTATAGTACACAGTTTTTAAGACGAAAAAAAGATCAAACACTTTGTCCAGAACATTGTTAAGTTAGTTACAAGAGCGAGAAGGGTTCTCTTTTCAAATAATAGAGTAAGTTAACTAAGTATAATCTTTTCGAATGCTCAACTGCACTAGTTACTTTAGAAAAGCACTCTTAAGTATATTAGTATAAGAGCATAGCTTCACTTCATCTTCCCTTTTCATAACATTCTGTATAGGTTTTATTTGTCCAATGTCATCCAGAAAGAAATATATGGGAACAAATATGAGGTTACTTTTTGGATCGCTAAATTTAGAATTCTAAAATCAATGTGTCATTCTCTCAACATAACCACTATGGAGTAGTGTCTTTTACAGAACTCGAGTGAATGTGCATAATCACTCTGTCAGAAAAGAAATAGATTTATCTGCAAAACGTCCTCAAGTAATAAGTTAACAAGTCATTAGGCACAGGAAGGATCCTTATTTTATATAAGCTTGCTTTTTTGTTGACACATGAAGGATCCTTATTTTATATAAGCTTGCTTTTTTGTTGACTAACTTTTGCTGTCACTTAATTCCAGGCTGTGAAAGACTGCATATGGCTATTCGAACAAGAGCAAGCTTTGGGCTTCAGCAGTGTCTCAACAAACATCCGAATGACGGTCATCAAGCTCAAAAGTGGAGGACTATGGGTCCATGCACCCATTGCTCCAACCAAGGAGTGCATTCAGGTTCTATTTCTTCTCTAGCTTTATACATGTATTGTAAAAGCGCTTCTAAGGGATTTTTGGATATCAAGTGAGACACCCCCCAAACACCAAAAAAACAATAAAAAAAAATCAACAAAAAACAATTTAATTAGTGAATAAGTGTTTTGAAATGCATTAGATATGGAAGCAATTCATTTTGCTGTGATTTATAACATTGCTATGTTATAAGATCATATTTCTCAAAGGCTTCTCAAGAACTCCATCGTGCCTAATAGCAAAATATGATAGCATAAAATTCATGTTTGATACACACACCCATCACTGAATTTGGCCAAAAGGTACGACTCCAGTTGGGATATACCTTTAAAAAAAAAGGGGGTTTTGCAACTGGTTTAGGGGTTGTTATTTTGTTAATCATTTTTATTTCATACCTTTTTTACGCTCGCCAAATGACCTACGATACTTAGGCTCCCTTAATTTTTTTGATAAATTTCTTATGTACTCTGCATATCTGCACTCTGATTGACATATAGACCCTTAAACACTTGGCTGATATCTTTCAATTCTGTACCTCTTGCCAGCTTGTGAAGGAGTTAGGAGCTCCAGTAGAATACATTGTTCTGCCTACATTTGCTTATGAGCATAAGATATTTGTTGGCCCATTTTCTAGAAAGTTCCCCCGGGCTCAGATATGGGTAGCACCAAGGCAATGGAGTTGGCCTCTCAATTTGCCACTTGAGTTTTTTGGGATTTTTCGTGCCAAAACATTGATAGATGAGGATTTATCCACCCCATGGGCTGATGAGATTGAACAGAAAGTATTTATCTCACCAGAAGTTGGTAATATGAAGTAAACTTATTGACTTTGAACTTTATCTCGATGGATTCTTAGTTTTAACTGATATGTTTGTAAAAAAATTCAGGTATTGGACCTTACGTAGAGGTGGCATTCTATCATAAGCGTTCAAGAACACTACTAGTGACGGATGCTGTAATTTTTGTACCAAAGCAGCCACCTGAGTGTATTAACAAGGAATCCTTGTTGTCATCTGCAAAGAATGGTTTGGCTGTGAAGCTTCTTAGTAAAGGCAAGGAAGTTCCTGAGGAACCAGTTGTTGACAACAAGATAAGCCGGCAAAAAGGTTAGTCCTCTGTTATAATCTAATCAGCTCGTTATGTCTGGATGCTAAGTGCACTTAGGAAAGACATAATGCAACATGAGAATGAACATGTGCTGGAACGAACACTTGCAAATTACTGGACTGGATATTCGGTGCAGGGTGGGAAAGAATGGTTCTCCAAATCTTGTTTCTTGGTCCTTCAAATCTTTTGGAACCCAAAGCTAGCTTTGCTCAAATGTCGCAGAAGCTGATTGTTTCACCAATTGTCAAGACATTGGTCTTCAGCAAAGTTCCTGAAAAGGCAAGTAAACCAGTCTAGTACAGACTTTTCTTCATTAGGTCAATATGGTATTCTATTTCAGGTTTTTAATCTACCTCCCTCCCTGATATGCCACAACTCTAGTTTGGTTATTAATCAATCACACCGGCTATGTCTTATGACAAAGGAGGGGTTACATTTTCTCATCTTAGGCACAAAGAAGATTATTAAGATATTATCTTTGCTTTAATAATGAAACCTCCAATCTGGGCTTTTATGTGGCATGCTCTCAATGATAACCAACTACAACTACGGAAGCATATAAGGAAGACTTTTATGCTTGGATGCTTCCTTGAATGGACAACAAATTATTATCACGACTTTGTGGAGTTATTTCAAAATTTGACCCTATTGTGTGCTTCTTCAAATATTCAGGTCCGGTATTGGATTGATAGCATTGCAAGGGACTGGAGGTTCAAAAGAATAATCCCTGCTCATTTTGCTGCCCCAGTAAATGCTGGCAGATCCGAATTTTTAGCAGCATTCGGATTTCTTGATGACTTCTTGGGTGAACGGTATGTCACACGACCTTCACTGTCTCTTCTCTTCACTTCACTGATGGGAAAGGCCGCCAGTTACTTCCCTCCAGATGACATGAAGACGTTATCATCCCTTGATCAATTTTTAGTCTCAGTTGGAGCAGTGAAGAAAACAGTCTCAGGTCGGAAGCGATGATACAACACGAACTACCAGTTACCTGTAAGATTTTACATATCAAATGTAAAAATGCCTGTATACGTAGTGTACTTAGTATAATCTTTGTTCAACTTGAGAAAGAAATGCAATGGCAGTGCTTATGCTGCAGTTACAAGAATCTCTTGGATAAAATTAGGCAAAAGTGGTTGTTGACAGTAGGACATTTGTCTTGCTTTTTATTATTTTTGCACCTGGGACTTGTTGGTCATGGGGATCAATCCTTGGTCTGTTGCATTTCTTAGTAACCAAGCAAAAAAATTAAGAAAAAAGAAACAAAAAAGGAAAAAAAAATGAGTGTGGGTTATTTCTGGGGAGGTCCCTAGGCTCTCATGTATTGACATTATTTTAATACACTTGCAAAGAGTTAGTGAATAAGATGGACAATTCATTTAAAAGTTGCTTAGAAAGAAAGATCTACGCAATTCTCTAGATTTAATGTACTTGAAGCATTATTTTTAAGAGTCTGTAAAGCTAAAGCTAAAAGTATTTGTAGCCTTTAACAACTTTGGTAAATAGTTACTTTTGGTCATGCTTTAGGTTTGCTGTAAGCAGCCTTTGAATAACTCTAGGAAGCAACTTTATGTCATCTTTTACATCACAACTGAAACTTGCAAATTAATTGAGGTCAGGACTATGAGTTGGGATCCTCTGTGCTATAACACGGTGTTGTACAGCATTGGACGGATCCCATCACTCACTCGTGTAATCGTACAACAACCGTGCTGTACTGCAGAGGATTCGTGATCGTGAACTATAATACTAAAGAGATTACTGAATTTGTTTGAAGCATTTGAGCAACCCTTGCCTCTTAACTACTTAATAAGTTGGCTGAAATTTAAGGAAAAGCTAGAGAGAGTAGTAAAGAGATGTCATGGGATCCAAAGCATTGGGAAAACCAAATTCAAGGCAAAAGGAAGCCCACATACAGCTGGTCACTATTCTGTTTTTTTGTTCCCAAAAAAGGAAGTTTAAACTAATAAAGTGATTGATATATATATACATATGTATGTATACATATATACTTCTGTTAGTGGATGATTTTATGCTCATTAAGCCTTGTAGGCAGAAGAATCAAATAGAATAGGGGATAATCTTCTTGCCATTGGCAATAAACTTAATATTTGGTTGGGGGGTCTCCCTCCTTGATTGATTTAATCCACCAACATAGATGTGTGTGTGTGTGGGTGTGTGTGTGAGAGAGAGAGATTATAGCTTAGTGGCCCAGCACTTAGGAGAGGAGTCGCCTTTTTGGTTTTGTTATTATTATGCATAAAAGATATTTGTGGTGGAGAAAGAGAGATGGAGAATCCAAGGTGTGTTTTTTTAGGGTACTCAATCTCAACTTTTCTCTTTTTATGCAAAGTCATGCAATTTTGGCTACATTAGTGTCAGAAATTGCTTTTGGATGTGTTTACACCTATTGATATCATGATGTCACTCTCCCTTTGTTACTCCATGTTAATTGTGATTTATGACAAACTATAAATTGCCCCAAACCATTGGAAGATGACTATAAATTGCCCCAAACCATTGGAAGATGACCCTTAGGAAAGGTAATTGTACTAATTGTGACCATCCTTCCAAGTTTGTGACATGTTAATCAAGAAAAACTGTTGTGGAAGTTCTTTTTCCTTTTTTATATATTACAATTTCTTTTTTTGTGTTCTTGACTTGCAACAATTATATATATATATATATATATATATATTTATGATCAGAATGTTAGTAGTTAGTAGGAAGGGAAGTGCGAAAGTTTGAAGACGGATTTTCAAGAACACCACCGAGCGACCGAGCTCCACGAATCTAAACCCATAAATTAGGCTAAAGATTTTTATTTTTATTTTTTTTTAAATTATTATTATTATGATTATTTTATGGTTAAATTATATATGATACATAAATACTCAATTGTTTGATAATTTACAAAGAATAGATATTTAAAAAATCATAAAAATTCAAGGAACTGTTGAAGTGACACCATCTAGTTTGTTACATATTTAAAATTTAAACAAACTAGTATCTGAGTTTGTGATTTAGAAATAAGAAACTGTCGAGGAAAACTAGGACAGTCCATTAAACAAATTCAAGTGACATTTACAAAATGACAGACAACTTCTAAGATATGTAATCCTTATATAATTAGCTTATCATGAATACAACCTAAACCTCAAATAACTAAAATAATTCCCACCAAACCAGAAAACACTGTATTATATAATTTATATACTAGTTTGTATTATATACTAGCTCACTATGATTAGAACTTGGAACTCAAACTAAATTGTTTGTGTTGTTATAGCTTAGAACTACCCTAGGTTTATTCGTATATATGTATATATATATCTATATAAATATATTTATATATATAGATAATGTGTGTGTGTGTAGGCACGTCCAATTTTCAGATGGCACGTGTCTATCAACAAACGTGGAGTGCCAAATTGACACTTTGGCACAACAACCAATACCTAAATCCCACATCATCATCTCTAGCAAATTATCACGATATCTCATATGGTATTTTGATGCAAGCCCTTTTCTTTTTCGCTATGACATTTGGAGTTTAATACTTCCAAATTAAATTTCATCTTTCCATTTTCGATTGGACAAAATAAATATCACATTTGAAAAGTCAAAGCACAAATTTTTTTCAACTTACCAATTTAACTTTTTTATTAAACTTATAAAAAGTAAATTTGTCACTGTAAACAACATTCAGCATCTCCAGCTAGCTGTTAAATTTTTTTTTTTTATGTAAATCTGATGTGTTAGAATAGATTTCACAAAAATTTTGTACTAATTATTTTTAGCTCGAACGGGTTTTATACTTTCCATGTAAAAAACTATCCTCCAATAATAATTAACTTATACCCAAAGTCCTTCATAATTTTTATAAACTTATTTTATTCGGTTTATTTTTTGGCGATTAAATTTCACGTCCCAATCCTCCTAACTTAGGAAAAAAATAATAATTTCTCCCTATATTTCACTTTCCCATCCCGTCAATAGCAAACCTTTCATGCCATTACCACCAGAATTCTAATTTATAACAAATAATAAAATAAGATTCAAGTATGTCTCTCATTAGAATAAAATGTAAATGGATAAAAAACTCTAAAATCTACAGTATGATAAAAAAAATCTAAAAAAACCTTAAAATCTACGGTATGACCCTTTTTCACATGGGTGACTTTTACACATGGGTGATGTGGCAGTGTATTTTAACAGACTGTTGGAGATGAAAAAAATTTACAAATCATATCTGGCAGTATATACAAAAGTATTTTTAAACAGATCGCTGGAGATGCTCTAATATAATAAAAAAATATTAAAATTTATCTATCTTAAAAAGGTAAATTTTTAAAAAAGAATATTTAATTTGAGACGAAGAAGGAAATATTGAAGGAGGTAATAGTATTAAGTACAAAAATAATAATTTAATTTAATTTATGTGTTTAATTTTCTTAAATAAATCTATTGAGTCCAAAAATTAAACATACTTATTAGAGAACTACAAAGATGCTTCTTGAAATCATACCTTTTAACTCAATTTTCATAATATTATAAAAAAAATGAATAATAATCTCTTTTTTTAATTCTTATAAAATTGAAAAAAAATAATAAAAAATTAAATCACACATGCACTTTAGATTAATTGAGAATTTGTTTGAAGAACCCTAAAATAAAAAATACAACTTTCAAAATGCTCATTATTTATTTTATTTTGTTTTATTAATACTTGCAGAAAGAAAACACTCAACCAAATATAATTCTGAATATTTATGTACTTTTTTATATTAAAAAAAATTCATAACCAAACAGGTATTCAACTTTTTCTTCATGAATCTTCCTCATGCTTATATTAATCAATAATAATACTCCGTAATAAAAAGCAAAAGACCATTAAATGAAAAAAAAAAAAAAAAAGAAAAAGTACGGAGTATCATATCAAACTTGTGGACGTTTCGCGTTATTATCACACGATACATTTAGCGAATAAATTAATTTGTTAAATTCGGTGGGGTCCATTTCTTCGTTCACTTCTTTCTCTCTCACACACACACACACAACGCACAAAGATAATTAACAAACGCGCAATCCCAGACGAAAAGCCCATAAAACCCAAAATACTGCGAACAGTGCAAAGACAATAGACGTTGCTTGCACGATCTCTTTTGAGCAAAAAAACACACAGAAAAGTGGGGTTCATCCTCGAGCAGGCCTCATTCATCTTCTGTTGGCTTTTTTCCTTCGCTTTCTGGTTAAGCAGAGAAAGAGAGAGAAAAGAAAAACACCCACTTTAAGGTACGCGTTTCCTTCAGTTTCTTTTTTCTTCATTAAATACGCCATTGGATTACTCGTTTTTCTTCGAAATCACAACATGGGTTCTCAACCTTTTCGTGTTTCGACATTGGGTTTGTCGAAAATTTGGGTATTGGTGTTGGGTTTGAGTCTAATGGACTGATTGATCATTGTAGCTTCATTTGTATCGACTGTGCTTTCTCTCTCTTATTTCTCTTTCTACCTATTTTGGGTTTTTGATTAATTGGCATTTAAAAAGATTTTCACAACATGGATTCTCAACCTTTCCATGTTTCGACTTGGATCTTGGTGTTGGGTTTGAGTTTTGATTGATTTGCATTTTAATAGTTTTTTATTTTTATTTTTAAATTTGCATTTGAAAGGTTCGGTTGTTGTTCGCTTCCTGGTGATTGCAATTCTGGAAAAGGAAAGAAAAGACTAAAAGAGGTATGAATTTAATGTGGGTTTTTTTTTGAGATTTTGAGAATTTATGGAATAATGCTCTTTATATAAATTTATTTGGATTGATTGATTTAATGGAATGGGTTTGCAGTATGATATGATTTTATCAAAGACTCGGGAGGTTTTGTTGTATCTTTCGAAAATTCAAGTTTGTAATGATATGAAGCCAATCTATGACTTTAAAATGAACGAATTTGTTGATCTCCTCATTGTCCTTACCATGATGGGAAATTCTTCCTTTGTTTTGTCCGCAGGGGACATAAAATGAACAAATATGAGAATTCGACCATTTAACTTATGTGAGTGGATATACCAAAGCTTTAGATATCAAAAGATTCTATTCACTTTGTTTTTAGCTGTTCAATCATTGATCTCCTTTATTTTTTTTTTGGTTGGTTTTTTTTCTTTCTTGGTTTTTATTTTTATTTTTATTTTTTTTTCTCAGTGATAAATGTTGTTTTCTGGAAAAGGAAAAGAAGAAGAAATTTTTCTGATGATTTGAGAAGATGGATAGGTTGGATAACAAATTCCGAAAAGAAATGAAGAGGCTTTCATAATTCTCTCTTTAGCATTGTAAAATTTCCCCTAGGGTCTATTTTTATGTGCACTTTAGGTTTGTTGTGTTCTGCCCGTTTATGGTTCTACATTACTGTAATTGTAGGAATAATTTATATTTTCTCTACAAACGGTGATTTGCAAAGTTGATATTTCACAGCAGCATAGAGGTGAAAATTATATTGTGATTGAAGTTCTGAAAATCTTACTTAGTAAAAGCAAAAAAATTCTGAAAGCTTTAGACTTTCTATCTCCTTTCTAGAAGTTATAGATATAACGCTTTTTATTTATTTATTTTGGCTTAGAGTCTTCCTTAGATTTTGATTTTTATATATGTATACATATATGTGTGTGTGTGTAATTTAGAACAGTAGATTCATCAGTTTCTGTTGATCTCAAAAACGTAATTTTTCTTCTTCTGTGTGTGTGTGTGTGTGTGTTCTTTACTTTTGATGTTGAATCTTGTGTTTATGTTGTTATACTGATCGATCTTGGTGTGTTACTCAGTTAGCTTAGCTGCTAATAAAATATTTCTTGGTAATGCATAGATTGTTCTTTATTTAATAAGTAAAAGTTATCATCATTATATATTTTTTTGATGGTTTTCAGGGTTGTGGAGTCTAAATTTTTGTTGCATTTTCCTCATTCCCGTTTAATGGCAAAGAAGAGTATCGATTTATTAGCAATCCCAGATAAAACTGAGCCAAATGGAGTTGATTCGAAAAGAAACTCTACAGGAAAACCTTCTCTGAACGGTGGTTATAATAGTCGCCCTCCTTATTGCAGAGCTTCTATTGGCTCTTGCAATGATAGAGGTAATTTGCGAAGAAACTCTACAGGAGAGCCAAGTTTCCCAAACAGCAGACAAGATATTCTCCCTCATTATCTCAGAGCTTCTACAGGTTCTTGTCATGATTTCTGCAAATATGGGAAAACCCATGCATTTGAAGTGAAGGCAAGGCATCCTATACCAAAAAGAATGACAAAACCTCCATCTGGCAGACAAAATTCCGTAGAAGTTGTGACTCCAGCAGACAGGAAGAAGGCAGCAGTGGTCAAGCTCAAGTCTTCCATTCTTTCCAAAGCCCATTCATCTGAATCCGCTGAAGTCATTAAGCGGGAAGTTTTCTCACCATCCAGAAAAGTTGAAGAAGTTACAAAACATGCTCCATTGAGTGATGCCCATTTGTCTATGTCCCCTGAAATTATCAAGCGGGAGGTATCATCACCATCCAGAAAAGTTGAAGTTGTTACAGAACACTCATTAAATGAGGTGAAAATAACAGAAAAGGAGAAGAAAATGGATTTGTTTGCAAAAGGTGCTCCTTCTGTGAAACCTAAACCTGTTCGTGTGAAAATAACTCAAAAAGAGAAGAAAATAGATTTGTCTGCAAAGAGAGCTCCTTCTCTGAAGCCAAAACCAGTGACGGTGAAGCCATTGTCTTCCTCTGACACTTCAGGAGGTTTAAATGTAAGAAGAACCAGTGATGTCAAGCAGCGCAAGCTTACAGAAAAAAGAAACAGTGACATCAAGATTGGCAAAAACAACGGGACCCCCAAAGCAGCAGTAAAGAAGGTACTGGCAGCCCGGACAGTTTCGTTGTCCCCCAAGGTTTTTGTCAATAGACCTATAAACTTGAATGCAAGGAACTCCAGAAGCCCGAAACTCGTGTCTCCTCTGAAGGATCAGAACAGAATAAGAAAAGCCAAACCCGAGCAACCCAATGTTGACAATATTCAGGAGAAAACATTGCATGTTGTCAAGATAGAAGCTGAAAACAAAATTTTGGGATCCACTCAAAATGATTGTACCAATCAAACACTTCCATCGCCGTTAATACCATCACCCAAGTCTTCATCCCACCCAAAATCTCCATCTTTGTCATCTTATGAAGAAGAAGATCTAGAGGGTTCTGAATACAGTGATAGTGAAGCAGATTATTCCATCTCTGAAGACAATGAAACTGTAAGCATGGATGGGATAGAAACTTTAGAAGGGAATGGCAACAAGTTGCCAAGAAAAGCTGGAGCAGTTCTTTCTGAAGATAAAGATTGTGCAGCTATGAAGTTAAAGTTCAGGAGGGGAAAGGTGGTTGACCTTCAATCTGAGAATAATGGTCCTAGGAGGCTAAGATTTAGGCGTGGAACAGTGTTGGGGGAACACCAAGGTGGCAAGGTTGATGCTCGAAGGCGAACCTTTAAGAAGAGAGGAGTTGATGGTGACGGAAATGGTAACAACCCTGGTTCTGAAAAAGTTGTTTTGAGGCATCAGGATGTGCAGGGGAAGAAAGATGCTCAGGGTTTGTTTAATAATGTTATTGAAGAAACAGCAAGTAAACTTGTCGAAAGCAGGAAGAGCAAGGTTAAGGCGTTGGTGGGTGCTTTCGAAACAGTGATTTCCCTCCAAGATATCAAACCTTCTGCACCCATTGTCTCTTGAAAGTGTTTTTTTATGCGTACTTTTTGTAAAGAAATGGTAGAAAAAATAATAATACGAGCTTGTAATGAGAGGAGTGGATTTACAAGCTTCTGAAGGTGCAAAAGGGCCTACAGTTAGGATTTTCAGTTAAGGTCAGAAAGCTCAGAAGACAGTGATGAATGCGGATTTGTGTGTACTGACGTTGACATGCTTCATATCCATTGCTTTGAGGGTATGCTGCTTCTTGATTTCTTTGAACTTTATACTAATGTGATTGATTCGTATTGTGAATTCAGCTATTATAGTTGTGACTTAATCAACTTTGACTAGGGGAAACAACATCTAAATGACTTGATCTATTGAGTTGCATCTTTTTTTCTTTAATGTTTAGTTCTCGCTTTGCTTGCTTGGTTGTTCTGATTTGCTCATCATTTTCTTTTCTTCTTCTTCCTTTTTGTTTTGTTTCTGTTTTTGTTTAACATATATGAAATGAACACAATACCACTTGCTGGGTCAGACATTTGCCACTGTGTGTGTGTTCATTTGTCTACTCATCATAAACCATCTTTGAAATGAACGAATTTGGGTTCAATTATCAGAGTATAACTTGAATTTAAATTTTAAAAACTTAACTTTAGATCTCAACAAGATGCATGGATTAGGGTCCTATATTGGTGTTTTTGAATAGCAAGGTCATAAGAGTTATTTGAATCCATAGAAAGTGCTCTAGTTGCACATTGAACCTAATAAAGTGAAATATCTCCTCCACTTCTACTGTATTCTTCTTTAAATCCTACTCAAATAGCCAATCCTTGTGTATTTTTTGGTAATTTGAATCTTAAATCTCTTTGTTTCAAGTATATCAGTTCAAATGAAAGCTTAGAGGATTTAAAAACCTTTATAGAAGCAATTAAAGCCTTTTTTTTTTTTTTTTCCCTTAGTTGATACTCGCACACCCCGCCCACCACGGAAATTGTTTACCCAAAGGCTCGAACCTGAGACCTGATGCTTCATGAGGCAACTAAAACCTTTCTTTCACATCACCACTTTTGGTAAAATAACTTGCCAGCTTGTGTTGCGTCGAAGCATCAAGGCCAGTTCCTTCTCATTCAAAAATAATATTTGGCCAAAGAACTGCCTGGAGATCGGAAAAATGCAAGATGTACTATATGATTTTAGGAATGGTAGATCTAACATAGTTGCTTTTCCAAAAGAAAAAAAGTTATCATCATCGAAAAGAATTAAGTAGGTTGTCATCTCTACTTTCTCTTTAGATGGGTGGAATACCATATAGAGAGTACGTACATAGTAGAGGCTAGACAAGGAATGACAGGTGCAGCGCGGTTTTGAATGAATGGAGATGCTGATAATGTTCAGAGAGTGATGCTTTGAACAGTAATGCTGTAGGCATTATGAAACTCATGATTCCATGTGTTTAGCTATCAGATATATATATTTTTGTTAATTTATCCATGTCAAGAGTCATGAATTCATTGCATTGGCGTCCTGATTTTTGCGACCATACTTGGGATGTCGTGGCTCTTATTTGTGTGAATGGATTGTTTCTCCTCCTTTTAGCAAATGGATTCTCAGGTTACATGAATTAGAGGAGTTGTTTTCAATTTGTGAATAAATGGTTGGAAATGCAAATTTTGCTAAATTTTTAGTTTACACTTTTGGTATCAATTGGCTCCGTTTATCTGCATCTTATGTTTGTTTTTCTACTAAAGGTATAGCTGATAGTTGCTCTTTTTGGTAGCTTTGGTTTCTTGAAGATTATTTGATTGGTTTAACCTTGAAATAAACAAAAGTTCCTGTCAGTGACTTGATAGCAGTTCAGATGAAAGAATGAACACGGATGATTTTACTTCCGGTCATGCTAGTTTGTGGATAAATCATCTTGAAGCAACCAAACATGCATGTTCTTCACAATAGGGTTTCATGTTTGCAATCTCCAAAGCCTTTTAATGATTAATTATGCCTGATATTATGCGAGCAGGACTGTAGGAGTGATGATTTTCGTTTTTGTTAACGTCAAAGGTTTTTGCAGACAGAAATTTCTTGCTCTGTTTGGTTCATCGAAAAACTGATTGTAGATTAATCTGGTCTATTTTCGGTTTCTTGTAGTTTTCTGTTTTGGGTGTTTAAAGAAATGGAAAGCCACTCAAATGGGAATTTAGAACCCTCAATTACTTCAAGGCTCTATGATTCCATAGGTGTTTTCCAGGTTGAAATGGCTTGAAAATTGAAATGCCATTAACATGCATGTTCTTCGATGGCAAGGAGAATCCCATTTCTATGTTTAAGTTTTCTATTATTTCTACTCTCTTTTGTTGGGTCTTAGGGAGAGATTATCGTTCTGTTGAGGAAATTGTTATGTTTTTGGCCTCTTTGAAGGCTTGAGGCCCTTTTTGGTTTTTTCTTCTTGTATCCTTGGGTTTCGCTCCCCTTGAGCGCTTTTTTTATAAAATTCTTACTTATCAAAAAAACAAAAAAATAGCATGAATGTACAGTTCTCAGCAGTTATGGCAATGCCTTTTGTTCCATACTAATAAAATCAAGATGAGTTTGGGGGTGCATATCAAATCTGCATTTCTCCAACTAGAGAGTTTAGACATGTCCATTTTTCCTCCTAGCAATCATGGTCCTAGTGGATCCCTATATGAGTAGATCCCATCATATTTTAGAGGTTGATGTCCTTTACCATCCTTGAGACTTGATCTCATCTTGATAAATGTCACGAGACAATCTTATCTTGATAAATGTCACAGAGAGTCTTGTCCCGCGTTAGAAAGGACTAGAGAGGGTCTTGAGCTCACCTAACGGGTTAAGCTTCTTGGTTGATAAGACAACTAATCATGCCACTTCAGTATTTGTGTAACTATCCATCGTGATATGATTGGTTTTGCGCACAATTTAATCTAAATAGAGATAATAACGGTGATTTTGTAAAGGTTAGATTTAGGTTTACACAGATTGGGAAAAAGAAAAAAAAATTACTAATGAAGAGTATCCAAGTCCCGGAGGTCTTGTCCCTTAAATCCATTTAGTAACTTAAGTTTTTCATTTAATAGCTTAAGTTTTTTGATTGGTAAGCGCAAAATCCACTGTTGCTTGGATTGGAAAGGGCTTAAATCCTTTTAATACCTTTAAGTTTTTTTTTTCCCTAGTTGGTACTCACACATACATATCTCTTCTGAAACTTGAATCCCTGACCTCTCTTTGAAAAGTAAAAGGCTGATATCATTAAGCCAGTGACCCGTTGATAATAGCTTAAGTTTTTCATTTAATAGTTTAAGTTTTTGATCGATAAGCGCAAAACCCATTGTGCGTCGCTGATGAGGTCGACCGGTAGACAAATGGTTGTTTCTTCAAGCTTAATCAAGCTAGAGATATTTCAAGTCTCACCATCTTTTGTATGTTCCTCATACTGAAAGAATGAGAACTCTTTTAAAATGGTGCAGGATGTGAAAACCTATTTAAAAAAGTGATAATCATGTAAGGAAAGGAACCCAGCAATTAAAAAATACGCAAGTGTTAAATAATCTTGTTTTGGTCAGTACGGTTCCCTTGGACCACAACTCTTAAAATAACGTCCCGTCGAAGAAATACATTTCAATATTTGTTGTTGGATGAATCCTACTGATTAGAACACTTTATGTTAAAAATAATTTGTTTTTTTTTATTTATTATTATTATTATTTTAATTCAAAGTACTCTATTTTAGACTCATGTGCCTACATTTATCACCAGTAGGTTTTAATATTTTTTTAAATTCTAACATTGAAATAAGTGCAACTATGACCAAAGTTTCAAATAATCTTCTTTTAGCAAGTGGAATTGGAGTGCTGCTCTGTGAACCGTTAAATCTAACTTGGAATTGGAGTGCTTTGTGAACCGTTAAATCTAACTTATTTATTAATGTCACCTTCCACTCATATTAGGGTGCTTTATGAATCTTTATATCTTACTTTACGCAACTAATTACGCATCCAACTCTTTTTTTATAAATATATAGGTTAAGAAGTGGATTCGGTGCAATAAAAGTGTTTTACGGTCCATAAACATTACACGTATAACAGTGGTGAGCAGTAAGATGCACTACAATTCTTTCAAAGTAGGTTTAATGTAGTTGACATTCCAAAATATAATCTTTTTATATAATTTACCCTTACGTGAGAGTGTTGGGTTGTAACTCTGAAAACAGTTTTTTAAAAGACAATTATTTAAAAATAGACCTTTTCAGAAAACAGTTTTTAGAAAATTGAATCAAATTGATTTTTTATACAGTTTTCTGTTTTCACTTTTTTTTAAACAAAAAACTATTATCAGAATTAAAATCAAGCAAACAAGGGTTTTCCACTTTGTCGGTTTTTCACTTTGTCCTTGCACGGATTTTAACTTTCACTTTGAGAGAGAAAAAAAATATCAAAGAAGTATAATAATTGATGATTAAATACAAATCTAATTTTAATTTTAAAAAAAACCCTATTTAGGAAGCCATATGTGTATATATATTGCTCATGCACCTATTTTATCCCTTGAGTACCTTTTTATTTTAAGCATCATTGAGTTATGGATATTTAAAATTCTATTTACTTCCGGTCATTTTTTAAATTTGTGCAATCAATAATAAATTTACTCATCCATTCAAGAGTTTGGGTAATGTGAATATTGAAATAAATGATAGAAAAATTTTCAATTTCCTTAAACCCATACTAAATTTCCAAATTCTCAACCTAACTCAATAGAATTAATCTTGATTGGAAAACAAATTTCCAAATAAAAATAAATAATAAATAAAACTCATATTATAATAATTGATTAATTTAGATCAAGGAAGACGAATCAATCAAGCAATAGGAGGCAAATTGCAAAGTTGCATACTTGATGACGAGATGGTCCTTTTGACCAATGACAACCAATTGGATCGAAACAAGCAAGACAAAGTGGCGTTTCATAGTCCTGTCCGTAAGCGCCACGTGGCAGTATAATTTTCTGAAAGTAACTGGCTTTAAATAACTTGACCTTCTTCTAACTTCATAACCGTCCTGTCACTGTATGTTTACCATAAATATACTATCATTTTTCTCTCTTCAGATATGGAAACCAAAACCCTCTTCCTCTCAGCTCCCATTTCAGGAATCTGGTTATGGCAGCTCTGTGACCAGATTTTTTTCCTGTCTGGACGAAAATAACCCTTTTCAGGAGGATCATTTTCGGCCATTTCTTGCATGTATCTTGGTAATTTTTCACTTTTTCTTCCTATATTTTGCCCTTGCTAGCATGTGCAGCTTGAATCTGATGTTTGTCTAAGGATTCTCAGGTGATGCTGAAAAGGGTCTCTGTGAGCTGAGGTGAGAAATTGGGGTTTTGATTTTAAGTCAATTAAGATCTTGTACAGTTTCAGATTGCTTCTAAATGAACTGGTTTTGTTTGGTTTGATTCAATTTCGGATTTTGTTAATTGGTTACTGATTTTTTAATCTGTGTTGATTCTGGTTATTTATTAGAATAAGTAAATGTTGATTTTGGATTTGGATTAGGGTTTTTGTGAACTGTTAATTTATTTTGGAATTTATGTATTCATGTGTTGGAACTTAGTGGAAGAAGAGATTGGTGATCTTTGCAAAGTTTTATAGATTTTCTTTATTATTATTATTATTATTATTATTATTATTATTATTATATATATATATATATATATTTTAGTGGGTTCTAATTTGGTTTTGTGGAAGAACTTTAGTTTTCACTTAAAGGGTCTTGTGGATCTTGAGCTTGGGAGGTTACTGAAATGATATGACCTTACAAAAGAAATGATATAGACCTTACAAAAGATATCCACAAACTTCAAGTGCTCAATCTGGTAACATCGTGAACAAAATATTTATCAAGCTTCGAATAGGGTTCTTTTCTAAAAGACATTCAATAATGTTTGTGCTTGTGTATATATAGAAAGAAATTGCTGATATATATATATATATATATGTGTATATATATATATATAAATATGAATAATGGAAGAGGATAATGTAACCTGATTGGGCAGAAGTTAAACAAGGTGAACCACTACCACAAATAAATATGCACTTTTTTTTTCCTAGTTGATACTCACAACCCACCCCCCAAGGAATTGTTTGCACCCAAGAGGAGTCGAACCTTAGAACTGTGAGGCATTAGGGCCAAGTGACTTACCCTCTTGAGCCAACCCCTTGGGATTAATGTATATGCACTTTGTTGGAGCATTTTAACAATGGGTAACTCTCCTTTTTTGTTGACTTGTTCTGAAGTTTTTCAGTACTTGGATGGAATAGAGAGAGCGTTGCTGCAAGTATTTATATTTACGATATCTATGGTTCTACCTAATGAATTGATTATGGTGCATGTAGTTTTCCTGTTTTCCAAATAGTCCTGACAACTTCCATAATCTTATGACAACCAACTTCTTGTGCAAATTAATGAAGTATTCATATGAGGTTTGATGTGTGACCTTTTCTTGTCCATATAGTCCATAGTCCCATGACCATAACAATGTGGAGAATCAGAAAAATATCTGTATGTGCTGTTGGACCAAAGGAATGAATCAGAAATTGTCTGTATGTGGACTGTCAGATTAAATGAAGTGAATATTTTTTACTATGTTTTCTTCTAGGCATATGTTGGTGGTTAAATTGCTTTTTCATGTTTAATCAATATACTGCTATATGACACCTGATAAAATGAGATTTTGTCTGTAGGATTTAATCTTTGAATTAAACCTTGTAATATTTTGTTAACTATTTTTAGTCTTATTATTCATTGCTCCTGTTACCCACTATATTTTTCCTGGTGAAAGTTTGATCCTCAACTTAAACCTTGAAAGTGCCTAAATATTCTGTACTTTTTCTTTAGCAGTGTTGTTGTTCGCTGCTGTCCTTTTTTTTTTTTGATAAGTTGTTCACTGCTGTCCTTTGCAACTCTTTGCAAATTAATGTCAAAAGCTAGGTCTGTGTGCAGTCCACCTTTTATAAAATCCATTTAGGCAGGCCCATTACTGGGTAATGGCCTTTGTTCATTGCTTCCCTTCACCATGTTATATTGCTTGAGCGATCAGACACTTGAGAAGAGTGAAATTCGTGTATCAACAATCTCATGATAGTCATATGCACTCAGTGCCCACCTTTTGTGTATCCTGTGATTGACCACTTTACTAGTTTAATATAACATTTTACATGCAGACTGATATAACTCTAAGACTTCATCGTGGCAGTGTGACAAAAAGAATGAGAAAATTGTTCTACTAATTGTATTAAGAATATAGTGCCATTGTCATTGATTATGACCATCCTTATCTTTTCTGAATTCTAAATTTCACCGTTTAATTGTATAATCAAACGAGATCCTAGTTTCTAACAATTAAAATAGAAATTTGAGCATGCAATGTCATCTCCGTTAATATGTTTTCTAAGTTAACAACTGCCAAGTCATACATGGATTTTTATAGTTACCTCTTTTGATATTAGCATGTGGAGATGATGATTATCACAAAGCAATACCGCTGTGTACACTCAGCAAGCTGTGCATGCACAAAAGGGCATCTGACAGAAGAAGTGATCTTTCTACTTTTTCAGCATTTGAACTGGAATCCTAAGTTGATAGCCACTCTTTCGTGTTCATGCAAATGGTTTGATGATCTTGCCAAAAGAGTACTCTGGAAGGAGTTTTGCCATACAAGAGCCCCAAAGATGATGCTTGATTTGCAATCTAGTGGGACTCAGTGTATTGATGGTAACTGGAGGGCGCTCGGAAAGCTCCTTATTTACTGTACTGGATCTCCCAAGGGTGGCTTGTTCAATAGCATTCATATTCCAGGCCACTTTGTTTACAGGACCCGATTCTCAAGTACATCAGGGAAAAGTTTTCTTTTACCGCAATGCAGAACAGATGTTTTGTATGTGTCTGACCCTTGCGAACATCTTGATCAAGGGGAAGAAGGGGATGTTGGATTTTTCCGGGGAGTTTTTAAGTCGTTTGCCAATTCAAAGGTTAAGAAGATGCTGATCCAAAAGAAAGCCCAGCTTCATCCGACGCAGGTGTGCCCCTATTGTAAAGCAAAGCTGTGGAGCATGCTGCAGGCACAAATGATTCCACAAAGTGCCAGCTGCAGATTAGGTGCTTACGAGGATTGCATCGAGTATTATGTGTGCCTGAATGGGCATTTGCTTGGGATCTGCACCCTCCTGCCTTTGTCTGATTCAGAAGAGTCATCTGATTTGGAGTGATATTTGAAAGTCGGAAGAAAACCCAGGTACCTCTAACACATGTCCCCCCCTTCTTCCGTGTCAATCCTTCAGCTGATATTGGAAATGAGTTTTATACTGCTTTAATTTGCAAAAAAGATACTTCCCCCCCCCCCCCCCCCCCCCGCGCGCCTTCCGTGTCAATCCTTCAGCTGATATTGGAAATGAGTTTTATACTGCTTTAATTTGCAAAAAAGATACTTCTACTTATTGAAAAAAAAAAAAAAAAGGAAGACCTGTAATGTTAGTTCTGAGCAAACTATTATCATTAATAAAATAATAAGTATTTCGAGATCTCGCTTTGCAGCTGTCGTAAGACACCCCCTTCCCTTGCCCTTTTCTGTTCACATGCAAGTGGGAGGCTGGTATATCAGTTGTATGATATCACTACTAAATAGGTCAGCACATCTTTACAATTTATAATCATTTCAATTGGATTACTCTGCTTATGTGGACTTCAGAATCTTTCTGGATTCCTTCTACTACTTCATCTACTTAAAAATTTAATAGAAGTTGTCAGGCCCTGCTGTTAATTTAATAGAAGGGATGCAAGGAATATTTTTCTAAGATAGAAACATGTTGCATGGTGAAATGCTGCCTACATGCAGGTGTGCTTAATTAAGCCAGGGGAAGGCACAAACATCCTTTGTGCCAAAATGGATTTTAGGCATTTATATTTCTTCTGCGCAGTGTTTTACCCTTTTCTCATCAGTGAGATACCATGACACTTGACTATTGTTCTACCAAGCCTTTACCAACTTTTGGTCCTACGAGTCCTTTCATATAGGTAGTCAACTAAGATTATTTTGTGTGGCCTTTATTAGACTCGGCAATGGTGAACACTATCATTCTTACATACATATTTATCCAAATTTCAGTAATTTAATTTTATCTTGCCACTTCTGAAATCAGTTTTTTATGGAATGAATTTTTATTTTTTTTTTATTTTTTATTTTTTTCAATTAGTTTGAGAAATGGCCAAGACATCCTTCTGCTTTCCCAATATGCTGCTCATTTTATATGTTGTAGACATTTATCTAGTACTGTTTAACTGCCTGTACCTCCGCATAAAGAACTGTGTTTTATTTGACAAAATATGTCCACTGGACAGGTTTTTAAGTCATTGCAAGGATGGATTTATTTGTCTCACTCACGTGGTGGATCATACCTAGACTTGGGTGAGCTGGGATTTTTAACAGGCGATTCATTCAACTTCCTTTTGGTGGAAGCTAAACAATTGCTGGATGCTGTCCTTACTAGAGTGTGCTGCTGCTCAATCTTTCCTTGGGTCCTTGGTCTCAGGGTTAGAAGCTATTGCAGACCATTTCATTTCCGTCATCCTTCACTTAAAAGGTTATTACTATGAAATATGTAGTGCTGTGAAATATGTAGTGCTATGTACATTATATGCCTTTCAGATATGTACTTGAATTTGAACAACAGATTAGGATCTACAATAATTTAGACATACTTATTTATGACAAATCCCTTGAAATTCCAAATTAGAAAGCTCTGATAATTGTTTTAATTCTTTGTTTGCCAATGCAGAACCATATCTTCATACCTTGTCTGATCTGATCTTCTTTTGCCTTTGCATTCTTTCCATTTTCCATTTCCCATTTCTTGCATACATCTGATGTATAATGGAACAATGGGGGCTCAAAAACTAAGCCATCCTATACTGAGATCAGGTACTTTGAGATGCTTTCGGTCTGACAAACGATGATTGAGACGAGATTCCGTAATCCCATTATCTATCATTGTGGTATGAGGTCTTGCTATCTGTTTTGTAGTTGCTGTTTATGTTGTGGTGATGTTGCAAGTTGTTTTGCCCTTCTCTGCTACATGTCAAGCTGCATATGTGAATTTAGCTCGTCATTCTTTGTGTTTCTAGTGCTGAAATAGAAAATGTCGTGGCCGTCTTTTGTCTGGCTTTTGTCTTCATATTCTCCCAGCAAAGAATGGAGAATCCATATTCTTCACATATCATGTTTGTGAATAAGGTCCAATACCATAAACAGTCATGTTTTTGGTTTTTTCTTGCTGTCTGAAGAAAAGAACTTTTACACTCTGCTCACTACCATTAATAGCAGCATAAATGTGATGGTTTAGGCACAACTAATGTCTTTAAGCTTTGTAATATATAGTGATCCAAGGTGGTTCCAATATTTTCCATATGTGAACATTTTAGGGTTAGTAGCTAAAATGATTTAGCTTTGTAGCTAAGGGAACTTGCGGAAGCAGCAGAAAAATGGTTGTACATTTTTCTATTCCCTCGGAAGTGTTGATATACCGATTCGATCCGAGCTCTCTTTATATTCTTGTAGGTATGGCATGGTTTTAGCCTTTAGGTACGCCATTGAGTTGGTTCAGGTCATTCAAATGTGCATTCCAGTGATAATTTCAAACTGAAGCAAGGGCATAATCCAAGAGCAAAATCGTGCAGGTTCAGGTCTAAATCGGACAATATGATACAATGTGGCGGAATGGGTCGTTACAGATAGAAAATCATATATTTTGGGTACTTCAGCCAAATGACAAATATTAGAATGTTTCATGATGTTTTTTCAAAATAATACAAATATGAGAATATTTCGGGTTTGTTTGTTAAAATAATAATAATAAGAAAAAAAACCTTAAGATATTATTAGAAGAAAAAAATTGCTATGTTTGGCAAGTAGAATTGATACTTTCACGAGTGAGTTTCAAATTTGCTATTGCAAGAAGATGGGGGGAAAATAAAAGATTTTTTTATTTTTACCTTTTGGTGTTTGGCAAAGGTTTAGGTTGAGGTTGACGTGAGTCTATCGGGCTGGAATGGTAAAATAACTTGCTAAAAATTGATGAGTAAGTTATTATTGTTAGGTTTTAATTTTTTTTTTTACATCTAAACAAACTAGCCTAAATGATTTATCTTTTGCGGGAAAAAAAAAATAGAAACATGATTTTTTTTAAACAAAAACCTCATTGCATGTTTCACAATTGTGTTAGGATTAAATATCTAAAGAAATAAGAATTAGTTTAATATAGTAAACAATTATTTTTTTAAAATAAGTTACGCCATCTGAGAATATATAATTACTTCTTGAATGACACTTCTAAACTACAATAAAAAAAATCAAATTAATTATGTGTATGCTCAAAAACCTGTTACTCAACCGTATTTGGTGAGTTAACTACATATATTTTATTAATTGGATACCACACCTACTGGATTAATTAAATTGATTAATAATAATTATACAGCATATTAAATTGAACCAAACTAATTATTTTCATCTTCAAATTTTCCCCATATCTTTTTTTTCCTAATGTTAAATAAATAGATTATATGTGGGAACTATTAGCTCCCACTTCTATTTATAGGTTAAGAGTAATGGATTCATATCATACTCAAGAGTCCCTAATATTCTAGAATAGGATTCTAAAATACTTTCAAAATCTAAGATATTTACCGGATTAATTCTAAATATCTAAAATATTCACCATACTATACAATTTTAGAGTATTCTAAACAATACAGTAGTTAGATTTCAAAAGTCACGCACTTTTTCAGTAAGATTTTTAATTTTTATATACATTTTCAGATTTTTACTTGAGTTGCCACAATTTTTAATTTGTTCTACAAGAATTTTTCGCTAAATAATGTAATTTTTGTAGATATTATGTACATACATCCTCACATCCACTTAAAGTTGGGAAGGGTGTCCTATTTTTAATACATCATTGGGAATCGCAGTTTTTTTTTTTTTTTCCACGGTTTTATAAGTTCGCTCAATCAAGTAAGAATTCCAAATTGAAGCAAGTGCTTAATCAGATAGAAAATATATTCTGGGAACTTGACTCAATTGACAAATATTAGAAAATTTCATGATAGTTTTTTAAAATTATAGTAACAACATCAACAACCAAAAAAAAAAAAAACTTTTGACATCATTTGAAAAAGGGAAGGATGAAGAATTTTTTTCCCTTTTTTTAAAATTTTTTTTATAACAAAAATGTCTAGATTGTTTGTTAGAACCAAATATCAAAAGAAATAAGAATTAGTTCAATGAAATAAACAGTGATTTTTAAAAATAAAATACATAATGTCATTCAAAAAATAAAATGTATATTACTCTTGAACATAGTTGAAGCAAGTCCCTTTAAATGCAATCAAAAATTCACTATGTTCAAGATTAAAATTAGTAGCCCCTATAGTTAGTGAACTTATTATCATTTTCATTCTATATGATATTGATACTAATAAAAGTTGGATATCCAATCATTACCAAATAAAAAAATGTTACCAAAAAAGAGGAGAAATGGAAGAAAACGCATCCCAAACGCTGTCGTTTACTACTCCCTGACGACATGACACCTTTGCTTTGATTTTTTTAAGACATTCATTCTGTAACTCTCTCTCTCTCTCTCTCTCTCTCTCTCTCTCTCTCGTTTTCTCTATCTTGTTTCAGGAAGTTTTCTTTCCCACCATAGCTTACGTGGGTTTGCCTTAAATTCCTATTTTTTAAGAATTCACAGCCATTTTCAGGTAAACATATGCTCTTATGGAACTCTTTTTCTTAAAGTACAATCAATATTTTCTGGTTTTCAAGCCTCAAGTTCATGAATTGTTGTGAATAATTTGAGAACTATACTTCTAGTGTTTGAAAAATTAAAGCTTATAGCTCCAAACAAATAGCCTTAGTTGAACAGTAAAATCTCCATTTTGTTTGTTTGTTCTTTTTGGGTTCGAAATATGGTAGATGTATTGAGTAATTCACTTACAGTTGGTCCTAAATCATATGGGTATAACTGCCAAAATCGCTCAAATGGCCCCAGGAGTCATGAATATAGAACCCATTATCACTATGTTCTTTGTTGCAATTATATTAGTTCAGACATAAAAACAAACAGAAGGTGTGCTAGAATTTATGGCCTAAACATGGTCTCCATGTCTGAGGAGACACAAACTTGGATTGGAGTTGCACAACCAAGGATACAAAGAATGGATTCTGTATTTGGATCCACTAGGCATGAGGTTTCTAGTGTTGAATTTGGGTCGGTTTGTGAAGAAGTGAACGCCTTGTTTCAAGAAGAGGAAGGAGAATTTACGGCTAATGGTTTGGAAAATAAATTGCCTGCTTGGGGGAATGTGGCAATTCAACCGGACTCGGGGTCTAAAAATGGTGGTATTGATCAGCCTTCAGTGGTTGAATTCACTGCTATAGGGTTGGAAAAGAAATTGCCTGTTTGGGGGAATGTTGAAATGCAACCAGACTCGGGGTCTAAAACTGGTGGTATTGATCAGCCTTCAGTGGTTTCAAAGGGGATGGTCACTGTGAATGAAAATAGGGTACATTTTCTAGAGGAAAGGAATGAAGAGATATTATCAAAACGGATTTTGGGTCTCAGTAGGACAAATAAGGTTAGAAGTGCACTGGAATTGTTTAGGTCCATGGAATATTCAGGTCTTCGGCCTAATTTACATGCCTTTAATTCTCTCCTCTCTTGCCTCCTGAGAAATGAAATGCTTGATGATGCTTTAAGGATCTTTGAGTTTATGAAGGCTGGTGGATATGCTACTGGCCATACATATAGCCTGGTACTTAAAGCAATTGCAGATTCTCAGGGTTATGATGCAGCTATACACATGTTTGAGGAATTGGAAGGAAAAAGTAAGGATTTTGATGCAGTTGTTTACAACACAATTATATCGGTTTGTGGCAAAATGAACAACTGGGTTCAGACTCGGAGAATTTGGGAAAGTATGAAAGAGAATGACCATGTTGGAACAACTGTCACTTATCGCCTGTTGGTTTGCATATTTGTTCGTTGTGGTCAGAACGAACTAGCTCTTGATGCATATAATGAGATGCTTCGAAATGGATTGAAACCAGGTAATGATGAAATGCAAGCTATTATTGGAGCATGTGCGAAGGAGGGGAAGTGTGATCTGGGGCTAAGTGTCTTCCAGGAGATGCGTGACAGTGGACTGAAGCCGAATCTGATTGCATGCAATGCATTGATTAACTCACTTGGGAAAGCCGGGAAAGTCAAGCTAGCATTTAAGGTTTACGGCCACATGAAATCTTTGGGTCATGCACCTGATGCGTACACATGGAATGCGTTGCTTGGTGCCTTACACAGAACAAATCGACATACTGATGCTCTTCGGCTCTTTGAGAGCATCAGAAAAGAACAGAGCTCTCAATTAAATATACATTTGTACAATACCATTTTAATGTCTTGCCAGAGGCTTGGTTTATGGGATAGAGCTCTGCAGCTGCTGTGGCAGATGGAAGCTTCTGAACTGCCTGTGTCAACTGCATCATATAATCTAGTTATCGGAGCTTGTGAGGTGGCTAGGAAGCCAAAAGTTGCATTGCAAGTTTATGAGCACATGGTTCACCGAAACTGCGCTCCGGACACATTCACTCTGTTGTCACTGATAAGAGGTTGCATTTGGGGTTCTCTTTGGGATGAAGTGGAGGAAATGCTGAATGTAAGTGAACATTTATTTACATGTTATCTAACCTATTTAAATTTAATATTTAATCCTCAATTCTCTTAAAATTTGCTTACTGTGCCTCACTGCCGTTGTCATAATGGGAATCAAAATGATATATTGTAACTTTTTTTTTCCCCTGTTTTTAAGATCAGAAATTCTGCAGTAGCTGAAAGTTATTTATAGTAAAATGTTTAATTGTTGAATTTTGCATATCCCAGCCAAGTTAAAACAATACATCGGGCTTTCCTGGTAATACAAAACCTTGATTTGTGACCGTCTGTCTGTATAGAGTTCAGCGGCTAGGGTTTGGAAATTGTGGCATTTGGATTGCTAGTGGATGCTCTTTGGGCATTTCAGATTAATTCACTTGTGCAAATGCATTTTATCTCCATATGCCATCATTTTAATGCATTTTAAGTGAACATTTATTGACATTATCTAACCTATTTAAATTCAATATTTAATCGTCAATTCTCTTAAAACTTGATTACTCTGTCTCACTGCAGTTGTCATTGTGGAATCAAAATGTTAGATTGTAATTTTTTATTTATTCCTCCTTTTACGATCAGAAATTCTGCAGTGGCTGAAAGTTCTTTATGGTAAAATGTCTGATAGTTGAATTGTGCATGTCCCAGCCAAGATAAAACACTACATCGCGCTTTCCTGGTGATACAAAGCCTTGATTTGGGACCATAGAGTTCGGTGGTTAGGGCTTGGAAATTGGAGCATGTAGATTGCTAGTGGACAACCAGCCGCTCTTTGGGCATTTCGAATTAATTCACTTGTACAAATGCATGTTTTATGTCCATATGCCATCATTCTAATCAGCTTCTTCTGTAATTTTTTTTTTTTTTTTTTTTCCCGGGAAAAGTAGTGTGGCATTTTTATCCTTCAGCTGTTTCTGGGGCCTCTAGCTGTCGAAACCATTTTATTCTTATTGTTGCCATCAACGCATATTGTTTGTCGAAACCATTTTATTCTTATTGTTGCCATCAACGCATATTGTTTGTCGAAACCATTTTATTCTTATTGTTGCCATCAACGGATATTGTTTATCTTACTCCATAATGTTTGTCGTGCAGTGGGTCGCTCCAGATTCATCTCTTTATAATACTGCCATCCAAGGAATGTGTTTGAGAGGCAAGATCGATTCAGCAAAGAAGCTGTACACGGAAATGCCGAAGAAGGGGCTAAAACCAGATGGTAAAACACGGGCGTTTATGCTTCAAAGCTTGTCGGGAAATTCAGTCAGACAAAGAAAAAGGTAGTTTTCTCAACTACGATAAGAAGTACTAATTTGTTTTCACTCCCTTTTTTTTTTTTTTTTTTCTCCTCCTCCTCCTCCTTGTTTTTAAGGTTTTGGCTTCGTGACAACACTGAAAGAAGTAAAAACAACAAATGGTAGGAGGAGATTACCTAGAATTCTATGAATCAGTTACCAGAACTGATGTACGGTACTGTACTGTACCTGAACAAATCAAAAGGGCATTGGCCTAATGTTAAACGCCCAATCACGTCCAATAGATTACTGTGTAATATTGTGAGACCGAGATGACAAGAATGCAATAATAATATATTATTAATGAAGCAAATATTATGTATGTTAATATTTTTAATTGTCACTTGTTAGATGACAAATTCTATAGCTACTCATTGTACAAGTTAGCAAAGCACTTCCCCATTTTGCTACTAATATAGTTGTGTTTTGCTCAAGTTTTGGAAATTCTGTTTTGGTTAAAATGTTATCCCATAGTGGATTGAATTTTTTAAAAATTGAAACAATTGTTGAATTAAATTTAATTCTTTGAACCTTATTTTTTATTCACTCTTTTATTTTATTTTTAAATTTATCTCTTCTTCTTCCCTCTATATATATATATATATATAACTTAAAAAAAAATTGCATACAATGCACTTCTTCTAAGGTATGACAGATATGGAAAATACATGAAAAAAATGGGTTCTTAAGTAAGTAAAAACTATTTTCGACCATTTCAGATTGTCAGGTATCAAACTTATTATCAAAACTATTTTCGACCATTTTAGTCTTTGTTAGATACATATGTCCTTAGCCCTACCGCCACTCAAGGTCTATACAGATGACACCTTCAGCTATTTAATTGCCTAATGAAACCTCCCAGAACAGTATGTAAGCTGAACTTTTTATAACCAGAATTCAAAATTTTACAAAGTACTAAAAACAAATATATATATATATAAAGAATAATTTTATTCTTTCTATAGTTCTCTCTTATGAATTTTGTTTTCTGCTGAAGTATGATTGGACTTGAAGTGTTTTTGTCAGATATTTATTAGTATATATAAAACATTTATATTACAAATACACACCTAGTAAAACTGAATGTGTAATATAATCATTTTTAGAAAAGCTTTTTTTATGCCTAAAGAAGTTTAAATTAATGAATTTCTAAAAAAATAAATTAATCCATACCTCAGCTTTTAGATCATTGTATATACACATAATATCTATGTGCATATAATTACAAAATCTACATTTTAAAGTGATTTTTTTTATAAAAAAAAAAAATTAAATAAAAAACTGGAGATAAATTTCCAATTTTTCTAAAAAGAAGTAAAATTCTTAAGAATAAATTCAATTTTTAGGAGGAAGATGTAAAGTTCTCGAGACTAAATTTGTTTTCTATTAGAAAGACGTAAATGAGATTTTTATGAAGAACATGTAAAGTTCTTATGAATAAATTCAAATTTGATGAGGACGCCGTAGAGTTCCGAAAGAAAAAATATAATATTTTATCTAACTTTCTGATACTCTTTGTAAAGACATTTATGGGTCATGAAATAAATGCATTAATAGTTATTGGATTGATAAAAAAAAAAAAAAAAAAATGGAATTAACACAAGACACTGTACTTAAACTTGTGATTAAATTCAGTGACTCAACACAAAGAACACCCATAGAATTTAATGTCATTTAACTAGCTTTCTTTTTGGAAAATATAGAAATAAAAGAACTATTTTTTTTTCCGGATAAGTAAATCACACACGTAGAACAAACATCAACTAAATTGGAGTTGTGTAAATATGGCATATTTGAAAATATGAATAATGATTTAGAGTCCGAAAGTCGAATAAGTCCGTCTAATTTATGTGAATAGGAAAAGATGTCATCACGATGTCATTAATATCCTAATATCGTGATGACATCAACTCATACTCTAATCGGATTTGTCTAATTCTCGAACTCTCCCTATCATTATTCTCGAGAATATTCATTCATCAACTGTTAGGAGGTAGCTGGAACAATTTGTTTATGTTCAACCCTTAAATTCAAACCACAAATATATTGTTATTTGTTAAATATATCCATACTAAAAGATAGGAAATGATTCATTCACTTATTCATGTCAAAAGACACTGGTCCAAGCAAAAGAATAATCATTTGTACAAAATAATATCAAAAGTTAAAGTGCTTCTCTAGTTCCCTCAGTACATCCACTTAGTTGGCACTAGACGATATCTATTAAATAAAAAATAATAAAAAATATAATAATTCATGTAGAGACACAAACAATTAGAGAAACATTAGACTTTTTTCAAGACTTCTACAGAAAACAAAAACAACCAATATAACAGTAAATTTTCTGGAAGAAATCAGAATGCCCAAAATAGTAATGAACATGACAAAATTGGTCCAACATCACTGCTGCATTCAATAGTACAGACAATTATGGACATTTAATTAACTCAGCAGGAATTAATACATTAATTATTCCATATATTTTTTTATTCCTTGGGATGTTAATTAAGCTCTCATTCAGATATCAAGAAATGATGATAAAATTGGTCCAACATCATTTCATGCAATAAACACAGACAACTGGGGAGATTCTATAAACACAGCATTAATAATGCATTAATACTATTTTTTTTTTTCTTCTTGGGAAGTAAATTAAGTTCATTCAGATATCAAGAAATGATGAACTCCTCGTCTTCACTCTCCGCATACAGTAAAAAGGACTAGTACGATTTTACTGCAGTGAAATTCCTCGGCCACTAGAATATATCTAGAAAACCAGTGGTTGACATATCGATCGACCCATAAATTGTGATTTCAGCCATCACATTTTGCCGACTCGGCCAAAAAAATGTAAATTCTGGTCGTGAGTTAGATTGTGCAACTATAAATTATATTATTAAAAATGTAACAAATTCAAATAGAGGAATCTCGGGTTATGGTGCAGAAATAGAAAAAAAGCGTAAAGAAAAAAACAAACAAAACATGCCAAATGGATAAAATGCAACAACTATATGAACACAAAGACCAGCAGCGAAACATGATGTGAATGTGCATCTCACCAACTGTTCTTATCGGTCACAATTCAATGATTTCAATATGTATGCCATATCCAGCTTTTTTTTTATCTGCAGCGGTGTAAAGAACATAATTATTAAAGAACTGCCGAAAATGATGAGAGTGACAAAGGAATAGTCAAAATACCTATAAAACCAGCCATCAGTGTTCTTCCTGCTCTTGGTTCAGAAATTTATAATATAACACAAACACACTTGCTCTGCTTTGGTTCATTTGCCACTTTCTTTTCTGCTCCAGGAAAAAAAAAAAATAAGTTCATTACCGAGAAACTTTAAGGAAAGAAAACTTAAATGAAGCCAGTCATTAGAGTCACAAAATGGTTCAACAGAGCATAAAAGTACAAGTAGATAGGTTTCATAAGCTAAGAAATAACATATCAGACTCACTTCAGATGGTACGAATAAATCCATTCCGTTAAACACAAGGGATGAATAAATATGACATGTTTCATACGTTAGAGGTCTGAAAGATGGATCTTGGAATATATCCGAGAATACCCTCGAGAGTCGAGACATTGTCCATACCTTTTTCTATAGGCGGCGGCTGAACAACAACATGCATGGTTGTAAGTCCCCCAGGAATATCACATAGTGGGCTCCTGCACTCTGCCACTGTTCTGTTATTCTCCAGTATTTTTCCAGCACTAATTAACTTTACGTCTTTTACCGTCCTTGGACCATTTTCCTTCTCTGACATGTAAGAAAATACTTCCAGATCAGTAATAATAAATCTAAAACACTTGCATAAAAGGGTAACAAAATACAAAACAAGATAATTGTATAATTGATAAGGGAGAGGTCATGCTATACATGATAATTGATAAGGAATAAAACCATACAACAATGAGCATGTCATTCTTAACTACAGAGACCTGAACCAAGTACTAACCACCCATCCTCGTAAAGTTTCTAAGTTTCTGCATCACTTTTGATTTGTTATAAAAATTAGAGTTATTTCAAGTTGATTTGACTTACCAAGGTCCTTGTTTTTTGCCATTTTTTTACCTTGAGTATTTGAGAATTGAGTACATGTTAGTAACAATGTGATGAGAGGAAAACAAAAATAAGAGAAGTATCACTTTGATGTAATATGATTATCTCAGCTTCAGCATTAATAATCCCACGCAGGTAGAGAGAGGCAACTTCAATCTGAAATCAGAATTTGTAAGTTTAAAAAACAATGATCTATATTTTTTTTTTAGGGGGGGGGGGGGGGGGGGTGGGGGGTTGGAAATCAATGATCTATGATCTATGGTCATTGCAGAAATAGATGCTTTTGAATAACTATACTTGAATTCGGGAAAATAAATTTTTTTGTAACAAGTCAAATGCATTCTGAGCAGGTTAGAAACCAGCAATCAGATCAGCCAAACCTTACAGCAATTCCAACCCTGTAATCTGGTACATGAGTGAAAGACACTTCAATCTTCTAGACTTTTCATTCAGTTAGAAAGGTTTCCATTCCATTCTCTGTCAGCCACATGCCACAAGTAGGAGGAACTTCAACGGGCAATTTCTCTCACACTTAAAAAGTAATTATGTTATATAGTCTGACAACTTCAAGCAAGGCCATGAACAAGGGTCTGCATGTAGGAACCATCTACTAAATCAAAATCACATGTATGGTCTTTTCGGTCTAGGGCAAACTTTCCAATTGCTCCAAGTGCTTCAATCAGTCAAGGGTCTGAGGGAAAGTCTAACACACTATCGGTATCGCTAAGTTAGCATTCTGGTCGTCTTAAGACCGAGTTGGAAAGCGCTGTTTGTAGAGTCTCTTTCAGTTCAGGTCTTGAATCATTTGGCAAAATTTGGGAGGGAGAAGGACTATAGGGCTAAGAGAAGCTTGGCATATATGATTAGTTTGATAGGAAGATTGGGCCCAACCCATCTCCTACTGCATTCCCATTCCGGATTCTAGAGTTGGATTCGCCATTCCCTTTTCCGTCAGTAATTCAAAGATGACCCTTCTTTTATTTATGTCAACTTAAAAAGAAAATAAAACTTGAAAGTACAGTTCAACCAGTTCTAGACATTTGTACAAGCATTTTAAGTAATTTTAATCTATTAAAATATAACTTCTAATTCTGTAAGTTTCTTACCAAACTATGCTCAATTTTGAAAATTTGTTAGTTCTCTTGCCTTTCTTCTTCATATATTCAGGTGCTTTTTACGTTAATTCTTTCTAAAAAAATTCACATTTTATTACTCGAATTAACTTTATAACAACTTCTTTAACACGAATAATTTTTGTCTTCTAATCTATGTAAAACAATCTTAAATATTTGTACTAGTGCTATGATCATATCCCAAAGATTCTCTCATTGATCCTGCTGTCAAGGATTTCTATTGAAACAACTTTGAACATGTTCAACCTGCACACGATGCAGTGTTAAATAGTTCGGGTGTGCATGTGTCTCATGTAATTGAAAATTCCAATGTTTTACGTACTAATTCAAAAGAATTTAATACCAGCAGAATGTATCAAATTATGCTGTTTCAGCGATTATATTATAATCATTCACAGTGAAGTAAAAGATGGATTGGTGCTGTCAATTACAAGAACACAATGCACCTTTATATCTCCATAATACATAAAGATGCATCCAACTGTTTGAGAGATTTTATAAATCACAACACACATTTTCCATCGACATGGCTCATCGCTTTTCCCTTCCATCTCAAAACAATTCGACTGCCTCAAAACTGCCCAAACCCCATCATTCAAGAACAAAACCCAAGATGGTGACTTCGTGAATAATAGTGCGTTTATTACACATTCTAACTTACTTCTTGGAACAAAACAACTAACAGAACTCATTGCACATGGAAATGAAATTTAATTCCATCATTTGGACACATTATGATATTCTTTATGAGCTCTTGCATGAATTAATAACTAACAATCATAGAAAATTCCATCATTTGGACACACTACGATATTCTTCCTGAGCTATTGCTTGAATTATTAACTAAAATCATAGAAAACCATAAATAAAAAATGAAAAAACTATGCATACACTGACTTCCAAAACAGAAACAAGTTTGGAGCAAATCAGATTTAATAAGAGGACCCAACTAACCTTTAGGCCATTGAGCAAGGATGCTTTCCTTCAAGGTTGCAACACTTGTCGCCGCAGAAAAGCTTTTGGGGCCGATGTCCGATCCATCAGTCAACCGGAACTTGATCTCTAGCTGATCTTGCACTCCAGACATCTTCCAATTCCCCCCCACAGACTCTTGGTATCCTAAAAACCCAAGATCGTCACTTGGGTATCTCTCCAAATCTATCAAACTCCAATACCCCAATTAAACTTGATATGACAAATCAAGCAATTACAAGAACTGAGTCTTCATAAACCTCTAGAACTCATTCAAATCCTGACTTTGGGAATTCTGGAAAATTGAATAAAATCAATAAATAAATAACAATATTTGAGTTTTGATTCACTCCCTATCTTGAACAGGAAAGGTCAATTAACAACTAAATTTTAGAAGACTAGATAAAAATGGAAACACTGCCAAAAACATTAATATTTCAATTCTGATCTATAACAAAGAAAATTATCCAGAAGTAGAAAATTTTCACTTCAATATTTTTGATTGAAAATTGTAGAAGTTAAGAGCCAGAACACACATCCACACACTCTCTCTCACACACACACAAACACGCAAACATATAGAGGGAGAGAAGAAAAAAAAATCTCTCACAGCTATTTCCAACAAACATAGCACCACCAAACATCAGAATATCCACTAAAATCTATAATTGAGTCACCTCCAAATCAATCAAAAAAAAGTCAAACACCCACCAAAAGAAATGGTATTATCTACTCAAATCTTTAAGTGTATCCACTAAATCAATCAGAAATCAAGAACTTTACTCACATATATGCTAAAAACCTTCATGGGTAGTCTTACTCGGATCAGAAAATGACCCGGGTCATCTATGTTCCAGAGTTTATTGGTTGAATAACCCAAGCTGAAGAAGAACAAGAAGAGGAAGAAGAAAACCAAATGGGTTTAATAAAAAAATAATAATAAATAATACTAATAGTAATAATTTATAATTAATTAATGATTGAGTAAGACGAAGAAGAATAGGAAGATATCAAAGTGATCTCCAGAGAGACGAGGCTGTTTCGGAGATTTCAAAGTTTTCTTTAATCTGTGGTCAATGAATCCATCCTTTCGACCCTTTAGCCTTTTACTTCCAATCCTCCTAATTCTGTGGAAAATTCCATTTTTTTACTTTTTTTTTTTTTTTTTTTTGGTTAATAGTACAGTGTTTGGAGTGAAGGAAACTAATGGAATGAAAAAAATAAAAGGAGAGAGTAAAAGAGAAATCCACTGCATTTTTTTCTTTTTCTTTTTTTTTTTAAAAAAAGAAAAATGTGGACTTTTTTTTGTCTTTTGTTTAAGAAAAATGTGGATAAAAAATATCATTTTTAGGGCATGTTTTATAAAATAGTTGCTAAGAATTCAAAATAATTATTTTGGCAAAACTATAAAAGACCTTTTGTAGAAAATAAATTTGTTTTTAATTAAGTTCTTAAAAAATGTTAATTAAATAAATTTTTGTATAATTTTTTTTTTTTATGTTTAATTTTTAAAAAACGTAAATGTGTTATTAAAAATATGAAGGACTCTTAGCTAAGAAAATAATTCTCAAAAATTCAAAAAATATAAAACTGATATCAATTTTCAGATAACTATAAAAGATATTTGTCTTAAAACATACCTGTTTTAAACTGAATTTTTATAAAGCATTTCTCAAAAACTATCAAATAAAATAATATTTTTTTGGTTTTTAGTTCTCAAAAAAACTGAAAAAAAAAAAAAAAAAAAAAAAAAAAAAAAAAAAAAAAACAAATGAATCAAGTAAGGACCAATTTTTTTTTTGTTTCACATGTTTATTAGGGGAGAGAGAGAATTTTCCTTTATTTGGTTAGGTTAAGAACATCAAGCCAGTATAAAAACTTTTAGCCTCGTTTCATCTTACCTACCTACCTCCAAGTACATCATCATTAACAATTCCTCTTCTTGTTATAATAAACATGTTTCATCTACTCCTCTTTGGATGCCACCTTAAATTAGTTCATTTCACTATTAATTTATATGAAAATTCAAACTGAACACGTACAACTCCTTCATCTCACATATGTCAGACAATTACAAAAAACATTCTCTGAAAATGACCTTAAAATCTATATCTAAAGTGTGAGATAAGAGTCTTTACTATTACGATATTCTTTGAGCTTTCAACAACTAAATTCAATCATAAATTATTAAAGAAAATAAATAAAACTAGACAAACATGGATGGTACCACTTAATCTTCATGGATTTATACTATTCAGCTTTCCTAAGTAATTTTGTTAAAAAAAAAAACTTTGCTAACTGATGTGAAGATGGTGTATGTACCAAACAAAGGGGGTTGTAGTTGGACATGTTACATGCTCATGGCCTTGGTTAGCTTACTCATTTGTACACGAGAATGATTGATTGTGGTACAATTTAATGTACCTATTATGATGTTTAGTCAAATACAAGTTACGACTATCAATCTTAGTAAGGTCTCATCCGACGGCTCAAATTGTCTGTTTGGCAACAAAAATAAATTAAGAACCGTACAGATAGCTTGGACCACCTTTTTTTCGCAACATCCCAAACAACCCTTTTGCTAATTAATTAATTAATTATATATATATATATATATATATGTCAAATTGCGTATGAGAAATTATTAAATGAGATGTCAATCACAAGCTGTTTATGCAACTAAAATTAGTGATAATTCTGCAATTACAGGAGCCTCATGCCCCGGAATAAGTTATGCATGCGTCATATTTGATAGTGGAGAGGCCGAAGAACATTGGAGGTTGTTCCATTTAGGATAGAAAGAAGCAAACAAGACTTAAAAAGATTATAAAACGCCACTAATTGAGATTAAACCAATGCTAATCATTCAATTAAATTATTGTTGAAATGTCATCTTCAAGGAAAGCAAAATGCCAAGAGGGTTGAATCAAGTGGAGGAGGCTAAATTATGTAGTAATTGGAATGTCTCCAGCACTAGGAATGGACACCTTGAGGTATCAGAACAACCAAATCCTTTGTTCGGATTCTATCACCATTCTTATGGGTTTCTTGTCATCATCAACTTAGCAAATTCCATAAACAAGAATCTTGTATTAAAAAAATACCATTAAATTTTTAGTCAAATCCCTAACCCTAATAAAATATACTTAAAAAGATAACAAATTTGTAAAACATAATTATAAGAACAAACATGACGGGAATACCATATTGCCACTAACCGATCAATTTTTAAACACTGTTATGTAAAAGCATAAGCATATTTGTATAAATATTCAAAAAAACATATGTTTGTATCTTTTTGCTGGTTGACAACAACCTGAGCTGCTTATGTTCCATAGCTTAGTTACAACTCAACTAAGAAGAAATCAAAGTGAGACAATACAAATCAACCAACACGAAATCAATAAGTCAGACAACAGAGCATCTCAGAACTTTTTTTAATTATCTAAACTGTGATCACAATATAAAGAATACAGGGAATGATGATCATACAGACTATACACGCATATCAAATGAAATGAAAAATAGTAACACTTCCATGACTGGGAAGATCCCCCTTTTTTCTTTTTCTTTTTTCAAAAACGAAGCAGCAGCAGAGAGAAAAATCTGCACATTTTAAATGTTTCTCATGTATGATACATTACAATTGCCGACATATAACCTAAAAATAATTGACCAACTCGATGGGTCCTGTAACAGAGCAATCTCCATAATAGTATGAAATCCAGAAGGGGTACAAGAATTGGGAATAAGAACCAAAGAGAAATGAATTGAAAAAAATAAAATAAAATAAAATTATATATATATATAGATATGAGAGTGTTCAGGGGCTAATGGGCTTTTAATGCTGGAGCCATACAGATCCCAGTCCTAGCTTTCTTCTTCAATTCAAGAATTTGTATGACTGATGGCTTGTTTGGTCAAGAGCATTACCCACAAGTTTGTTGTAAGCACCAAGTATTAGGAAAGATCAACCCCTTTCCTCTGGAAGATTGAAAAAGGTATCATTTTTCCGACCAAAAAAACAAATAGATTGCTATGTTACAGAACAAAAGAACGACTCGTATGCCTGTGCTCAGTATGCAGGTCCTCTTCTTCAAAGTGGGGGGCCAACAAGAGATCCGGACCTTGAATGTATATAGTCTTTTGGCCTATCTTCTGTTTCCTTCACAAATGGATGTATATTCACAAAATTTTCTAGCTGCAAAAGGATTTTCTGAAAACCCCATGCGCCCTTAGTCTTCCAACCTCTCTTTCTTCTCTAACCCTCTTCAGTTGTTCAATAACAACTATAAGATGTGGCAATTCTTAATAAAATCATTAGAGTAGTTAACATACTTGGTCCAAAATGGTCTGAGATGCTCGAAGCCAATTTCTAACCATGGTTTTGACTGGCCATTGTAGTGAATGACAGCAGCCCTTTTCACTCTCTCGACGTTTGTCTCATTCTGATAGCCTAAGCCAAGCATGTGCCAAGATTGGTTAATTGGGTGCACATGACCCTTAAACGCAATCAAAGCTGGTGGTAGAGTTCCAAGCTTCCACAATGTCAGGTTTGAATTCAAATTCTGCAAAATCCCAGAGTCTAGGTAAGACATGGTGATTATGGATCTGTTGCTTTCCAACATCCCAAGGTATATCTTCTTTGAATAACCAAAAGAATGAGATCATTAATATATCAATATTTATTACAATGTAGCTACTTGTTCAGATGTTGAAATTTCAGCAATTGCGTAAGACAAGAAATTCAGATGGGAAGGAGGCAAAATCCAACAAAACTTTAAAGTGAAAGGATATTACATTCATTATACCCTAACATGTGAAAGGAAGGTTTTTCAAGGCCAAAAAGGGGAAAAAGGAAAGTTGAGACCTTTGCCTCTTTGCCTCAAACTACTGGGAGGAAGGAATATGGTGGACTTGAGGGAAAGGCCTCTTCCTTATCTTCTTCCCCTTCTCCTTTCCCTCCTACAAAATTATGGAAAGCCTATACTTCCCTCTCCTTCTCCTTTCCCTTTCCTTCCACAGTTTCCTCCTGTCAAACGGACCACAAGGTAAATTTTTTGGGCTCCATTTGGATTGAATGATTTGAAACAAATGGTTTTAGGTTCAATCATTTAAAGAGTAGAATTTAAATTTAGATTTAGGTTTTAACAATATGCATAGATTGATTATCTTGTATGTATGGATTTCATGTACCAAGATGCATGGAGTTATTTGCTCCATACTGGTAAGGATTCTAGTTGCGCAAGACTTGTAATAATGTCTCTCATACCTCTAATCCAAAATCGCCTAGGGTTTTTAGATACAACTCCAATAGCTAATCTTTTATCTATACTCAAATCCCTTAATTTCAAATCCATTCATTAAGTCAAATGTATTATTATGTCATTTCTGAATCCTTATTATAACATGAAACCAGAAAAGGCGAAGAAAAGGCAACAATATTTGGAATTTACCTCCTTCACCCAGGTAAGATAAGTGTCTCTTATGCTTGTCTTCCTCCATGCAAGTAAATCAAAGATGTTCATCCCATAACCCCATGCACATTCGTCAGGGTTCAAATTATTTGCTATGAGGGGATGTGAAAAATTGAAGTAGGTACTGAACCGCTTAGACATTACCCTCGGATCTTCACCTTTACAGGTTTCTACAGCTCCATTGACATTTCCACCAAGGTCAATTTCCCAGAGTGGAGATAGATCACGCTGAATTACAACATCATCATCTAAGAGAACCACCTTGTCCAGGTTTGGGAAAAGCTATGCAACACAAGCATATAACATGGTCAGTACTTAAACCCATTAAAATAAATAAATAAAAACTCAAAAGACACAAAAACAATAGCAATTGACCATCTCAGGTGTGTTGTATGGTAATACACACTTAGTTTGTGGCAGGAACTGACAAAATCAAAGTTCGCACACACGCAAATGAAAAGAGAATAAAGTTATCAACCAGTACCCCCGTCAATGAGTGAAAGACGGAAAGCAGGGTTTGGTGTGGTGTGAGGGGTAGTAGGGACTGGGGGAAGGAGCGTTAGAAAACAACTAAAACATTATTTCCTAAAGAAATTCGAAACTGTTAGAATAAATTTCATACTCAAAATATTTTGGGTCTGTTTACCCAGCAGAGAGAGTAGGAGAGACAGATTCCATTGGCCTGCAATTCAACCCCTGAACCTTTAAAATAGATACTACCTCTAATATCAAGCTATGGTTCTTTCCTTAGAATCGTAAATGTTAATGTTCGGTTGTCCTCCTATAATGAAGGAAGAAGTATCATAAATCATCTGATTACCTCTGGTAAATATATGCGAAGATGGTTGAGCAAGGAAATGTACTTTGGGCTTCTAGCCTGCAATTTTGAAGCAAATTTTCGTGGAGTGATATCACTGAGATTGGCCCCAGCAACATGATTGCCATGGTAGTAGTTCCTGATCCCATTATGGTTTTCTACAGCTTCAAGCACTGGAACATTCTCTCTTGTTAAGAAGTCAAACTGATGAACACCTTTTACCTCAATAATAGCAGGAGAGATGGGATTTAAAGCAAACCATGAGTGCATGCCTGCATAAGTTTTCTTGTCAGTGATGACATGGAAAACTACCTTCTCAGGCTTTAGAGATGACTGAACAGCAGAAGAGACCACAACTGAGGCAGCCAGAATGTTGTCAGTTGACAAGACAAAGTGGTGGTAAGAGTTATCAGAAAGCAAAGGGAGTAATTCTGGTGAAGGCAACTGCCTGCGTGCATGAGCATTAGATGAGTACTCATCAGTCAAACGCAGAGAGAGACAATGGAGGCCTTTGGGAATGGCACTTGCTGCAAAGTGTTTGTTCATCAGTTCGGCGAATTTTAGTTCTCGGATCTCCCTGTCAGATCTCTCCATCTGCGAAAAAGAATTTGTTTTAGTCGAACAACAAGAGCAGAACAGGCTTGAACCATATATATATAAAAGGCAACAAACACAATGTTTTCTTTTGCCATGCAAACTTTACATTTCTCTAAATTCGTTTTGTCTTATGTATGCAAGCAAAAGGAGTGATGAGATCAGGGTACGTGGGTAGGAATCTGTTTTGCGTAAACCCAGACACAAGATGGGTTTCATTTAACGGATTAACAAACTAAGAGGCTTTTTTCCATGAAACTATTATGTCTAGAAAATAAAATTAACTAGGTGCAGATTTTTTTATTTTATTTTACAAGGAAAGTAGGTCAAGATTTTACCACCAAAAGTTCTAAAATAACAATTTTCACCATTTTTTTGCTCATTTTATCAAATCTAATTAAAATGGGTGGGAAATACAAGAACATTGATCATCCAAAAATTCAACCAAAAAATAACCATTCATCTATGTAAGCTTCTCACACATCTATTAAGCATGTACCATCCCATATGTGTGTGTGTGTGTAGAGAGAGAGACAGAAAGCAAGGCTCGTGGTATGACTTTCTTGCATTTCAAAGAATGTCCCCAATTTTGACCTAGATAAAGAAGCAAAGAGGTTGCAGAGCTGAAACTCCCACTCCCCTTCACCCCAACACCAATTACTCTCCATAATTCTCCTAGTACACAAGCAGAAAAGCAGGTTTCCATTTGAAGGCACATGTCCTATAAAAAAGAACTAACTATGAAAAATAAAACAAAATAAAATCAAACTTGGGATATCCCAAATCTATACGATTTTGAAAGGATGAAAAACCTATCTCAATGTTAGGCAATACTTTAATACATTCCCTAAGAGGCTCCTCAATAATAAACCAAAGCTCCTGATATGTAGAATAAATCTTCAGTTATTTTCACACAACAACAGTGCAACTTCTGAAGGTTTCACACTTTCACTTATAATATGGATGCTTTAATGAAAAATCTAATGGTTGAATTTAACTTTTCTAAGGTTGACAAAAGCACATGTCCAAATTCATCTTTCATTAACTTCAATCTTCCTGGCTATCTATTAAGCACTCATCACCCTTTTTCCTATAAAAATTAAAAGAAAAATTGAAAAATAAGTTCTTCCAGAGTCATGTGGAGTGTGCTTCTCTTCTTATTTTGATTCAGGAGTCAGGAATGAGATTCTACACTGCTAGTATGGGGATAAGTGATTTTAAAAAGTCAAAACAGGTTTAGAACATGGCTTCTTAGGGATTGTTCTACTGGATCCAAAGGGAGAAGAATAAGAGGTTGTTTGAAGATGTGGAACTGCTAGTATACAGATGCCGATTCAAGCCTTACTTTGTAGAGAATGTCTTTTGCAATTTTGTTGTTTTTCCTTTCTTCTATTGAGTTTCCAATCCTGTATACTTGGCATTTCTACTTGTTCGCATCACTTTACAAATTTAAAATTCCTATCCCATAAAAACTTGACAAAAGGATCAAAAGCAAAATAATATGACCCCACTATCAAGGGGAAAAAAAGAAACAAAGATCTTGACAAGAATGGATTCACCCAGAAAATCGAAAACTTAATGCCATAAAAGCTTGCGTGATTCCCTTCACTCCAGATTGAAGTTTCTAATAACATAACGGACATCATAATGGTTATGGTACCAATAATGCAGATATGGGATGTCACAGACACACAATGTAATAGACGTGCTATGTCGCTATTGTTACCATGAAATTTTTTTTAAACACACAATTCTTCCAAAATTATGAATACACATGCTTTAATCTATATATATATATACAGATTTGGTAACTTCTATGGCCAAAAAAGTGTTCATATATGAAAAATATTGAAAGTTATGCTAATGGGACTTAGCAATGAATTGTTTACAAAAAATTAATAACAGCAATAAGAATAAGAGTAAGAATAAGAATTCAAATAACCATGTGAATGTGAAGACTATATAAGTTCCATAGAAATCAATATACTTATATATATATATATATATATATATATATATAAATGAGGAAAAATCAAAAAGAAAATGAAGCTTACCAACAAACGGAATTTCCCAAACACCTGATTCAAAATCAAAGCTTAAATCTTGTATATTATGACTTTAGGGCAGAAGATCTAGCCCTAAAGAGTCTTTTCAGTGAGAGATCAAATTTTGAAAAAGAGAAGCAGAAATGTGATATATAAACCTAACTAGCTAGCCGGAACTATTGCTATGGTACTGAGAAGACCATCATGGTTGTACTTTTAGTAGGCCCGATATATCAGTCCATAATGAATTCATCCCTTGGTTATACCAATACATAATAGCAAATAAGTAAGGGTAATGAACAGTATTAAAAATCATAGTCCAAATATACCATGAAAGGCAAAGAGGAGCTATATCTACACATTCAGTTTAATTCAGGCCTACCCCCTCCTCACCAAAACTTTCATATCCAACAGTGATCCAGGCTCCAGCATAGTCTACATGAGTCCAAACGAAGAGAACTAGTCTTCTATCAATTTTCTTGTTTTTTCCCTTTTACATTCTTTTTCCTAATTGATTCTTTTCTTTATATCAACTGCAAGTGGCAAAACTGGCTGATTAAAAAATTATCTGAAACCCCAAATGCTTCACTCGACTAAACCATTCTAGATGTATGCAAAATATTTTTAATTTTGAGTGCATTTATATAATACATATTCTCGAAATATTACTCATTTAATAACCCAGCAGGGCATTAAAAAATGTTTCTAATTTTGAGCAGAATGTTGGGCATTAAAAAAGAAACAACTAGCTTTACTAGTGATGATCTTGGAAAAAGAAAAAGAAAGAAAGAAAATCATTAATCATTGAAATGGCCTTACAGTTCCTTAATGATTTAGACGTAGCACGATGCTCCAGCATAGCATCCATCACCACAACTAGCTTTACTAGTGAGTCCATATGCCGGTAAGAAATGAAATTTTTTCTTTTAAGCAAAAACTATACATGATTATTCTCAAGAGTCAAGAACGATTCAAATAAAATCTTTAGAATGTCAGATTAAGCATTGTATAGGATTCATACTAAAATCATAAGACGTAAGAAATGAGAAAGATGTGAAATTCAATAACAAACACTGCCACAAGGAAACGGAGAGGCAAGGGGAAGGGCAATGAATATGGGAGGACAAGAAAGAAAAAGTAAAACCTAACTGATTAACTTATAAACATCTAACATCCCCAGCTAATTCATATCCACCAGTAGAAAGCTTGTCTAATAGGTGCACAAAGTGTAACTTGTTTTCTTAAGAAAGCAATGGAAAAGAAGAGAATAGATTGCTCCAGAATTGATGTTCTACCTAGTCTTACTGTTAAGATAAAAACAAAAATCATAACCCAAAGCTCGTAATTTTGGTTTGGGCAATGAGAGACTCTTGATTTTCTTCACTTCAACCATCTTTCTTCTTCTCAATCTTATTCTCATTTAAACACACGTATTAGAAAAGGAAATATGCCTTCAAAAAGATATAAAAACCTAAATAATATACCAGAAGGTCCAGAATTGTTGAGAAAAAATCAAAATAGAACGCTAATCATATTCATAACTACCAAGTCAAACAATTTTACATTCTAGCCCATACCACGAATTAAATCAGGACCTCTTTAATCACAATTGCTAGGCTAAAGCACCACCAGAATTGGCATTAGTTTTCAATACATAAAACGTGGATCATTTTTGGTATGTGGTATGGGAATGGAAAAGAAGGGGTATGCGTATATAGATAGTATAGTAGCAATGTATTGACAGCATGTAGCTAATCCAATTAGTTATGATAGCATGTGGTTTGACCAAGGTAATGGCCTTAGATAAAGCGTAATCTGAACCCAAATAATTAGGAAAAAAGATTTGTTAAGTTAATTTAGTTCCAGTGCACTGGTGTTATAGTTGCATGATTTATAACTTCATAATTGATAATTCAGTGGCACTTAGAAATACTAAAACTTAAAAGGCTTTTTATAACTTCTGCAAATTTAACATAGAAGAATGTATCATGCTAAAAATAAAGAACTTCATTGTTTGATAAAACTGAAAATTAAGCACTTCAAACATAAGACGCTTGATTTTAAGTGATGAAGTTTTAAGTGCTAGTGAAAGCTTGGTCTTAGGAATTGAGTTCCCTTGTTTGTAGTTTGGTTTTGGCTTAACGAACTCCCTGAAAACTTGTTTGAATTTTAAGCATTTAGTCCTCCTAGCTTAAAATTTTACCTCATTTTACGTGGAACTTACTCTTAAGTGATATCCAAATGTCTTATCAAAAGCACTTAATTGGATAATTAATTAATTTATTAAGAATTTAGTATTAAATGGAGTTATCAAATGTATCCTGTATAAGTTGAGCAATTGAGTTATTGAACTGGTATGCCATCACTGGAATCTTCCCCAAAAGAAATAAAAAATAAAAAATAAAAAAGCCTATCAATTCATCTTTCGGATGTCTCTTCTTAAGAAAAAATGGAAATCAGCAGAAGAAAAGAAATAAACTTTGGAATGCTGAGTGTAGTGCTTATGAATGAAAAGTAAGTTTCACACAGAGCATTCTAAACGAAGCTGCGAGGATACCACCATTATAATTTCTCTTAAACAGTCACAATATAAATAGATAAAGGAAAAATATTGTTGTAACATGCCACTTACCATTCCTTTTAAGATAAAAGCAATTTCCTTTGCTTTATACTTTTTCTTTTCCATTTCAGAAACAAGTTTACCAAATGATTCTGGAAGATTCAGGCTATTTGGGGTATTCTCGGTGTTTACTTCATAGAGGATCTTGTAAAACTCACTAACCAGACTCTGCTGCAACACCACAACTACAGAATCAGCTTTTAAATAAGTAAATAAGTATCTATAAGAAATTTGTAGCGAATAAGAAATTAAAGAGAAAGAACATGAATCAAACAGGTAATTCGGTATTGTGTGATCTGAAAATATAAAGTAAAGCACGACAAGAGACTATTAATATTATTTACCTCTGATTTATCAATTCTTCCAAGAAGAATCCTTGGTCCCCACCGCCTGCCAAAACAATCTGAAGCACAAGGATAAAAGGAAGAAAAAGGTAAATAGAAAGAACAAACGAAAAGATAGATTAGCCATTAATAGGTTAAAAACATTAAAAAATAATTTTAAAAAAAATAAAATGAAGAAAGAAAAATAATATAAATAACACTCCCATTCAAATAATGTATTGATGCAAAAACATTATAGTAAGCAAGCACATGAATAAAGCAAGAATGACTTCCAATATAAAAAGAAAATAATAATCCACCACCAATATCAAACAGCCCAACAGCATTGAAAAGATAGCACATTCCCGTCTAAATGACACACACAGTGTGGGGGCTTGCCACGTGTCTGGAGGGGATTAGTCTCATCCAAAGTGTGGGGATGCCCCTCTTGTCACCAAAAAAATAAACATACAGTGTAAAACCAGGCCACAATAATGAGGCATGAGGTTGCCATATAAAAATTTTAAACTGACAAATTAAAGTGCTCAATCATAGAGAAAAACAGACATGGTCATTTAATATATAACAATAGTAAAAACTAAAAACACATTAGGAAAGTGAAAAGACCAATCAACAGCTAGAAGTAAAAAAGATAAAGAGAGGGAAATAGAATTAGAGCCATAGGATAGCCAAGCAAAACCAAAATGAAGAAGTTCATGCATAATATGAATCTAGCAGATGAGAAGGATGAAAAGATACTTTGATTTGAGACTGATATACAGAACAGTTGATATAGAGAGAGAGAGAGGAGAAAGAAAAGAACCGAGCATAAACCAGAGAAACCACCTTAATAATGGGGAATTGACTCAACCTAAATGGAATCAGTTATATTCCTTTAAGCTTTGGCTGAGACAATAACTGAAATCGAGTGTTTACTCTGGCAACAATTCAACACTAAAAAACCAAAAATAAAATAAAACCTCAAACAAAATTTTGCATCAGCTTCAATAAATGATAAGAGTAAAATGGAAAGAAAAACCAATCAGCATATTCAATATTCAAACAATAATCCATTTCCATGGAGAACAGCAAAACCAACATCCTCCAAAATAAACCCAATTCTCATCCCAAAATATGAACCCAATCAATAGAACAGTTTAACTAGTTGGCAAACCAACCATTACATAAAAAAATTAAATGACAAAGTATAAGAATATAACCAAAAAACAATATCATAAAATTGTCACAGAATTCAAAGATAATGCATTCATAATCTACTTACAGAATACTTTAACATGATTAGATTTAAAATTAGAAATTTTCAACAGAATCTACTACTGTCCATAACTCCGCCTGTGTTCTTTACATAGCTGTTCCCTAACCCGGATAAAGGAGGAGGGTTGCATCAGGTAGCTCGACAGCCTGTGTAAAACTCTGTCATGACTAATATGAACATGAATCCTATGAATCTACCACCGTCCATAGCCGAAGGAATAAAAGCAATTCAGATTCAGATTTAGGTTCAGCCATCATATTAACTATTAACCAATTTCAGATCTCTCATAATGTAAATAACTAAAATAATCCGACAAAGAAGCTAGGCACTTACACAGCATAAATAAAATACAAGAAACCCAATTCAATTTGAGTGGAATCAGAACAAATAGTAGCAGAACAACCACATTCTACAATAAAGCAATCAAATTTATTGCGCAACCTATGTAAAACAATCACAAAAAAATCAATGTATCTCTATATACAAACAATCAAGATTGCGTACCGAATGAGGAGCACTTGTTGACCCCTTCAAGCGTAACAACAGCAGTGAAGATGAAGACAAATGGCAGCAAGAACGCGAGGATTAGAATGGTGTGAAAGAGTGTACGGTACGAGATGTGGCGAGCTGCGACCTTGATCTTCATCAAGTCAACAAACCCATTGTTGCTCGATATCGTAATACTCCCCATGCTCGGTGAGAAGTGTAGCTGCATCGTCGCCTCTGCAGCCCCCTCTTCTCAAAACCCTAGAAACATGAAATCCCCAATCCTCTTCTTCCCCCACCCCAGCAATTCTCAACATGTGATCCACCGACACAACCACACCAAAGTGACGACAACGACTCAGATTCAGTTGAATTACTTGTTTCGTGCCTCCTCGGAGGCCAATGCATTTGAATAATTTACAATAAATTACAGTTTTGTGTGTGCGTGTTTGTGTGTGTGATTTCAATTGCAGATCAGAGTGAATGAATCAGAGTAAGTTCGTAAATTTGTACTCGCTTTCTCTCTCTCTCCGGATCGGAGAAGAGAATGTAGAGAGAGAAAGTGTCTATTATTAGTTTTATTTCCTTGTTTGTAAAAGACAATTGATTGGCATAGCCCAATTGGTAGATCTAATTCCTCTTTTGTGGAAATCTATACTTAAATATAAAAATAATAATATATGCTAGTCAAATGTCAAAGCCGTGTTGTGGTAGAGAGAGAAAGGAATTTTCTAGAGAGAGAAAGAGGGAGGGAAATATGAAGAGCAAATCTACGGTGATGTCATGCTCACCGTCAATGTACTCACTACCAACCGTTGAATTTAAAACAAGTCTAATTTATTAGACTACGTATTTCCTCCTATTTTCAAAAAAATAAAAAAATTGTATTTCCTCCTACTTGAAATATATATATTTAAATAAGAATAATAATGATAATGATAATGATAATAATTAGTAGAACAATTTTATTTACTTATTTATAAAATTGATTAGAGGTAATTCTCACAATGAATGGTTTTTATACTCGTAGTTAAATTTTAAAAAGTCTAATTTATTTTTATTTTTTTTTAAATTTGAGCTCACGCCGTAGTATTTTTCAAAAGATTATATAAATTAACTTATTGAAAATAAATTTAAAAAAAAAAAAATTTGGCATAGAGTTTTTGGGTTGTAATTGTTTGACTCTTTGATGATTAGTCCCCCACTCCTATAAATTAGTTGAGCCTGATTGTTGGTTAGTCTAAATTTTTTTTATTTTTCTATGCAACGTTAATGAATTTAAAATTTAATTAATGGTATTTTTAGTCAAAATCTTGTTGCGTGAGAGAAAGAAATCCGAAAAAGTGAAAATGCAAATTTAAAGATAGACGATGAATGTCATCGGACCAGCTGTTGAATTTAAACAAAATCTAAACTATTAATTTGGAGAAGGATTTGATTCCTTATTTATAAAAGAATTAAAGTATTATATCGAATCCGGAAAGAAGTAAAGCATTCAATAATATATAAAAGTTTAAATTCAGAATAAGACCAAATTTTTGATCTGGTGTCCAGTCTTAAGCAGATTCACAATCTATTACACACAATATAACTATATAATTTGGTCTGTACTTCAATAGCTGTTATTTTATTTTCATGCTTATTAATTGATCATTTTCTCAAAAGTTAGCATCAACCATTTATTTTTCTTGCGAAATCAAACTTCAGAAATTAAATATGTGAATTGTTGAGCTCATTAATCTAATTTTATTTTCTATGCAACATTAATACTTTGAAAAATAATGATCATTTTAGTCAAAAACCGCGTTGTTCCAAGAGAAATAAAGGGAACACGAATGAGCAAATTTATAATGATGTCACACTCACTGTGAATGCCTTATATACCAAGGATTGAATTTAAACAAGTCTGATCTATTAATTAAGAGAAACATTTTCATTTCTTTGTCTGTATTAGCATTACTAATAATTAGGAGAACTATTTTCATTTCCTTGTCAGTAAAAGTATGTATTAGCAGTGAAATGCCCACTACACCAACCAACCGTTGAAATTAAACAATTCTGATCTATAAATTAGGAGAAAAAAGTTTATTTCTCTAAGAATTTAATTCATTAATATCTCGATATATCACAACTAACAATTCATCATGAACAGCTCAAATTTCAATTTCTGGGAATTTTTTTTTTTTTTTTTTCAAATTTTAAAATTATAGGGTCTGTTTGGCAACCGCTTCTGTTTCTTGCTTTTGACGGTACAGACGCGAATAAACGAAGCGTGTTTGGTAACAAAGAAAAGGAAGTCCATTGATGCAGTAAACATAACTTCAGACTTGGCCTGTATTAACCTTCTCTAATCAATGTATATAAACCTTACAAACAAGTGAAAGTAGGTTTGATAAAAGTACACAGAAGCACACAAGTTGGAGTAAATAAAGTTACCCGCGTTATCAATGACATAGTGATACATACAAATTCATGATCCACCATACAGAGCTACAGTTTTTGGTGTATAGCAATGTTTAAGCCACTGATCAGGGCGGTCCAATCGGATAAATAATTCACCCCCTGCACCACCCCCTGCACCGATGTGTAGCTCGTTTGAAAACGATTGCAGAACACGAATGTCATTGTAGTTGTTGTACCACCCTCCATGGCATACGAACAAATAATTATGGTTTCCGAATGATGATTATGCTTCTATAAATGAAACTCCTCTTCTTCCAGAGTTGGGAAAGGTAGGGTGTGCAGAATGCTGCTTTGTGGGGCTGATAGATATTGACAACACTGTATGTAGATTCCTTGCATTCATAATTGAACTGCTTATGGGCCTTCCCTGCTCAAATTTGAACTTTCACAATCATAGACTCCACTAATGGGACAAGCTTTTTGCTCTGTCAAATCCAATCTTTCATGAATGGGCATCTGTAGTTACTATGATTAAGCACTCTCTCGCTTGGTGACTGACACTACTTTCCACTTTTTAGGAGCTCTCGTTTTTTCTGCTAGCACTTTAGGGGGATTCCCTTGTAGCTGAGGCTTTTATCTGTTAGCAGCAGAGAGACTCACATTTTACGTGTTTCTGACCTCAATTAAACTGTGAGCTGGTGCTTTTATTAATCCAATTTCATTCATCACATGCCTCACATTCTCTGCATCTTTCCACCGTCCTGCTGCAGCATAAATTTTAGCCAATAGTACGTAATTTCCTGTGTTCTCTGGCTCTAGCTCAAAAAGGCACTTCGCAGCCACCTCTCCTAGCTCAATATTCTCATGTTTCACACAAGCACCAAGCAATGCACCCCAAATAGCATGATTAGCTTTGAATGGCATTGTATTAATTAACTCGTAAGCTTCCTCCAACCGACCTGCACGACCAAGGAGATCAACAAGACAAGTGTAATGATCGGCACAAGGACTCATTTTGTGAACTTTAAGCATGTAATTGAACAAATTTACACCCTCATCCACCAAACCAGCATGGCTGCAAGCATGCAAAACAGAAGTAAAAGTAACATCATTTGGTTTCACCCCGGATTGAACCATCCGATTGAAAAGAGAAACGGCAACCTCACCATGCCCATGCTTGCCATAACCAGCCAATATTGCACTCCACAAAATAATATCCTTGTCCTTCACAGGAATGCCATTAAAGATTTCGTGTGCAACCTCTAAACCTCCACACTTTGAGTAAATATCCATCAAACCGGTGGCAACATCAACAATAGAAATGAACCCCGACTTTATCAGGTAACAGTGTACATTCATTGCCAGTTGCAAATCTGCTAGAATGGCATAAGCAGGAAGGAGGCATTTCAAGGTTGCAAGATTGGGTTCTACTGCTTCAAATAGCAATTGTTTAAAAAGTTCGACTGCTTTTTTGGTAAGCCCGTTATAAATGCACCCAGAAAGAATTGCATTCCATGGTACTGTTCTCTTTCTCGAAGTTTTTGTGAACACTCGGAAGCTGAGTTCAATGCAATTGCATTTCGCATACAAGTCAATTAAAGCAGTTTCTACAATGACATCAGCTTCAAGTTTCCGTCTTATTGCCCACCCATGTAAGCACCTGCCATGCTTTAGATGGTTTAAGCTGGCACATGCTGAAAGAAGAGAAGCCACAGTTACTGAATTGGGACTTACTCGTTCTAATTGCATCAATGGACATAGCACTAGAGCGCTTCTTACATCGCCATTCAAAATATAGCCATTGATCAAGGCAGTCCATGTCACTACGTCCCTCTCCTTCATCTTATCAAAAACAGATCGCGCATTATTCATATTACCACACTTTGCATACATATCGACTAAAGCATTCCTTGCAGGTATTTTGAAACCCAAACCCTTCTCTTCCACCAGTTTATGAACCTCTCTTCCAAACTTTAAGTCCTTCAAAATTCCACAAGCAGGCAACACAGAGACCACGGTGGCACAGTCTGGCTCCACCCCTGCATCCACCATTTTATTGAAAATTATCAAAGCTTCATCAGCACACCCATTTTTAATATACCCACTTATCATAGTGTTCCACGACACCACACCTCGCTCCCACATTGTGTCAAAAACCATCTTAGCCCTCTCCTTCTTCCCACAACTCATGTACATTGCCAACAAAGAATTCGCCACGAAAGTATCCGAATGAACCCCACTCGTAATTGCCAACCCGTGAATTGAACCACCCAATTCAAGCAAAGATAAATCACCACACGCCTTAATAACAAATGTGTAAGTGTATTTGTTGGGCAGGCAATGACCCGTATCAAGCATTTCGATAAAAAGTTGGAGTGCGTTCCGTGATAACCCATTGTTGGTGTACAGTCTTATCATCCTGTCATATGAATATAAGGTTCTCTGAGGCAATTCATCGAACAGCTTACGCGCGTAAGATACTTGCCCACATGTGGCATATGTTGTGGTGAGGAGAGAGACAAGGTGGGCAGGGTAGTCGGGGGAGAGGAGGCCGGAGGTGATGGTGTGGGCATGGAGCTGCTTGGTCTTCGAGAGGGATTTGGTGGTGGCGTAATGGTGCAAGAGTGAGCTACATTGGTGCCAGTTGAGGAAGTGCTTTGTTTTTGATACAGCTTGTGATGAATTCATGAAGTCTGAAAATTCTCCAAAGCGCTAAGCTTGATTAGTATTTATATGGTTTGGTACTTTGGGCATCTATGAACCATTTACCGATAAAATCATGCCATGAGCGATGACCAAATATGTCTATTTCCTATGTGCAAAAATGAAGTATAAATACTACTTCCTATCTGACGATGTTTTGGGAGCCGTCCATCGTGCATGTTTGTATGTTAGAAATCATTAGATGCAACCAGTAAAGAACCAGAGATTGAGAGGGGTGACTTTGAACAATAATAATGAATGTATGGTGAGGTGTTATTAAAATTTGAGTGGGTATATTCAAATTTTTTACAAAAAAAAGTAAGAATATTTTTAAAAATTTCCTAAAATTTATATGTAATTATGCTAATTAAAAAAATTCAGGACCCGTCATGGTCCGTGCCTGGATGCAACAATGATAAAAGTAAGTTAATTATATTACAATGTTGAATCTTGATATGATATGTTGCACCTTTGAAGCAAATATTTAGCATCAAATATTCCATTCTCCATTTAAAATGTACCAAAAATTACCAACAACCTTGAATTTTTTGAAAACCAATGTTTGGTGTAAATTAATAATTCTTTCAATGTTAATCCTAATTTATGCCTAGAAATGCTCGGGACAACATTGTGACGTTGATTAAAATCATTCTTGTCAAATAACCCATAACTCAATTTGTTTTTACATATGTTTAAACCCTCAACTCTTCAATTTTGAGAGGTCGAGGAGCACATTGAGCTACAACTTATCCACAATCCACCAAAAGAGGAAGAACAGCATTGATCAAAGCATTTGGGAGCTTAGTCAAAGATTGCGTCTTTGCCTTGTACTCACTTGGTACCATTCATGATTGCCCCAACTTATCCACAATCCACCAAAAGAGGAAGAACAGCATTGATCAAAGCATTTGGGAGCTTAGTCAAAGATTGCGTCTTTGCCTTGTACTCACTTGGTACCATTCATGATTGCCCTGTCCCATATATATATATATATATATATATATATATATATATATATTATACACATACATTGGAAACTGAAGGCATTGCAGGATTATGTAATAAGTCATTGGTTTTGAATCAGAGTGGCCTGATATCATTATGAAGTCTTCCTGATAATAATTGACAGACATCCACAAGGGTTACAAACATGTGAGAAAATATGAGAACCACATTATTTCTTGCAAGTACTTGTTATGATAATGAAAGCTTCCTACTGTAATTAGAAAACAAAACAAGTCACAAAATGACACTTTGTGAAAAGAGTCATATTTCACTAACACCAAAAACCCTTTGGGGACAAGTTACAGTCACAAAATCACAACCCTCTGTTACACTGGATGAGATGATGGTTATGAGAATAAACTCACAAGTCCCAACCTCAAACCATTTTTCTGGCACTTCTCTAATCAACACAAAAACTAACAATTAGAACAAAATTTCGTAACAGAAAAATCTGATTTTCCAGTAAACCACAAAAGTTGCAGGGCTAAACCTAAGTGATACAATGCGAGAGAGTGACAAAATTTAAATCACACGGAATGAGAATAGGAGCGGTAACGGGAGGGAGGGCTGCAACCGTTTAGAGGAATTGTGAGACTAGCTAAACCTAACTCATGTTCTGGCCCTTCAATTAACTATTTTCACGACTTATTCTTCTTGATCAAATCAGCTTTAGATTCCATCTTCACAGGCAATGGAGCAGAGAAGGTAAAGTTCCCATTTTGACCCTGATGCTGCCCATTAATTTCATAGTTACCTTCAGCTCTCAAACTCCTCCTAGGGTTTCTTTCACCATCCATGTTTATGGAAGAGCCTCCATCATCCATGATTCCTTCCTCTTCATCCTCGATTTCCTTAGCAAAACCACCAATTTCTTCAACTTCCCTACAAAGATTGTCCACAAGCTCTCTCTCATCATCAATTGAACCACTCCCATCACTACTATTAACATCCCCACTTGAAATTGGCTCATGGGTATCCTTGAAAACCCTATAAACATTCCCATTCTCTGCAAATCTCACATTCTTCTTTGCTTTGGGTTGAATCCCATTTCTATTTTGGGGAAAACCAACCTTTCCATTAATGGAAACATTAGGGTTTTCAAGTCCCACATCTTCCTCGTCATCCTCTTCAGAAATCTCAGAAAACCCATTGATTTTTTCAGTTAGAACCCTCAATTTCTCCTTCAATTCTCTCTCATTTCCACCCATATCTCCACAATCAGCATTGCCCATCCTGTGACCATTGTACGAAACCCTAGATTTATTACCATTACCAACAAATCTCACATTCTTCGTTGCTCTGCTTGAAAGTTCTTTCCTTCTCGAAGAAACCCCATCAATGAACTCTATAAACCGAATCAATTCTCTGCTAATCGACCTTTTACCATCCCTAATCATCGAATCAAAACCCTGCAATACAAACCCATCTCAGATCTTGTACTTACTAATTTCAAGCACACATCACATATATAAACGATCGTTACCTGAATAGAGTCGAGCTTGAGAAGCAAGTCCATGGCTTTGCGAGAGAGAGCTTGAGAATTAAAGTGGGTATTGTCAGATAGAGAGGTTTTGAGAGTGTTAAGAGTGGATTTGATGAAAGCGAGGTCTTTGAGTTGTCGTAGAGTTCGTGATCTGCGGACCAGGAAGGCTCTGAAGTGGGTTTGGATGGTTCGGGCGGCAGCATCTCTGAGTGAATAAGCAGCAGTAGAATTGGCAGAGAACTGGTGGCGGAGGGAGGATTCGAGGGCGGCGATGCGGAGGACGAGGGAGGAGACAGTGGGTTGGATTTGGGGTGGTTGGGGGTGGTTCTGGTGGTGGCGTTGCTGTTTTTGTTGGTGGGGCTGAGGTGGGTGGTATTGGGTTTGGTGGTGGTGGTGGTGGTGGTGGTGGTGGAGGTTGTGGGGGTCGTAGGGTGTGTTGAAGTAGGGAGAGTAGAGATGGGGTTGGTCTGGAGGAGTGTGGAGGAGGTGAGAAGCTAGAGATTGCAGAAGTGGGTCTGGTGGTGGAGGGTGGGGAGATGGGGTACAGCAGCAGCAACAACAGCAGCTGGTTGGGATGGTGGTGCTGGGGTGGCTATTGTGGTGGTGGAGGTGGTGGTGGGGGTGGGGAGAGGCCATCAGACGGAAATCTTGTAAGAATAGGGTATGGTCAATGGTGATTGACGATAGGGTTTGGTCAATGGTGATTGATTTGACAACGATGGGGGGATTGGGGGAGTTTTGTTTTGGGGCCTGTTACGGAGTAAATTTTTATTTTTATTTTTATTTTTTTCTTTAACTACAAAATCCAAAGAAATTGAAGCAAAATGAAAAAGAAAAACTTTTTTTTAATGTTCTATATCTATTTTACCTTTATAAAATGTTAAGTATCAATCAATACGTGATTCTTTTTTAATTTAAAGTTTGATGTGCAATTAGTATAAATCAGTGTAATTGATATTGCAAATCATGATCACAATATTATAGTTCACAATGTACATATCTCAAAGTGGATGCAGGCCCATTCTCTTTAATTATAAAATAAAAAAATCAAAATAATAATTTCTTAGTGTTTTTTATTTGGAAATTAAATCTATACTCTTTTATTTTTAATTTAATAATTAAAAAAATATGTCTAATTATTATTTATTCATATTAACTGTAAATATTCTTTTTAATGAAATATAAAAATTATTTCATAAAAAAGATTTATATATTCAATCTATGTAGTAAATAGAATTATATATTCTTGGCAATAACCTATATTATTTCTTAATCAAGTTTTTTCCAAACAAGATAAAAAGGTTTTCATTTTTGCTTCATTTTTATTGTTTTTCTTTAGCTTTTTTAAACCACAAAAGGATTTAGTCCTGTATTTTTCCTTGTGACATTATCTTTTTAACGCAATAAGTTTTGGTTTGGGCCAATTTAACTGTGATATAAAGTTGTTTAGGAGCTTAGGGAAAAAAGAAAAAAAAATAAAGAAATAAAAAGTTGTTTTGGGGGATTGAACCATGATCTAAAGTAGGAGAAAAGAAAAGGAAGTTGTTGGAGATCAGAGTCATGTTTGCTTTTTGTGACAAATAGTGATGTGAATTGAACCTGCATTAGTGTATGGGCCAGATGTGTGTGTATATATAAATATATATATTATTTTTTTTCACAAGCCAGATGGATATATGCTTTTGTTGTGTGAAAGCATATGGGTGTCACTGACAGCTGAAAAATAATTGGGCCCAACTGGTCCGGAAAGGTCCAGTGGGCCATTACCACGGGGTTTTAGTTTGACATTGGGTTTGCATTTGGCAAAAAAACCAACCCAAATTGTTTTAGATGTTTTGGGACTAATTTTCTTAATCCTCAACCTCATTCAATATTAAACTTTCAACAAAGTTGTGAGTTAATGGTAGTAAGTCTTTTCAGGGCCTAGTACGGAAGGATTTAGGTGGAGGGATGGATTGGGAAAGTATGGAATAGCCTTCTCATGTTTGGTTGAAAGGAAGAAAAGTGGGGGAGGAAGCATCAAGTTTTTTATTCGTTCAAAATTGAAAGGAAGAGAGGAGGAAAAGCGTGAATAACTTCCTAAATATATAAAATACTAATTTCAACCATTTCAAAAAATCAATTTTTTTTTTTTTTTAGTTTTATATAATGAGGGTACATTTATAAAATAGTAATAAAAACTCTCATTCCTTTTCTAAAAAAACAAAAAAGTATTATCCCATCCACTATTTTTACTATTGTCTTACATTTTTTAAAGGACGCCTCATGCATCCCGTTTCCTCTCTTTTTTGTCCATTTTTTCATCACTCCAGCCAAACGAAACATTATGTTGAAGAAGACTAGAGACTGGATACATATGCATATGTTTTGACTCAAGTTTTCGATTAAAGACTTTGCCCTAAGTAGCATAAATCTTTGTTTAAAAGTGAAAAGTAGAGAATTCAATTTTCTTAAAAAAAAAAAAAAAAAAAAAAATGTGAGAGGTTCTTGTGAATAAAAAGTAAATAAAAAAAGTTAATGCAAGTAGATTAAAATTTAAATTTATTCAACTCTTTATCCCCCGGCTCGAAGAATTAGAGTAAAAAAAGCTTGGGACCATTTCATACCGTCCAATTTCAATCATTAAAGTCAGAATAGTAAAACTGTAAAATCATGGTGATAGCTCAATCGCCGGTATATATGATGCCACGGATGATGAACTTGTCATGAATATTTGAATCCAACTAACATCAAATTCATTGCCAACAAGTGGACGGTGCAGACAGATGGGAGCCAGGGAGACCGTAAAACCTTCCTTTGTCCTTTACTTATAAGTTTTATATATGTATATATATATATATATATATGTGTGTGTGTGTGTATATATATATATATATATATATATATATCCAATCGGAATTATTACTCTACTACACTCAAAACTTTGCTTTTTGTTATAGTCCATCTCTAGCCAACAAGAAGCTGATAATTATTTTTTGGTTTCATTTGAGTCATTTGACAACGTTAACGAATATGTTTATCTTACTAATTTGTCCTAACTTTAAAAAATAATTATATTCATATACTAATCGAATACAAACGGAGACTTACATGACATGTCATATGATGTGGCCCATGCAAGTCTCTAAGAATAGTGAGTGGCTCTTACCCAACTTTCATAATAAATAAATACCTATTTTTTATTAAAAAATATTTGTTGATAACTTTTAAAATGAAAATAAGAACAAAGTCGGTCAATTTGACGAAATTGATCAACAAACCATCTTCATTTTAAAAATTTAGTGACAGATGAGATGAGTAATGGAATTACACTCTATATATGTTGTTTGAAATCAAATTCAAGTTCAAAACGAACAATATCATATCATGCAGTTGAGTGGATCCTTATAAACGATATCAGAAAGTGACCTAACCAGAAGTGTGGCCAATAATGACGTTAGCCCTCGAGAAGAGTGGTTGTGGTGACATTTGTGGGTGAGTGTGAGATACCGAGAAACTACCACATTGAATGAGTTACACATGCATAATCTCACATCACATTTGTGGGTGGGTGTGTGTGGACATATATATAATTGGTGTTATTTCTTATTGGTGCGAGTCCTAAAATAAAATTCAAAAGTAAAAAGGTATAAACTCAGGCCCAAACTAGGGTGTGTTTATGCATTATGCGTAAACAATCTTCAATTACTGGTTGAGCAAAGCGAGTACTTTTGTTAAATGGAGTAATATTGTTAAATGGACTAACAGAATTTTCTTTTGAAAATTACAAGGTCAATGTAATTAAGGAAAATATAGCCAGTCAGTCGTAACTTTATTCCATAAATATCTAAGTATAAGAAAAATAGATTATTTTAGTGCCAAATGTAGGGTGACAACTGTCGAGTGCAGCGATTAATAGTTGATCTCGATCGCAGGCGATCTTGAACCTATCATTATTGTTAAGTATTTTAGTGCGTAAACCATGGGGGACACACACACACACACACACACAGATATATATATATATATATATCGGGATTTGATCATTTGGAACGTGACTTCAGAAGATAAGAAGCCACGGGAGAAAGAGAGAGTCCATCTTTCAGTGTCACATACCAGTCCATTAGAGCCCCCTGTATGAGAGATTTTTAGAGAGAGAAATAGAGAGTTTTAGAGAGAGAGTAATGGCTACTTCACCGTTCTCTCCGACTCCAACCCGAGCAGAGACCTTCTCGCATTGCTATTCAATCTCGAGATTCATCGATTTCAGCTCTAGAAATCGAAGCTCCAACCTGTTCTGGATCAGAAACTCGAGTTTGCGGAGAGTGAAACGGTCCTTTTCCGTGAAGAACATCTCAAGTGAACCGAAGCAAAAACGAAAGGAACCGATCACTGAAGAAGGTCTGATGATATTCTCTGTATTCAATCCTAATTCTGCTGATTTTGTACTATGTTTCTAAACTTATGCTTAATTGTTGATTTATTTGTGTTTTTGTTCTTCATTTAGTGGAATTAATATGTTTCCTTTTACGTGATTTGGTATATTTATGAAACTGTCTAATTTCGAGTTTTATTATTTTTTATATTATTATTATTGTGCTGCAAATTAATGTCTGCATTTGGAGCAATACAAGTCATTCGTTACTGAAAATGTAAATAATTGGAATTGTTATGCTTTGAGAACTCAAATAATTGATGATAAACGACAAGTAGAGAGAATGCCTGCATAAAAGTCTCTTTTCCCGTTAGTTTCATGCCATATGAGCTTGTAGTAAGAAGTGTATCTATTGCAGGAGAAAATTTTGATCAATTAAACAATAGAACCATTTCTTGTTTGACCACTGGTATGGATGGAGGAAAATATATTTTATTGATCAGGATCCGAAACAGTTTGACTTAGTATGTCTCCGAGGAAGAAGATTGTTTAAATCAAGTTATAACTTTATGCTGTATAAAACTTACTAGGTTGTGAATCCAATCAATTCTATGAGGAACTGTGTGCAACTTCTATTTTTAATTATTGCATTACGATGGGTTTCTTCCCCTTTGGGCAGATCCAATTTTTTATACTTTAATAGCTACTCATATCTTACCATGTATTTATGAAGAAAGGATTGTGAAAAAAAGTTGTCTTGTTAGTGATTTTGGCCATTTGTTTCAATCAAAGCCATTGAATGGTGTATTATATTATTAGAAGCCATTGGTTCATGGTACGGGATACATGCTTAAGTGTGAGGGTGGGTGGGGTTTAAATGTTAATGTGCTCATGGCCTAAAGGAAGGGAAGGGAGTGTGGCAGATTCATGGCCAAATAATGGGAATGTGAGGGGGGTCACTGCTTTCTCCAGGATGTTCTCGCATCACAGATTGGGGCTCTCTAATTTGCTGTTTAGAACAAATTTATGTGCATTAGGTTTTGAAGGATCAAATTTAGTACGTGGTTTTCCCACGAGAAACCATTGAGGTGTGAATTTGAAGATGGGAACAGCTGTATGTAGAATAGAATTAATGGATCAGTGCCTAATTCACATATTTGACAAGTTGCAAAGTGGGAGTGATGCCTGTAGATCTATTATATTTGTTTTTGGTGAGTCGGATCCCTATTACATGATTGTCTACCACAGGAATAATCAAGAAGCGTACATGATGTTATACCACTTTGATGCATTGCATGTATGAGATTTTTCTTCTTTTTGTTAATAGGTAGAGAGACACACACATACCTACTCCTGATCGGGACACCCTCAGCCTCCTCTTTAAAGAGGCGGTGGGAGATGCCACTCAAGCTGACACTTGGTGGTTGCATGAACTTTCATATATCTGATTTAAGCAATATAAATCATGTGTGGCACTCCAACTGAGGATTGGCATGACTATCGAGAAATAAATGTATGAGAGAAACTTTATAGATAATATACTAAATTATTCTGAATATAACACATTTAATCATTTATCCCTTGTATGATAATTTAGGAACTCCTAGTGATCTGAGTTCTTTCACTCCCGATGCTGCATCCATTGCCTCAAGTATCAAATACCATGCAGAGTTCACGCCATTATTTTCTCCTGAGCGGTTTGAGCTGCCCAAGGCTTTCTTTGCAACTGCACAAAGTGTTCGTGATGAACTTCTTATTAATTGGAATGCTACGTATGATTATTATGAAAAGATGAATGTAAAGCAGGCATACTACCTATCAATGGAATTTCTACAGGTTTGTCACGAGGCTCTCTCTTTAGTTACTGTGGTTGATACATTTGCAATCCACATCTGTTGTATTGTGATAATACTTTTGTAATCCATTATGGTTTCATATTTTATTGGGTAAATCACACTGACATCCTGGTAGAATGCCTAAATAATAAGGACCTCCCCTCTAGTTTCAAAAATAACACTGACCTACCCTGTCATAAAATCCATTAGTATTGTCAGCTGATGTCATGCTTGAGATTTACTTAAGACCCAATTTTGCTCTTAGAATGCTTGAAACAAAAGGATATCTTGCATTAAATAATAATAAAAGTACATTGGGTATAATTCTCATTTCACGACTTCGGTAAACCGACAACACCGACAGGGAATGTCGGTGTTATATTTGAAACCATAGAGGAGGTCCTTGTTATTTAGGTATTCTGCAGGGGAGGTCAGTGTAATTTACCCTATTTTATTTTATTGTGCAACTGTTCCATTTTCTTTTTCTTTTTATTTTTTAATGCAAATATACCTTTTTCTGCATTCCATGATTTTATATTGTGATCTACTTCTGTAGGGTAGAGCACTGTTAAATGCAATTGGTAATTTGGAGCTAACTGGTGCTTATGGAGAAGCTTTGAGCAAGCTTGGACACAATCTAGAGAATGTAGCTTGGCAGGTCAGCTTTTCTTAAGAAATTTTCATTTTTGTGGAATTATTTTGCGATGGATCATTTATTGTTGCTTTTACTTCCAAAATTCTTTTGTCATTTATGAAATAGCAGCACTATTAGTGGTCTGACTAATACATAATCAACCAGTTTGGGGTGTTTTGCATAAATGTATCATGCTAAAAGCCAGAGTTGGAGTAGTCCCTGCCAAACAATTTTTTTTTTCTGTTTTACCAAGAAGCTAGATTTGCTGTGTGCTTATAGGAGGTCTCAAAGTTTGCTTTAAAAGAGGAAATTCGTGGATAAGCATTTATCTCCTTGGTTAGGGATGGAGGGTGCATGGCAATCTTGTCAGTCAGTGGAGCCAGAATATACTGAAGAAATACCTCATGATAAGACTCTGGGTGGAGGACTAAAGAAGGAAAAAAAAAAAAAAAAAAGAGACTCGTTCATAATAAGATAAATAATTTAATTAAATAAATCTTTGTTTATTACTTTTTCAGTCTAATTGAAGAACTACACTGAATAAATTGTTGATATGGATGGTAATTATCATTTATGTAAGAGTTTGACAGCAGTTGTTACTGTACTTATTTTTGCTTTTCTGTAATTTATGTATGTTGTCCATTCCTTCTAGTTGTAATGCTAAACTCTTTGGTTTTGATCAATTGCAGGAGCCAGATGCTGCACTTGGAAATGGGGGTCTTGGGCGGCTTGCTTCCTGTTTTCTGGACTCTATGGCAACACTAAATTATCCTGCATGGGGATATGGACTCAGATACAAGTATGGATTATTTAAACAACGGATTACAAAAGACGGTCAAGAGGAAGTTGCTGAAAATTGGCTTGAAGTATGCTTTATTTATCATTTTTTACTTCAACTTCAATGTATAATGTTAAGATATATCTTACTTATCAAAAAAAAAAAAAAAAGATACGTCTTATTTTAATTTTTCTGAAATTTTGGAAAATTTATCTTTTTTTTTTCTTTCTCCTGTTCAGATATAAGTACTTTGAGTTACTTCATACTGTAAGGCTTATTTGTCTTTGGGCTAATTTCAGTTTCTCCTTGTAGATGGGTAATCCCTGGGAAATTGTGAGATATGATGTCTCATATCCTGTAAAATTTTTCGGTAAAGTTGTCACTGGATCTGATGGACAAAGACACTGGGTTGGCGGAGAAGATATAAAAGCTGTTGCATATGATGTCCCAATACCAGGATATAAAACAAAAACCACAATTAATCTTCGACTGTGGTCCACTAAAGTTTCATCAGAAGATTTTGATTTATATGCTTTCAATGCTGGAGAGCACACAAAAGCTTGTGAAGCCCAATCAAATGCTGAAAAGGTTTCACCTCATTTTCTTGCACAATTTTGAATTTCATCTGGATATTTTCTTGGCATTGTATAGTTAATTGCTATATGTGCAAGAAATTAAAAAAAATTGAAGTTGGGCGTTGGCCTTCAAGAAGAGAAAACATATGATGTTGTCCTCTCTTATTTCCCTTGCCCCGTGAATAATACTTTGGTTGGTTGGTATTGCTGACATAAACTGAAGACCGAATGTAAAGCGGATGAAAAGGACCTAATATCTGTTTGTTTGTCCACATTTTGGGAAATCCTTGCCATGCTTCATTCCTGTTTAAAATATTTTTTACTGATTTTGTTGATATCTTAATACGTTACTCCATGAAAACAAGAAGAATGATCCACAACTTCATATAATACTTTATTCTGATACCAGATTTGCTATATACTATACCCCGGGGATGAATCAGTGGAGGGAAAGGTCCTTCGCTTGAAGCAACAATATACCTTATGCTCGGCTTCTCTACAAGATATTATTGCACGTTTTGAGAGGAGATCTGGAGGGCATGTGAAATGGGAAGAGTTTCCTGAAAAGGTTGCAGTGCAGATGAATGATACTCACCCAACACTATGCATTCCAGAGCTGATGAGAATATTGATAGATTTGAAGGGCATGAGCTGGAAGGAAGCTTGGGATATCACACAGAGGTACTTCCTATCACCGTAGTTATGTGCATGCTTTCTGAGGTAATTTAAATATATTGTTTTTGATGGAGTATATATGCTATATAAGGGGGATATCATTGAATGATTTAAAAATGTTATGCAAGTTGTTCGATTGTGGAGAAGAGATACCAAACAGTTGCTAGTCGATCCACTACTTTATTGAAACTGATCATTATTTTGCATTATGGATATCAGATTAGAATGGGATGGATTTACTGTGGTTTCAGATACTTTCATAGTTTGTTGAGTTTTATTGGAATTTCTTATTCTCCTTTTTCTACTGTTTTGGCATCATTCTGCAGTGACCTATTGCAGCTCAATATTGACTTCTATTATCTGCAATTTTATATATATTATACCCTAGTTGGCCTGCCTACCCCGGTCCCCAGCACATATATCAAAACCTCAAAACGAAACTATGACATAAACACTACTAGATTGTAAATCTGAGCTTATTATTAGATATAACTGAAGTTTGTTTCCTCAAGTTGTAGTAATTTAAAATTTTAAATGCCTCATCTGTTGGTATATGTCTGCCAGAACTGTAGCATACACAAACCATACTGTTTTACCCGAGGCATTGGAGAAATGGAGTTTAGAACTTATGGAGAAACTACTTCCTCGACATGTTGAGATTATAGAAATGATTGATGAGGAGGTAATGAAAAATAATTATGAATCAAATTCTCTCTGCCCACTGTAAGTTTTCATTTCCATACTGATATTATATTGTTTTCTGTTATTCAGTTGATTCACAACATAATATCAGAGTATGGTACTACAGATCCTGACTTGTTGCAGAAAAAGTTGAACGCGATGAGAATTTTAGAAAATTTTGATCTGCCTGCTTCCGTGGCAGATATATTTGTTAAACCAAAAGAAAGCCCTGCTGTTGCTCTCAGTGAAGAACTTGAAGTTTCTGATGAAGAAGTTACTCCTGCCAATGAAGAAGATGAACCTGCTGTTGCTCTCAGTGAAGAACTTGAAGTTTCTGATGAAGAAGTCACTCCTGCCAATGAAGAAGATGAACCTGAAGAAGAAGATGAACCTGAAGAAGAAGATGTACAGAAGAAGAAAAAGTTGGATTCAGAATCAGCTCCAGAACCACCACCAAAGATGGTCCGCATGGCTAATCTTTGTGTTGTGGGTGGTCATGCGGTAAATGGAGTTGCTGAGATTCATAGTGAAATAGTGAAAAATGAGGTTTTTAATGAATTTTACGAGGTACACATGTCAGTTAGCCTATATATTTATTTTGAAATATATTAACATTTTATGATTTGATAGAATTGACACACTTTAGTTCACTATCTCATTGTCATGGAAAGTGTTCCTAGCATAATTTTTTTTTACACCACTTCTTACAGCTTTGGCCTAAGAAATTTCAAAACAAAACAAATGGGGTGACACCAAGAAGATGGATCCGTTTCTGCAATCCAGATCTAAGTTATATCATAACTAAGTGGACTGGCACAGAAGACTGGGTCCTAAACACTCAGAAATTGGCAGATTTGCATAAGGTAATTCATGGTGTCTTCTGGAATAAATTTTACCTTTTCTTTAAAATTCTTAACAAACAAGTGGATTGTATTTGTTTGCTATTGATATGGATTATTGATGTTTCTTCATTTTTAGAAGTAATTCTGTGTATGTGTGTTTGGGGTGGGGATGGTTATTCATCTACAGCAGACGCTGACACGTCAAGTGTTGTAATCTGCTAACTTTATATGTTACCAAACAAGTACCTGCTGAATGCATATGAATCTCACTGTCATTTAAGCTAGATGACCGGATCATAGGAGAAATTTTGTTAGACCAGCATCTATTAACATGATTTTTCAGCTCATGAGTTCTGAGTCCACATCAAATTATTTATTTATTTTAAATTCAAAAGTGGCATGGTTTAGTGCATTGCCAGTGGGGCTTGAATGATAACGGCAACTGTCTATGGTTTCATGGCATAAAATGAAACTTCCTTTGCCTTATGCTTTTCTCTTGCTATATATTTAAAATGGAAGATTTTTTTTAACCTACCTTTCTGGAATTAGCTTGGTATGCAAAGTGCTGTATACACTAACCGTACTGGTGAACTCATCCATAGTTTGCGGATAATGAGGATCTCCAGACTGAGTGGAGGGCAGCCAAAAGAAGCAACAAGATGAAGGTTGTGTCATTCCTCAAAGAAAAAACAGGGTATTCCATCAGCCCTGACGCAATGTTTGATGTCCAGGTCATTTTCTTGCCTTTAAATACCCTCTTTTACAATTTTGTTCTACCTCAGTTGATGTGTATTTAATCTTTAAAAAACTTGCTCTCAAAATTTATCTCTGTCTCTCCCTCTCCCTGAGATTTTAGCTCGATGTTGCATAACTGTATGTTGGAGCTGTCAATTTTGAAGCTGACTTGTTAACATGGTGCATTTGGAATTCTATAGCATCTCTACATATACAGTAATCGTTCCTTCTTTCAGTGTCTCTCAAAAATACTAATTTCCCTCATAAAGCATGGTACAAGTTTGACTGAATTGACTTATGTTCAGGTGAAGCGTATACACGAATACAAGCGACAACTGTTAAATATCTTGGGAATAGTTTACCGATACAAGCAGATGAAAGAAATGAGTGCAGAAGAGAGGAAAGAAAAATTTGTTCCAAGAGTTTGCATATTTGGAGGAAAGGCGTTTTCCACATATGTGCAAGCCAAAAGAATTGTGAAATTCATCACAGATGTTGGAGCTACAATAAATCATGATTCTGAAATTGGCGATTTATTGAAGGCATGTATTGCTAATCACTATTAGTCAAATCTCTAAGTCCTCGCATTGTTTACTTTACTCAGCTGTTGACCATTTGCAATAGCATTAACAATTCGAACATGTGTGTGTGTGTATGCAATATAAATAGGCCTAGGCCTGATCCCATCATGGCTCTACCCCTGAGATGATGAATTGTGGTTCTAGTAAGGTTTCCTGGGAAAGAATCCTTCTCAACCTTCCGATTGCGAGGAGTGCCCTAGCTAGACAATCTCAGCTTCTTACATCTCTATAATTTTCAAATGGTACTTCTAGCTTCATGAAAATGGTTTTGACAATCCATTAAATGGTCCATAGAGACCATGATACTACAGCGCGAATCTCTTCAATGTAATATTTAAATGTTGACCACCTTTAGTGGGCGGAATCTTATCTCTCTAGTGAAACATCATCTACCACCCACTTCACTAGTAATTTTGGAAGGAATGATATTTGGAGTCTTTATTCATTTTGGCTACAAGATGGTCTGACATAAAACTTAATATCAGTTTGTTGTTGCAAGCTCATCCATATAGCTGATCTGTTTTTCTGATTTTGATTTTAGGTTGTATTTGTTCCTGATTACAACGTCAGTGTTGCTGAATTGTTAATTCCTGCAAGTGAGCTTTCACAGCATATCAGGTATTTGGACTGACTCAATGCTGATATTCCTTTTGTCACAGCCCCACCCCTCCCTAATTTTTTTTCCCCTTCTTGTTTTTTGTTTTTTTCAATTTTTGGTCTAATTGGTAAAAAAATAGATCAATGCATTCTTCTAAATTTCCCATAACTGATGTTTAGATTTGAATATAATTGATGCTTGTAGAGCTATTTAGCCTGAATTTGTCATGTTTATTAAGGCACGATGTAAGCTCTGTTTAGGCTGAACTCCCTCTGGAGCATTGCCCTGCTGGAACTGCTACAAGGCCCAAGTATATTTTGAGCTAGTGTCACCCGAACCCGAGCTTTTGGTTTCTGTTTGTCTTTCTGGCAAGCGAATATTAATCGTCTGTTTAAACTCAGTCCTGCTGGAACTTTGTTCAAGGTTCATCCTTGATTGTTTACAGACCTCAGACATGCACAGGGGTGCGTTCCCAAGCTGAGGTCAGAATTTAAACAAGCTCAAGTTGGGAGTTTGTGCTTAGGGTTTTTGGGCTGACCATAATCCATTTTCACTTGCATCCTCAGATGCTTTGTTATTCTCGAAAAATGTTGCTTTGAGAAACTCTAATATTTCTGAATGTTAACTGTTGAGTAAACCAGAAAATGTACCAACACGTGTTCGTTTGAATTAAATATGTCTAGTATGCATTTAAAAAAAATGAGATTCACTTAAGCCTACCCCAAGTAATTCCGAAAGGCTTGGTTGTTGTTGTATGCAGTTAAAAAACTTAACTTGAACAATGTGTAATTTTATGCAACCCAGGTTGCTTCCAAAAACTAGCGCCTTTTGAAGTGCTTGATGGATCTAACGATACAATAAACTGGTCCAGTTGAGTTCTAAAAATACTAATATGAAACATAAGTAATTTTTTTCCTCCTTAGACCCCATATTTTTTCTTCCTTTGATAATAGTCACAACGAAATTTGTTGTCTGTGGCAGTCATTTGAGCTGTTTCTCGGTTTTACTTCCCCCCTCCCTCCGAAATATAACTATGGTTTCCCAAACATAGATAATATAGGCACAACATCAATTATAAAGAGAGAGGATAGAGGATTCTAGATATACTGTTGAAAATTCCTTGCAATTAGTGCTAGCTGGGAAAAGAGGTTCTTTTATTTTTCAGGTTAGAAATTCTTATATGGGCAATTAGAAAATGAAGCTGGTTTTTGAAGCTCTCTATTTTCACAATCTAAAATGAAGTTACATGATTGAACACACACTAGGGCACCCATGAAAGCTTAAGAGTTTTCCTAAATCCCAATATGAAACAGTGGTATTGTTTTACTGTGTTAGAATCACAATGGAGTTTCAAGGATATTGACTCTCTGTCTGTCTCTCTATAGTACTGCTGGGATGGAGGCCAGTGGAACCAGCAACATGAAGTTTGCAATGAATGGTTGCATCTTGATCGGGACCTTAGATGGGGCCAATGTTGAACTAAGAGAAGAGGTTGGAGAAGACAACTTTTTCCTGTTTGGTGCTCAAGCTCATGAGATTGCAGGGCTAAGGAAAGAAAGAGCTGAGGGCAAGGTATTCCTAGTTGACCAAACTTTTGTCTTTCTATTTTCTGTTTTGGAGAATCCATAATCTCATTGTTTCTACTGTAAAACATGATAGTAAGGAGCATGGACTGATAAAAAGAAATTAAGAAAACTAACGAGCTTGGGCAGGCATACCATCATCCTTATTTTTCTGAAAGAAGTAACCGGAAATAGGAAAAAGTAACTAATCGCCTTTATCTAATTCTAGTTTTGGGTGGCAGTGAATACATTTGTTCTTTCTTTCTTATTTTGTAGTTTGTGCCGGATGCACGTTTTGAAGAAGTCAAGGAATTTGTCAGAAGTGGTGTTTTTGGGACATACAACTATAATGAACTGATAGGATCCTTGGAAGCAAATAAAGGTTTTGGTCGTGCCGACTATTTCCTTGTTGGCAAGGACTTCCCCAGTTATATACAATGCCAAGAGAAGGTTGATGAGGCATATCAAGATCAAAAGGTGAGTAATCTAAAAAGCATTCCTTTACCTGCTTATGCATATTCCACAGAATGTGCGTATTATGTTCTGTAAGAATTTTTATTTGTAAATATTATTTCAATGTCCTTGAATTCTTACTACCTTAAAAGTTTCTTGGATCTTTTCTATAAGCTTGTTACTGTATGCATCTATGCAATAATGCAACTTAAATCATCATGACCTAATTTACTGATTTGGTGTAGTTACTACTGAAACATTATCTGTTTTCAACGATTATTGCAAATATTTGGTGGAGTATAAAAAGTTTCTTCTCTAGCTGTATAATTTTAGAGCAGTTTTTTCTCTTACTTTAAGAACGTGCTTTATTTATTTTTATTAAAATTGAAATTATTCTGTTTGCTATACCTTCAAATGCTCTGATATTTTTGTGCAGCCAAGCCTTTTACCATCAGATATATGTTATCGTTTCACACTAATATGGTTACATAACCATCTAATCAAAAACATTCGTGCCTTTAAACATAGAACACTTATTCGGTGGATGCATTTAGAACATAAAGAGTATCCCTTGTTCTGCACATTTTTTTGGTACACTCTCAGATATGCAGCTACTAAAATGTTGAATTCTAATTTCTTTCTTGTATTGGGCAGAGGTGGACAAGAATGTCGATCTTGAATACAGCCGGCTCATCCAAGTTCAGCAGCGACAGAACAATTCACGAATATGCAAGAGACATATGGAACATCGAACCTCTTGAATTACCTTAGAAAATGAAATTTTCCTGCGAAATCTTAGCAAGGCAGCCTGAAGTCTTGTCCATGTCTGTAAAATAGCGTTTTATGTTCTTTTCATGTAGAGGAACTCAACTGGCAATGACTAAATAAATGCAGCGCAAATAATGTTGATTGTGGAATAAAATCAAGTGCTTGCTTTGGTACTTTTATGCATCAATCCAAAACTTTTTCACCTGAACATTGTGTTGTGGCTCACGAATAAATGTGGTTGAGAAGGCAGAGGTTTTTCTTTGATTTTTTTGTTTCCGTGTTTCGAGACATGTAAACTGTTATTGTGACATGGAGTCCAGATCAAAAGAATAAATATATTGAATTATTGATTGAGCCAAATGATCTCGTACCTGCTTGGTTCAGTTATCAGAGAACTATAAATTATAGGTTGTAATTTTCAAAATTCAGTTATAAAAATGACTTTATTTTTTTATTTTCGATATAAAGTTATCTAAAAACGGTTTTTTATAAAAATGATTGTTTTCATGGAACAGTTTTTTTTTTTTTTTTTTTTTTTTTAATAATTATCTAGAAACATAGTTCTTAATTCTTAAAAAATATTTTCAAAATACTGAACTAAGCAGACCGGGTTCTAGTCCTCATTATACTCCATTTTAATTTTGAGGAAAATAACCTTTTTATAAGAAAATGAAAATTGAAATTTATGATTACATCAACTAATGTCAGCCTCTGAAGATTAAAAATTAGAACATGTATGCTAGAAGTAAGACAGCTCTGTAATGTTGTTTAGAAGGAACATAAAAACATGTTCCTTCTAATTTCCCAGGTACAAAAGATGCACTTGGCTATAGTTTGCAATGTCAGAAGAAACCAACTAGAAGCCTAATAATATATGTCAATCACTGTGAAAGCTATAAGAAAAAAGGATCCATTACATTGACAAATAATGGACCTGCAATGTGTACATGACTTCATACCTTCACATCTTTTAACTTGAACACCTCTCAGAAAGGGAATATATAACTAATTAGAATACACATCTGTTGCCAAGAACATCCAAACATCTCCAGAAGATCTTTCCAGAACATGATGTCACCTGAACGGCCTGATGAAGTGACCATGTCTCTGTGATGTGGATGACAATATTTCTGAAAATGCTACAGCTTTTTTCATTTTCTTAAAAATGGTTCGGAAAAGTTTTACTACTATAATATTTTAAAAGACAGTAGTTAGTCCACTCCCAGCTGCATGATCACTCCATTTCAATGGATAGTAGCCAGTCCACTCCCAGCTGCATGTTTCTTCATCATGGCAGCATGCTTTGACCCTGCCATATGATGACCGAAAACGATTTCGCTATTGCATACCACATTACATATTGTGCATTTCTTGACAGCAGGTGTTCCACATTTCAAAATTTTCCTTCTCTTTGTCTCTCCATCACCTCTATGATCAGCTGTCCTTTTTGTTTTTTGCCCAACGATGGCTTTCCCCTTAACAGGGTGGTTTCCTTGTGCTCCACTCACTCGCTTACTTCGCCTTGCTGGAGCAGTGGGGCCAGGTGCAATTCCTTGGTTTCGCATCTCCAAGTTCTTCTTGTGCTTCTTTCCCGATATATGATGGTCAAGATCATCCTTGCTGGTACACTCAATCTTGCACACCTCACATCGTGCAGACTGTACAGCATTCATGTTCTTTGGGCCCCTCATCAAAGATTCATTTCTGCGAGGATGGACACTTGCATTAGTCCGCAGGGCGGAGTTTGGATAAGGCACCAACTCCTCTGCCCCATTTGGAGAGATTGTTACACCCTGCACAAGGGAATTGGGAGATAGCATCATGAATGAAATACAAGGACGATAATGCATCATTAATGTATACAAAAATTAACAAAAACTAACTTCTATTACTATATTTTTATCTTCAGAGGGAAAATATCAATATCTCCTAAAATAAATGACACAGGATCAGTAGACCAGAATTTTGATAGAACAAAGCATTTAAAATATTTTGCTTTACTAGATTAGTATCAGATCTTAACTGAAAATCAAGTACATCATCTAATCATCTATAATGTTCTTCGTAACACATCGAATGAGTATTTTTAAGATTACTTGGTCTATGTAACAAAATTACACCCATTTTAGCCTGGTAAACCACGAGGAGAAACAAACATGTGACGAACTCCATTTTTTGCACCCTCATTCATCTTGAAATTCATTTGGTGATAATAATAACGTATTTGACAAGAACATATGTGTCAGAATCATTCCCAGTGCATTGCAATTAGGGGTGCAAGCTGGACGGGACTAGCCCGACCCAGCAATTACAAGTGCAAGTTGGACGGGACTAGCCTGACCCAACCCGAGTAAGGGGGGCTTGGGCCAGTTATTTTCTAGGGTTGGACTAGGATTCAATTTTCTCAACCCAAGTCCATTTTGGACTGGGTTTGGGTTGGGAAGATTCTAACCTGAAATCGATATATACTTTACATTAATTATTTTTCTTGTATTACAAAATGAGATTAGATCTTAGCCTTCCATTTTTCATCCAACGGCTAGCAAATATGATATATAATCCTCATCTCATCATCTGAAATCTCTAGAGCTTCCATCATAGAAAACCCTAGCACCTAGCACTGCCCTCTGCCAGAGAAACCCTCCCGCTCGTCTGCCAGAGAAACTTTCACTGATCATTTTCACTCATGAACCCCTTGGTAATTTCTTTTTAGAGGCTCTATTTCAAGCTTTCGCACTTCGGTCGTCATGTGGCTTCTCCTTGAAAAGATTTCCTTTTCTATCCTCTGCTGCTCGTCTTGGTTGAGGTAGAATTTTCACTTTTGAGAACTCAGTAACAGAAATACTTTGCTTTGATGTTTTTGTTTCCTAGCAACTAAACGAGATATTAACTTACTAAAAAGAAACAAAGAGTTGAGGTAAGAACCCGATCAACCCGCCCATTGTTGAGCTTGGGCTAGGCATCCCCAGCCCAAGGTCGGGTTCAACCCGGGCGGCAACCATGCCTGAACTAGGGTCGACCCTTAAACCCGCCGAATTGCACCCCAATCCACCCTTGAATGTGGATCATTATTTAATATGACAGTAAGTAGGATGAGAATAAGAATGGGGCATGCTCAAAAAGTAGTGAGTGGCTTTAGGATTACATTAATCACTGAGTTAGCAGGTGTTGATGTATCAAATTTACTTGTTAAATGTGGAAGTGATAAATGATTATTAATTTTTAATATTATTATAATGCACTAGTTTTTTAGTTAATGAAACTCATAAAGGAAAAACAAAAAGGTAATAAAGAAAGAGATTATTTAATAAATGAGAACTTATATTTGCTATATTACAAATACGACCGTATTAAAATAGTATGAGAGTGAAAGAGCAAATAAACAAAACTAATTACCAATACGATGAATATACTATTTTGGTCCAAAATGCCCTCTCCATATCTCTCTCATGCCCTTCCTCACTTTCTCTCTCTATATCACCACCACCACCACCAACCCCACCAACCACTACCAACCACCACCAAGCCCAACGGCACCACCATCACCACCACCTTTGTACTTAAAGAGAGAAAAAACAACAGCAACAGAGAATATTTATTTGCCACCACATGTCTTCATTAAATCAAGTCTCAATTGTTCTTTGGCAAGTAATTACAGCCGAAAAATTCTCCATATAGAAGGCAAGAAGAAAGATCAATGGTTAATTATATGTCACTGCCTGGCCGCCTTTAAATCACATGCTTTTATATGCTTTTTCTTTATCATTCATTGAAATCTCTTTATGGAAAGAGTGCAAAATAATGGGCAATGGTCCTTATTTTGCCCAAATGAGGCTCCAGGTTTGACCAATTATTGGGGTGAAATTTCATTATTTGCAATACCCTTGTTATATATTTAGGGCAAAGCAAATAAGGTTGAACAGGTAAACCCCAGCGTCAATGATCGTGTACAAGGCGCCAACGAGTGTCGGTAAAACAACGGTGACGAAATGTCGGTACTCTAACGGCGATGAAATGACCGATTATTTGACAACGGCGGCGACAATGTGAAAAAGAGAAAAGGGATTTTAGGGTTTCAAAAAAAAAAAAAAAAGGGTGTAAAATTTTTGGGAGGACCGATGTGGGTTAGAGAGAGAGAGAGATTCGGCTGGGAAGTGAAGAGAACTTATAGAAAGAAAGAACAAAAAATGGGTTTGTCTTGTATGGTGAATGGGCTTGGGAAAGAGAGTGCACTTGTGGGTGAGAGGAAATTTTTTGAGAGAGAAAATCTTGATGATATTTGGTTTAAGAAAGAAAGAGTGGGTTGCGGCTGAGAGACGGTTTGTTAAAGAAAAAGAAACCTAGTGAGGGAAATTGGTGTTCGGCTGATGAAGAAAGAGAAAGAAAGATGGTGTTTGGCTGGTGAGGGAATCTCGCAACATCAATGGCGCTGGCGGTGGATGGGTTTGCTGGTAGGTCTCCCACTTGCCAGTGTATAGATTTATATGAATGTATGTATAGATATATGTATATGCATTAGAGTGGATTACGGGTTTGAGAAAAATAAGGAAATATGAGACTTAGATTTGTGGATTCTTGTCAATACCAAAATTAGTTTAACACATTTTCCTTTTTTCCTCTTCTTTTCCTTGATTTGCGTCGTTGTGAGAGAAGGTTGAGAAAGGCTAGCTTGACTTGTAAATTGCAGGACAACTACACTAATGCTTTCGTAAATTCACCAACCAATGCTTTGATGAACATATTTGATAGCCATGTTTTGCGAACTCTCTTGTTCATCACTCTTTCTCAAAACTTCTTTGCCCCTTTGAGGAAGAGGAAATTAGGATTATAAATTAGGGGTAATTTGGACCCAAATGTATAGGTTTTCTGTCAAATATGAAATTACTCGTGTAAAGTTGTCGTATTTGTAATATATGGTGTTAAAGTGACTTTATACACTCAATCTTTTTTAATACGGTCACTTTGTAATAAAGCAAATATAAGTTGTCATTTATTAAATAATCCCATAAAGAAACTTATTATTAGATAATTCTATTAAGCAATAATTGTAGATCATAAGACTATTTATGATTAAAGGTCAAGTATAGACTCCCAACTCATTTTATCATATGTTACTTCTCAAAAGAATAAAACAAGAGAAGGTTGCTAAATGTGGTTTTATGAAACAAAAATTTACCCCAAAAAAAAAAATTGCATTAAGAAAAAGTGCTCTAGGGATTTATCTAGTAATCGTGGGTGGTACAATCGGGGAATCTAAAGGCTATGAAAAGTTTTCCTAAACAAGCATATTCATTTACATGCACGCATGGACTTGTAAATCAAAATTTTGGGTCAAAATGTGAATTTAAAACATGGAATTAAGCACACTTAAGTATACAATAACAATACACATCCTTGAAGATTGTGGATTTGAACCATTCTTTACAACCCAACCATACCGAACAGAGTATTTACAACTCATTGTACAAATTATGAAAAATAGCATAAAATAGCAAAGAGTTTAATCTAAGTATGGAATAGCATAGATAAGAGAAGAAGAGAGAGACTCTACCAGACCCCATATCTTGCAACCTTTGCAAGTATCCATAATTGGGGATAATTAATAAATAACAAGTAGAATAAGAATCTACAAAAAGGCTACCTAGTGCACATCGTTCCCAACATTGCGGGGTCAGGGGGTTCAGACATTCGCACCCTTACATCCGATAGAGAGGCTGTTTCCGGTTTCGACCCCGTGACCTTCACGTCACAATGGAGCAACCTTACTGTTGCGCCTAGGCCCACCCTCAAGATAGAATCCTAAAACATATGATTTTTTCAACAGCATCAAGGCTATGCTTTGTGGGCACTGGACATTTCCACTTCAAAAAGAGAGCATTTGGTCATGACATAGGTTTCCAATTAACTTGACCGTATACATTGCACATATCCTCACCTATGTTACCTCAACTCGGGTAGTGTATCGGGTGCAAGTGTGTGTTAAAGTCAACAGAGTACACACAAACAGACAAATATAAATTCAACACAATGCAGAATATCTCTTGATTATTAGTACAAAAATTTAATCTTTCCTCAACCATCCCTGAATTTTGTTCATTGTGTTCATACCCTTTTCATACACTAATTTGTATAAAATTAAAATAAAATAAAATACTAAGCAAATCTTCCAAACAGAAATCAACACAAAAACAGTTACAAAAAAACAACGCACAAACAGTTGCATATGCCAGACAAATATAAATTCAAGACAATATAGAATATGTCTTGATAGTAAGCAAAAAAAAAAATCTTTCCTCAACCATCCCTGAATTTTGTTCATATCAACTCATTTCTGTCATTGTGTTCATACCCTTTTCATACACTGATTTGCATTAAAAAAAAAATAAAAAGAGTTAAAACACTAAGCAAATCTTCAAAAAAAAAAAAAAAATCACTCACAGTTGCATATCGCCGAACCAACTCGTTCGTCCCCCAATTGTGCGCAACACCTGACCCACTTGGCTCTTGATAATACGCAGATGGAACCACCATTGAGCCTGCATCAATTGTGGTGTGTCGAGCATAGGCCACATTGGAAGAGTGAACTTCATACCCACCACCATGTCTGTGTAGTAACGGGCTCAAGGAATGGTATGGATCAATCCCAGGTCGCCTAAGCCCTGTTTCGCGTCCGATTCTGTAAAGGGTTTCATGCGATGCGTAAAGGTCAATAGGTAGGCGACGGTTAGGGTTAGGGTTAGAGTTTTGCGGATTGAGAGAGTAGTGGGATGGGTAACGCGTGGTGTAGGGATGATGAGAATAGAGGTCTCTGGGTGGTGGTGGGTTAGGGTTAGGGTTTGGTGGTGGCATGTGTAACATCTCAGTCCACCTGGTGTACTCCATGGAAATTATTCAGGCTTTTAGAGAGAGAAAGAGAGGGTTTTCTCTCACTAAAATCTGTATTGTCTCGTTGAAGGAGAAACGCTCGAATGGTATGCGAACAGACAATGACGCTAACGGTTGCTGAGGCCCACTAAAAATTGGCCCAATATTAATGTTGCATAGGCCCACGGAAAAGAGTTGTATTATACAGCTGCATTTTGATATACAGCTCACCAAAGTCCCAATAGTAATTTGCATAGGCCCAACTTTTGACCCAGATATGCGAGTTTATTTTTATTTTTTATTATTATTATTTTTTTTTGTAAAAACTTTTGATTTGGAAGGAAATGTTTTATGGTAATAAAAAGTAACCGTTTAGATTCTCCTTCCCAATTTAGCTGAGATGACTGGATTTCAATCATGTTGCGTTTCATGCGTTTAAAAGTATAGTAGGGACTAAGATTTGGAATTTGAACAAATTTTCTCAAACTTTCAATCAAATTTTCTCTCGATTAAGATTATTTTAATTTGAATTAATTATATCAAATGATAATAGTTGAATGAGACATCAATTATCGTAGTACTGAATACAAATTTGTATGTTTTAATAGAAATTTTTTTAAGTTCATTGTCAACTTCGTTGTTATTGAATTAGGTGACGGTTTAACAAGTTTCTCAAAAATAAAAGGCAAAAGATTAAAATTTTGATTCACACTTGAACAATTTGAGAATTGAGAAACTCGTCACGATTACCCAAATGACGGAATTGAATCATTTTGAAGCCTCAAATTCTAATCATAACAAATATTCGAAATTTACACTGAAGTAAGAATCTAAATGGCACTTGATTGAAACGATTTCTCATTTAAAAAAAATATAATAAAAAATAAAAAAAATTGAGAATTGAGAAGTCATTATTAGAAAAAAAAAAAAAATGCAAAAGAAGAAAGTTGAGAGCCCATGCCCAGCTGACTAACCAAAGAAAGCAATCAAATCCCATACTTGAATTGCAACCTCAAAGCCTAAAAAAATAGGGGGCCCATCTCACATGAACTTATATGACCAGACATTAGTATCAGTCCACCTATGTACAATGTTTATTTCTTTAGAGCTCCATCAAAACTTACCATGCACACACTGAAATTTCAGTGTGTGTAGAGTTTGGGGGCACGTCCAGCAATTAAATGTGAAATTCAGCAGAGTTAGTTATAAGCTTACTCAAATTTGACCTGGTTACAAGCTCAACTTAGTCTTAACTAGCAATTCTCAATATTGGTTTCAAGCTTCAGTTTCTTTGTCTCAGCAATTAAATGAGAAACGACAAATTCGGATCCGTAGTCCCATTCTTCAACACACAAACACATGTTGCGAAATTTAGCAGAAAAAATAAATTAATAAGAATACACAAATTTAAGTAGTTCGGCCAAAAATCTACGGAGTTCAGAATGAATATTACCACCCCAATATGCTCCTATAGAATTATGGATACATAACAAGTGTGAAAAATACAATAATATCCCCCAAAAAAATTCAAGTCCCACACAAAGTGGGGCTAAGGTGTACAATACTCCATACTTTCTGTCAAAGCAAACACACATATACAAAAGAAAGCCTTATTTGAAAAATAAAATGTGGCTGATTAAAAGACCATTTATCAAAGATTAACACACAAAGCAAAGGTGTCATATACCCCAAAAAAAAAAAAAGTTTCTCTTGGATGTGTTGCAGCCGAAAGAAATTAAAGCTTGTACATCGATCATAATCAAGTAGGGACCCAGATCCCCCCTCCCGTGTGGGGAGGGGATTCTGCACCAAAACAGTGTCATTTTGGTGCACAGGCACGAATAAGAAAGCTTTTAAATCATGCACAACCAAGTAGGGACCCGGATCCCCTTCTGTGCAGGGAGGGGATCCAATGCTTGTTGTGCACAAAAATGGCACCGTTTTGGCGCACAACACGGGCAAAAATGAATCCTCTTCTATCAAGTAGATCTAGGTACAACTTAAGTTTGGCCCCCTAGGAGACAAAGAATTAAACAAAAGCTTCAATTAGAAGTTCATATGCTACTGAACGAACTACAATAAGCCAAACAACTGCGTAGACTGAGCTTTCCATGAGTAAGTTGTTTCTTTACAAGCAATGCTACTTGTGCATACATTTGGTGCATACATTCACACTCATTGCTGTTTTAAAGTATGGAGGGACCATTTTCTTTTGATTGAAGGCAAAGGCATTAGAAAATTGATCTCACAGCACTGTAATTAGGTCCATCTGCTTATTTAACTTCTAGCATAGAAACATAACATATTGACAAAGTGTGTGTGTGTGTGTGTGCGTGTGTGAGAGAGAGAAAGAGAGAGAGCAGTACAGTAATCAAAGTAATTGTATTATACTTTTTGGATCACCAAACAGAAGGACAAGAAGCAGACATCCCACTGCCTGTGTTTTACCTAAAGTTTTCTTAGGAAACTTCTTAAGGAAATCCACTTTTTTTAATTTTCTTTTTCTTTTTTCTCTCCATTTTTTTTAAAAAAAAAATTCTTTCAGTTGCACAAAACCTAACTCAAGGTCAACTGAAAGATGAAACAAGGCAGATTCCAAGCATGCTATTTGACATTAGGGTGATCCAGCATCTAGCTAAGCTTGGAATATATATAATTGTATTTGACTAAGTCAGGTTGTTAAGTGAAAACAAATCAGCTAAAACAATAGCAAAGTTTAGGATGATTATGAATAAATTGTTTAATCACAAACCTTATTCATAATTCGACTAAAACTTTGCACTGACACAGTAGTTATTGAGACTTTTTTTTTCTCCTCTCTTTTGGATAAAGGCAAGGTTCCTAAAGAATAGCACTCAACACTGTATACAGGTCACTCTACATAGTTGCAAGCATAAGAAGAAATACAAATAAACAAATGACAGAGAGACAGAGAGAGAGAGAGGGTAAAACAAACAATATGAATGAGTTTTTATAGCCTACCAATTCAAAGGAAAAGACATGGAAGTGAGATGGTTGTCATGTTTATATGGTAGGTGACTAAACAACCACCTTCAGCTCATATGATATATCTATTTGTGCATTTTTATATTGTTTTGAGGTACATCAACCTTGTTTCCTTCCAACTTAACAAATTAATCACTTTCAACCACTCTAACTGCAAAGTAATCAGATAAATCAATTCTCTCAATTTTCAAAAATCCTAATAAGAACATGATGATATCCACTGTTCTTGAGGTTTGGAATGAGAATTTGAGAACTCGAAGCTAAAATTCAGTTGAGATCAACTAATAATTTCTTGCTTATCTATTAATAGATTTGGTAAAATGCAAGAAGACAAGTTTCAATTGCAATTTTGAAGTTCCAAATAAAGACATGTCGATCAGCTCCAATTTTGCAATAGTGAGACTTTTCCAGACACAAAATCAAAACTAGACATGGAAATGGAAGAGAAAAGGAAAGTTTTACCTCTTATATGGTTTATCCTAAAAACTGTAGCAAAATCCATCAAATTGTCTTTACAACCTTCAAATTTCAGGCAAACAATGGATCGGAATGATGTTGTCAGTTAGAGATCACTAGTGGCTCACGCTTGTGATCAGTGCCAACCCACCATAGATTGAACGAAACATCACCATCGGCCTCTTTAACAGGAAGATTGAGATCAAAACTAGTGTGAACATCAAGAAGTTCTTGCTTTATTATTACAGTCTCTTTGGCTCTGCTTTCAGTTAAACCAATGTAATGAGCCCTTTTGTGACCGCCCAGAGCTTGGCCTGAAGCAAAAACCTTGAAGCAGACCGGGCACTCATGCTCCTTGCTCCTTTTGAATACGTTACGTGTCACGGACACTCTACCAAGCCCATCCTCAATTGAGTTCTCATTGCATTCATCCTTGACAAGCTTGAAATTAGCTTCAGTATCGGATAAAACGTTTGTCTGGATGCCCTTTTCGCAGCTCTCTACCTTCAGTGGAGAGCTGCCGGTGATTGTCCTATGGCTAGTTCTGTGACCTCCAAGTGCTTGGTAAGAATGAAATATCTTGTTGCAGGTCCTACACTTGTACTCGTTTTCCTTTGGAGAGTTCTTTAAGATCCCAGAACTAGACTTGGTGAAGTTTGTTCCATCACAAGAATTCACCTCCAATTCAGTGTCATGAACATCAAACCTTGCTTTCTTGCTTGAACTAGACCTCATCAGTTCTAAGTCAGTTTGACCAAATCCAACATTTTTCACCACATCCTTCTCTAATTTCGCTTCAGTAGATTCAAATCCCTTCTCTATTTCAGAATCACACAACCCATCAACAGAAACTCCCAATTCAACATTTGTGTCATCTTCACTGGCAGGCTCAGAATTAAAATCAGCAAATTGGGACACACTTTTATCAGACAAAGAATTCCCGGAAACCGAAACACAAGAATCTAACTTCTCTATTGCTTTCATCTTACAAGTATCATCACCAATGTTAGCAATTCCCTTATCCGGATTCAATGATTGAGCTTCGGAATTCACAAAGTTAGTATATGAAAACTCTGTATTAACTGAATTAAAGTCGGCCCAATTCTTCACACCTCTAGATAGCATCATCAAACACATAGCAATCTCTTCTACTTCCTTAATCTCACAAACAGATGAAGAAGATGCATTAAAATTAGAGAAAGAGGAATTCACTCTGTACCTTGTTCTTGATCTCTTTCTCCGAATCAAACACTCAGCCTCGTCGCCGGAGTGGCTCTCCAGGGATTGATCGGAGACCCTAGACAACCTAGATCTCTTGGAATGACTCCTCATGTGACCAAACAGAGCTCTCATTGAATCAAACCCTTTCCCACATTCTTTACAATGATTCTCTTCTCTCTCTCTTTCTTTCATTGAGTGACTCCTCTTGTGAACAGACAAAGCTCTCTTCGAATCAAACCCTTTGCCACATTCTTCACAAACACAATGTTTTGAATCGGAAACTCTCACTTTAGCTTTAAAACCATCTTCGAAACCCATATTGCTGTTTTTGAGCTTTTCTAGCTTGAAATCACTAGTGTTTGAATCTGAAACTTTCCAAACCTTCTTGGGGTTTTCTCTTAGGCCATAACCAGTGTGACCAAAACCTTCACTGCCCATACTGATTTCTCTGCGAGCTTCACGTTTTTTAGTTGAAATCATAGCCATATGACCCCTCATGTGACCACCCAAGGACTTTCCACTGAAGAACGTCTTGTTACAAACCTTGCACACAAACTTCGATCCTTGATCTTCTTCCATCAAATCAATTGTCAACCAAACAACAACAGAGCAAGAACAAGAAAACCCAGATAAGAAAATATCTCAATTTTCCCGGAAAATGCTTCACATTAGAAAGAAAGTACAAGAAAGTGGGGGGAAAAACAGGGGAATTTGACGTACCCAGATCAGAAAACTCGAGGCTCGGAAGCTGAAATCTGATTATTCAAGTGATTAGCACGGTTTTGAAGTGATCAAGAGAAGAACCCTATGTAGGGTATGAAAGCATTCGTGAGCAAGAACAAGATCTGGTGCCTAATTAAAAACCCTACTGAGTCTCAGAGTGGTATTCTGTCGGGTACTTGATGTAACAGAGCAAAGTATATCGAACTGAAAGAGATTGGTTGTGAAGAGTACTATTTGGCAGTGATGGCCACGAATAGGCACTAAGAAAAATAACTTCTACTCTCTCTCTCTCTCTCTCTCTAAAGAGATGGGCTCTCACTTTCTCTTTCTCTCACACACACACACTCTCACACTCTTGTGATGGTTTTATGGCTGGCTTTAGGTTGGATCACTTGTGTATATAGCAGGAGAAGGCCTTGCATGGAAGCAAAGATATGACACGTGGATTATTCATACTCGTTGATGTACATAAATTCATATACTCGCTTTTAGGTCTTCCTATCACTTTACTATTTGTCTAACATTTTGTGCATATGTATACCACAATACGATTTTAAAGTTCAAAGGGTTTAAACGAAATGGAGAGGTTAAGCGGCTACCGCCAACCTAGAAAATTATGTGATGGGGGATAGATAATTCAATTTATATAGTGGGGCTTTTTTCTTTTTCTTTTTCTTTTTCTGTAATTTTACCAAGGTCAATTTCAAAATTTTATGAGTATATTCCACTAGAAGTGATGTGAGTTTTTGGTTCTTTATTTTGTGCATAACGTATATCACTGTATAGTTTTAAAATTGAAGAGTTTGAACAAATAGAGAATAGAGGATCCCCATTCGGTAGATACATTCAACTAAATGTGATGTGAGTTTTTGACTGTTTATTTCGTTTAAACTCTACCAAATCAACGACTTAAACTATTAAATTATAAGAAATTTAGTAAAAAATTTGACCTAAATTTGTTTCAATTCTAAATTTAAAATTGATTCGATGCTCCCAAACGCAATATCAGTGTAAAGATGATTATTGGTGAGTATTTATAGAGAAAATGATACTTAATGTGTATTTTAATTTTTTATTTCACTTTAGTTGTGAACTTATTCCATTGATTAAATAAATTTGAGAATAGTATGATAGTATGACAATGATATATCTTCTGAATTCAGAAGATGCCGAATGAAGAAAATGCGAGACGAGTATGGACTCCCACTAACTATGAAGTTAGTGATGGGATCCATACTCTACTCACATTCTTCCATTCCGAATTATGACGAATTTGAAGAATGTATCTTTATTCTAAGAATATTGATTTAAGATTCGAATTCGGTAGTTATTGCCATGTAATGTGACCTACTACCACTCTCATATAAATTGAATTTGATACCTGTTAAATTCGGTCCAAATCCCTACTCTTATTGTAATAGCAGTAGAAATGTAGTTCATCTTTACCATATAAATTAATTACTGCGGAATTCTTTTTAAGAATTCTTTAGAATACAACTATATCAATATCTAACCTTCTTACTAATGGATATCTAGGCTAGCCTAGTATGATCTCTCGTCCACTTAATTTAAGGAACTTCTAAACCAAGAGCAATGATAAATCAAAATATTAGAAGATGACATAAACAATAGAAATAAAAAATTTCAATAGAAACATTTATTTGAATTTTATATTATGTCATCTCATTAATATTTATTGATCACTTTTTATTTCAATTTGATTATTTGTTGCTGTCTTATGCTTTGTTAGGTAAAAATGAAGAAAGAAAGAGGTGTAGAGAGAAAATAAGAAGAAAAGAAATAACTTACTTTATTTGGTAGAGATGATATAAGGAAAGAAATGAGAATAGGCTTTACAAATTTTCATCCGCCCAAAAATAGGCAAAAGAAAGGAAGGAATAGTGGACTAATGGAAGAGTGGACTATTATAGATGTTTTATATTAAATATTAGGAAAATTATTTTTATACCGAATAATTGCAGTGAATTGTTAGACCTACTCTATTAATGCTCAATTGCTCTCCAGTGAGCAGAAAAAAACATGCTCACTTTCAATTATAGTAGTAGGATCTACTAATATAATCATTGCATTGTTTTAGGGAAGAGATATTATTTGAATTGGTAATTAATTACAATTGAAGTAAAATTACTATAATAGACAGTTTCATAAAAAGAAAAAAAAATAAAAAAATCAGTTTTGTTTGACATATCCTTTTAAGATTTGGTTAATTAACCGTGAATATATCTCTTCCATCAAATCATATATGATTTTTTTTTTTTTTTTTTAAAGATAAAAATTAAGGAAGAGTATATAACAAGAATTTTTTTTTTTTTTTTTGGGCAGAATATGAAAACTTATTTAATTGATAGGGAAAAATAAGATTAGAAAAAAAATAATAAATAAATAAATAAAAATTTTCTTGTTATATTCTTCCTGAATTAACTTCTTATCTTTCAAAAAAAAAAAAATTTTCATATATGATTTCAATGAAAATAATATTCTTCCATTCATTGTTAATCAACCAAATCTTAAAAAGTTGTACGGAGTATCAAATAAAATTGATTTATTTCCTCTTATGAAACTGACTACTATTGTCATTTTACCTCAATTGTAATTAATTACTAATTCAAATAATATCAGTCTCCTAAAATAGTGTAAGGATTATATTAACTGTAGGATTAGATCCTAAGGCTATAATTAAAAGTGAGCATGCTTTTTCATGCTCACCGGGGAGCGATTGAACACTACTGCTCTTTGGTCAATTAAATGGAGCCATTTACTTAGTTGTATTTAGGATACCATTAATTGGTTAATATGCAAGTATTCGGTGTAAATATCACTACTCTAAATATTATCCTAAATTGAGAAGACAAGTAGATTATTATACCAGTTTTAAATTACAGTATAATATTATAAATATTATAGGATATAATGGTAAAAACAATTAAAATTTTTTTTTTCATTCTCTCTTAACAAATATAATAAATTATAAACTTATTTTTTTCTCTTCTATCCAACCAAACAAAACAAATAAAATACATAATCTCTTTCTAAAGATGTCTCATTCATCTCTTTTTCTCTCTCTTCTATCCAATTTTTATCATTCCAACCGAACAGAGCATTAGAACCATTTTTTTGTTACTTCTTGTTGACTATGGATCATAATTTTAGTCTTTGTCAAACAATTAACTCTTCCATATCTTATGCGTATTTTTAGTCAGCAGTTCATCATTTTATAAAATTAAAGTTCCTAATTTTAAATTTAATTTATGTATTTGGTTTTCTTGTTCAGAAATCAACAAAAATATCACAGCTGTGATATTATTAGGAACAGCTTCACAGTTGTTCCTAATATTGTTACTGTCACAATATCACAACTGTAGATAAATTTAATTAAGAATATCACAGCTGTTCCTAATGTTGCTACTGTGATATTCTTAACAAGAATTTAGGAACGGCTGTTTTAAAAATTACACCTCAACTTGTTTTTATAAGTTAGTAACAAATTATTTTTATCGTTTCTTTAATGGTCAAGATTGATCAACCTCAAAAGTTGCTTACACTACCTTTGAAAAAAAAAAAATGGGTTGCTTACACCATTTTTTTTTCAATCTAAAAATGTGTTTAAAGAATCGCGAAAAAATATATTTTTTCAAAGTGAGTGTAAATTAATAAAACTAAAACTTTCGTTGGTGTAAGTCAGTGTAATTTTTGAAGGTATAAGAAGAAATCTATAATTATGATTAGATAGAGAGATGTCAATGTAATTTATGTATTTATTTTTTTTAAGAATGAATGTTAAACTGCTAATTTATATAACAGGCAAAAAGAAGAATTTTAAGGAGGAAAAAAAAAAAAAAAAAAAAAACTGAGATAAATTTGAAAGTTAAAAAAAAATTAGAGTACGATTTAATAAAGAAAATTTGACTTTTTTTTAAAGGATATTTAAGGAAATTAAAGAATGAAAGAAAGAAATAGTTAAGATAATTTTAGAAATTAAAATTTTAGGAAGCCCTATATATAATTTTTCATACATACTTAAAAGAAAATACAAAATAACTATATATATATATATATATATATATATATATTCTATTGGGCGGGCACGTACTCACTATGTCTTAATTGGCTCCGCCCCTAACTATATCATAATTTGCAATACTGATCAGAATTGTAATATTAACCACGATCTTATGTACGAACTCGATCTAAATTAGTGTAAATTGAACGAAACAACTACTATGGGACCTTTGAAAAAGGTTAGCCAATAGCGCAAACCATGACATACACACACCATGCAGCAGTGGGAGTGTTTAATATTGTTATACAGTATCTTTCAAAAAAAGTTAAAAGAAGAGATGGAGCACGTGGTCTTAAATGAGAAGTCTAATCAAGTAGATCCTACGGCCGCGATTCGCTCAACAGATAACTGCATAAAAATGAGCATCACACTCAAACCACCTGCCCCCTTAACTGTTCTTTATTTTTGTCTTGTACACACAGTCACACACACACTCTCAAGGTAGTGCCCCCAAGTGAAAGGTTGACCCACTCAGCCCCCACCACTTGTTCTTTTTAGTTTCCTCAAATTGGAAAAGAGTGATAATCTGGTGCACTTTAGCGAATGGCCACAGTGACAGGTGTCATCATTTGGATGGTTGGATAGAAAAGTATGAAACTAGATCATGATTAGTTGAATTGGACTTGTAACCAACCTTCTCATTGGGAGTGACATGAGATAATACCGAGATTGATTTAAACTTTTGAATGAAAATGAAAGTGACTTGAGGGAGAGATTTACCTATGGTTTTCTTATGCTTTTTTCACTTTTTCAATGGAGTAATACACATGATCTATGGTGGAGTCTCGTGTGAAGAAAAAGTTAGAGCATGATCACAAGTCTATCATGGTATTACGTGATCAACAATCATCCAAGCAATGTGAAATTGTTGGTAATGGCCTTGTGACAACTATCCAATCAACAAGGAGGTTCCAAGTATCCCAAAGTTGCGTTCGACTGCATTAAATTGAAGTTTTATAATTAAAATTAGTATAATTAAAGAAAAATAACTCACAGAATTAAACTAAATTTTTTTTTTTCCAATTTTAACTTCAAAACTCTAATTCGATGTTGTCGAACACAGCCTGAGAGAATTCACTTTTCCAACTCTATCAAGATCAAAATTAAAATGACTCGTAATTTTTTTTCACAACAAGAGGAATTATGTTATCTGTGTCATTAATTAATTATATTTTATAACAGATGTATCTAGCGTTTAATTAGTGAGTGACACC